AGTCTTAGGGACTGAATTTAATTATCAATAGAAGAATCTAGAAAGAATCCACTCATGGAATTGGGATTTTTCCAATAATAGTACCTTCAAAAAAAATTACAAAACTAGCACCCATCCGAAAAAATTGACAGAAATAGCACCAATTTTATTGAAACGCACCATAGGGGTGCGTTCCAAGCCACGTCAGCACACGAAACGCACTAGGAAGGTGTGGTTTACCTATTCTGCGGAACGGTCTTCAAGACCGTTGGATGGAGGAGCGATCGGAGGGCGGAACACGCGCCAGCGGAGCGATCCGCGCCACGGATGGGGGAATGCAGCCCCGAGGTGCGGTCAAACCTGGGGAAGCACAAACCGCCTCGGCAAGGCGCGATTTCTATTTGGGCAAAATTACCCGACCGCCCCTGGAGGGTGCGGTCTGTTGGGTATAAATACCCCCCCCCCCTTCCCCTCTCATTTCTTCACACCACAACCCATTCTTCCTTCTCTCTCTAGAATTTATCTCTCTAAACTCTCCCCTCCCAAAAGTCTAGGAAATAGTGGTCTGTTGGTTGCGGCTAAGTTCGATCTGCCATCAGAAAACATTTCTTAGGTTTTTTCCTCAAAACCCGCCGAGCCGAGCCGAATCTCTGGCCGAATTTGCCGAAAAAATGGCCGATTGGTGGCAAGGAGAGGGAGTTTATGTTGATGAATTTCTGGCCGGTACAAGTTAATGTCCCCGATCCCCCATCACCATACGAGAGGAAGAAGAGCAAGAGGGTTCGGGAAAGGCCCAACGTGCCCGACGTAACGCCATATCCCGGGTGGAAACTGCCTCCCCCATTGGTTGTGACCCAAGGTTCCGGCCCGAGTTCCCCCCAAGGTGCCGGCCCGAGTTCCCCCCAAAGGTGCCGGCCCGAGTTCCACCCAAACTCCCCACCAAGGCTCATACTACGATCCTCGCTCGACCTACCATCAAACCCCTCCGAGTCCCACCCCGATCTTATACAACGATCCCCACCAAGGAGCATACTACGATTCCCTCCCGGTCTACCCCCCATCTCCCTGCCAAATGTACTACGATTCTCGCCCGGTCTACCCCCCATCTCCCCGCCAAGGAGCATACTACGATTCCCGCCCGGTCTACCCCCCATCTCCCCTCCAAACATCATCGGGTACTTGGCATGATGGTTCCTCCACGACGGCGCACCACGAATTCAACCCATTGACTCGCCCTCATCAGCAGTGGCCTCCTACTCCTCACCGTATGAGCGTGGATGTCCCCCGCTCGACCCCGGAAGTGCCGATTCCCCGCCGACACAACACCGACGAGCGCCACACTACCTCGGCTCGAGTTCGAAACTTGCCACCGCAACCACCTGTTGTTACTCCCGTAAGTCGTCGTACAAGGAGCAAGAAAACCGTGGGTTCCGGTGAAGCTCGTGGACTTCCTTGAGTTATATTTTGAGTTTAATTTAATTTCTATGTATTTGAAACTATTCTTATTCTCTTAGTTTATCGAATTGAGTGTTGTTTCAATTTGGTTTTATTTCTATGCCCTTGGAACTATTCCTTTTATCTTGATATAATCTCAATTCGTTCAATCAACAATACAGTGGAGAGAAGAGATTGGATTGAAAATAGAGGAGAAAGAAAAATTATGATCTTTGCACAATCTCTCCCTTAGAGGTGTAAGTAAGCGCAATCGATTTGACCCTTCTCTCCTGGCAACCGTGTTGGGTTCGGTAAAATATGTGGTTGAGAAGGAATGATAGAGCAACCCAACGGCGGAGTTCCCAAGCTAATCCCTCGTTCCCTTAGCCAAAGAATGATAAAAGCAACAATACACAATACACATTTCGTTCAATCAACAACACACAATTACTTGCAAAGTAAGAGTCTCAACTAGCTTGAAAAAAATGATAAAAGCAAACTATGTCGCATTAGCTGAGTCCGGCACATCAGCACCCGGATTTTGCGGACCAATCGGTCCTGGACACCTTCGTTTATCATGTCCTGGAACTTTTCATATTGAACATCATTTTGGGCCTCGTGGTGATCTTCCACTTTGATCCATTTCGTTATGAATTCTCTTTTTCCTCGGGCGACTTGGTTCACGCCTCTGTCCGAACGGCGGGATGATCAATTTTCCTTCGTACAGCGGCCAATAAGCTTCATCAGGCAATGCACGGAAACTCCGTCCATAGGTGTTTTTGAGTGAGTCGATATAGAAGAATGGACTAACGAAGTGACGAGGGTCTTTGCTCCTGTTTTTAATTACGGCCATTGCATGAGAACGAGGCCACCCTCTCCCTTGATACTTCTGGCATGAGCACTCACCAAATTTTGTCCTGAAATTGACCAAAACTTCATGGCGGTGGCCCCCCTGTCTACCATCCTCCCGATGTATGGTCGTCACGCTATACTCGCCATTTTCCCGATTCATAACGGTTACACTATGTCCACTGCTCTTGCGATTGTCATTCTCCAATACTTCCATGACTTTATGGGCATGGAACTTTCCCTTTGCCTCGTTCGTCCTTTCCCAGTGGAGTCGGTTGAGGAACCATGCATTCGTTTTCCAAAAAGTCATCTCCACATTGGCAGAGATTGGCAGTGCACGAATGGCCTTGTAGACAGAGTTGATACTTTCACCTGAGTTCGTTGTGGCAATACCCCATCTTGTCCCTCCATCTTTATGAAATGTCCACATGGATAGGTCGTGTCCATCCAGCCACTATGCCCCTTCGGGGCATAACTCGCGCAACTTCTGCATCTTCTCCATAAATTTTTTCTCTTGGTAGGCAACCGCTGAGGAAGACACAGAAAAGTAGTACGTTAGTCAATTTTCGGCAGTTTAGTACAATTCCAACAACCCAGAGGTACTCTCGTTAGAATCTTAAGAGAGGTATACATCTCCCTAGAAACACAGTCTATTTGACAGAAAAAGGGGGGATCCGAAGATCGCTTAAAACCTGATTTTCCCAGGAAATGGGAGGATCATGATAATCGCTTAAACCCCCATTTCCTTAGGCATGCATCACTTTAGAAAGAGTCTAACAAGTGCACCAGTCTCCTGATTACAAGATATTGTTAGCTGACAAAATTATACGGCTAATTACAAACTTACCAATCCACCACAAATTATCAGCAAGCTTCTTCCGCTTGAAATGATGGTTCAAGTTGCTCTTAAAGTGTCGTATGCACCACCTTGTACTTGCCGGTAAGGAATGTACCATCCACTTGGATGACAGGGACACAGAAGCCAAAACCATCAATAGATGGCTTGAATGCCCAAAAAAGTCGTCTGAAATGGCGCTTGTTACCTGGATCTGGGGGTTGTATCTCTTCATCTTGGTATCGAGGGGAGAAAACCGTGACAGGGTTAGACGCCTCCAATGCCAAAATTAACCTGGGAAGGAATGCATATGATTCTTCCCAATCACCAAAGACGGCGGCCATAGCTTTCTGCTTTCCATGCCACGCCTTCTTATAGTTAATCATATAACCATAACGACTTGCAATGTCAGCGATTATGACTTTCACCTTCAGGTCCGGATCTTGCTCAATTAGATGCTTGATAGCCGCAGCAACCACCCTGGATTTCAACTATCGATGGCCTTGGGAAGTTATGGATGACACACATGTGTGTGTGTTCACCGCACGGGATATGACCCAGTGGCCGTGTCTCTTGCTGTTGATGGCCCGAATCCTAACATTGCACCCCTCGTGATGATTACGGCATCTGACTATGAGCCTTTTAGCGTTGGAATGAGTTGTGTGCCATTCAAAATGTCGAGTCATTGCTTCTGTCTCAATGGCGTGTCGCACCTCCTTCTTCGAGCCAAATTGTTGGCCCTTCATTAACCTAGTGAGTGGACCCCATATTGGGACCTCTGGCGGCTCCATGTCGTTGTCAACCATCCAATTGTCGTCTGGAATGTGATTGTAGTAGGGGACTGGTACACGGTCACGAGCCACCTCATCATCATTAGCTGAGTCTGACTCTGGTCCTGAATCATCAGCACCTTCAAGAGGGTCGGAGCTGTCTGCACTGACGTTGTTCTCTCCTTCTTCATCGGAGGGGTCACTGACTGGTGCTGGCAGGGCATCCTCCATATGATCCAGCGCATGAAAGGCACCTTCATCAGCTCCATAATGTTAGTTGTGAAAACTACCGTTGCCTGAGTGAAAGTTGTACTGAGGTTGGTTGGGGAGGTCCGGTTGAACTTCTTCTTCATATGACGGGAAAGATTGATGATGACCTTCACCTTGCTCTTAGTACTGAAAATATGAATGAGGATCATGGTAACTTTGGTAGGGATGATCGCCATATAATTCACCTCCACCATGGATACCAGATGTTTGACCGTGTCCAGAATGACCTCCAACGCCTACGATCGGCTCGGTGTAAACGAACATCTCGGCTTTGGAAAGATTGTTGGACCTCATGAATTCAAGCATGGCATCTACCTCATCCTGAGTGGTTATGAGATATTCCTCATGCCACAATGACCCACTTTCTCTGTTTGGATATCGGTACACCATACGATCAACTCTTCTCGTGCCATCCATGCAAGTAACGTTAGTGCACATTTGATGGAGGTCTTCAAGCAGCGGTCTGGTAGCGAGCTTTATCTTCTGAAAATTGCCACCGACGTAGGTGACCCCCTTTCCGATCTCTTCCGTGTAACCATTCCACCATAAGCCAAGTGTGAACTTTTGGAATGCCATCTGCGATAAAACTGTAGTTCAGTTAATATCATAAAAATCAAAAATAAAAAATAACAATAAAAAGTAATACAAAATAAACTTACGAGTTAACGTTAATTACAAAACTACTAAAGAAATATAGAGCTACAACAGAAAATTGAAAAGGGAGAAGGAGAGGTGTGAAGAGAAGTGGTTTTCCGGGAGGCCTTTTATAGGCAAAATCACTTATGAAAACCGCACCTTAGAGGTGCGGTTTTCCTCTGCCATGCAGGCCTATACAGACCCACGTCTGTTACGTCTGTTACTCTGCATGGCATGTCGAAAATTGATTGACCAAAACCGCACCTTGGAGGTGCGGTTTGTATGGCAAAATCGCACCTTGTGGGTGCGGTTTTGTTTGGGAGAAGCAAACCGCACCTTCATGATGCGATTTTGATAGGTCAGGCCAAAACCGCACCTCGGCCAAGCGATTTCTGTAGGTCAGACCTAAAACCGCTTGGCCAAGATGCGGTTTTGGTCCAGGAATATGGACCGCACCTTAGAGGTGCGGTTTATGTATAAAACGCACCCTTAGGGTGCGGTTTAAATATAAAACACACCTCTAAGGTGCGGTCCATTAAAAAGAGTGCTATTAGTGTAAATTTTTTCGGATGGGTGCTATTTTTGTATTTTTTTTAAAAGGTGCTATTTCTGGAAAAATCCCATGAAATTTCCAACCTAGACGCCATACGGAAGAATCCCAACAAGCAACAAGGTAACTCGCTACTACGGATCTTACATTCATTGCAATATATATGATCGTCTCAAAAATCATAAGACTTCTACAGCACAAAGTGACAGAATGTAGAACCAGAGTGATTATTGGGTCATTGTCTCATTGAGCAGAACTTTCTTTAAGGACTTCCACTCCGTAGATAACTGTCCCCGCTCATTATATTAAATACATTGGATATAGAGTAACATGAAAGAACGAACACATGATTCTCATTTTAAGGCATCGTCGGACATCAATTTTACATCTGAATTTTCTTTCTGGGACAATATAGCAACATTTCTTAATTGTAAAACACGACTAATTCAACGGACCCTCAAAATTTTTCCTTGCACTTTTTGTTAAACAAACCCATGACCCTCTAGTTAATATATAAAAAGTTGAATTAGAGTTATTGTGGCGTAAAAAATTGCTACTTTAGTCACTTTATACATTTTACATTTTGATACCCCAAATTTAATTTTAATGTAAAATCATTGAACAATTATGTTTTGATATCTAAATTTTATGAGATTTCCGTACATACAATTTTTAAAATTTAAAGTTGAAGTAGAGTTAATGTTGCATAACAAATTACAACTTAATCACTTTTTAGTACATTTACGGGGTACTAAACAAACTTCTACTAACTACATATAACAAAATATGTGATATCAACATATGCAAGTGTCAACAAATTGCTACGGTGAAAAGGGTTACCTGTTGTATCAACGACCAACCAAAAGAATTGGTCAAAACATTTCCATCATCTACTTTCTCTTCGTTTAGATTATGAAAGTAAATATTTTTAATTATATTTTAACATATTTCATACAAAATTAAGTATTATAAAAAAGACAAAATCAATGGCAAATAAACCACAAGATAATTATTTTTCAATCCAACTACCTACAAGCGGAATCGACGGGCTGAAGTTTAGACTCTACCGCAGCAAAGCACGACAACAATTCTAGTTATAACTTATAAGGCACGACTGACGCAACTTTCATATTAGTAAATTATTTGTTTCCCAAACAACTCTTACGGGTCGTTTGCGTCGTGGATTTGAAAAATGAAGGTTTTGATAAAACGAAGGTTTTCCAAAACCATGGACTTATAAGGGTTTTGGGTTCATAATGGACTTATAAAAAATCATTGTTTGTTTCATGGATTTTATTATGGATTGTGTTTAATTAGATTTATAGGATATAAAGTGAGATGACCTTATTGCCCTTATGAGCAATTATTTGTTTTATGCGTTTCACAACCTTGACCGCGTTTCACAACCTTGACCGCGTCGCTGCGGAAATTCGGGAGTCGGATTTGCTGTTGCTTCACGGAAATGGCGACGGGCTCCGCCCAGGATCAGGCCGATACTGCTCTTCTTCATGGCAATGTTGCCGTTTCGGGCGGCGAGGGAGGCGGTGGCGGTACGAGGATTGCGGTCGAGGCGGGAGGTGGAGGAAGAGAGACGAAAGCAGACGAGTTCGTGAGGAACCCTAGCGATGGTGGTGTTGGTCGCACTGCTGCTTCCGCCGCTGGCCCTCCCATCGACGATTGCTGCCCGATCTGCTTCGGCGACTTCTCCGTCGCCTGTAAAGCGAACTGCTGCCATTGGTATTGCGGTCCGTTTCCCTCTTTGCTTTTCTTTAATTCTGCTATCTTTTTCTCTTTCTGCGGTTCATTTCCGATACTAGATCGTGGAAGTGATGCGTGGAATTTCGGGGTTCTCTTGAATTTGAAGTGCTTCTTGTGTCCATTGGAACTTCTATCTTTCATTTCCATGGCTTCCTCGATCACTTGAGACGAAACTAAAGACTGAAAGGTCTAAAGAAAGTAGCATTACGCTTTCTTGGGTCTTTCGGAAGTGCTTGTTAAAAGCTGTGCTCTGAACGGAAAATGGAGCTGAATGTTAAAAAACTCTTCTTCTTTAACTTGCTGGGAGCTTTGAGTTCTGTTGTTTTAACTCACTAATTGCCTTCTATTTGGTGAATGGGGATGTATTTAGTTGCAGAGTTTTCATAGTTAAGTGAGATTGTGGGAATGTCAGATCCATGGTGACATGATGATTGTTCCTAATGCAGCTACTATCATGGGCATTAAGGTTTTATATGTTACATGGGGCTGTCTCTCTTTTCAGGAGGGTGCATTCTCCAGTTCTGGAACTACTCAGCAGCAGCAAAACCATGCAAATGCCCAATGTGCTCGTCCAGCATCACTAAGTTGACGCCAGAGGCATTGTTACTCAATCAACCAGAGCAGGGAGTTAAAGAGGTTTTGCAAGATGTTGAGAGGTACAATCGCCTGTATGTTGGAGGAGCACGTGGCCTCATTCAGGTAGAACTGGAGCCCCTATCAAGTTTTCAGTTGATTCTGTTTATCTCAGATTAACTGGAAGTTTATTGAAGTGTTCCTTGTTGTATATTTCTTGTTCTGGGAGAGAACTAACTGGCATTGTTATGAACAGAAAGTGCGGGAATCACCGTTATTCTTCAAGCGAATTGTTATGCAGATGATGGATCCTGATAGACCAGAGTACTTCCTTCAGGAAGCTCGCCTCTTAGCAGTAAGTTCCTTAAGTATTAGACATTTTTCTTCTGAAATACGCATTATGGATCTCGATGATGGTAGAAATTTGGGAGACATTTGTGCTGACCAATGTAGTTGGTGGGGCTATTCTGTTCAGCTTCTCTGTTCAGGTGTTATGATAATGCGAATGCTTGTAGATGTCATTTTCACTCATTGCCACAGAGGCTATATGAATATATCTGATTTGTTTGCAGCAGTTTGTCTTGTTTGAGCTAGTGACTCGTAGCATGTTTTGTGGACACAGAAGAAGGAGCCTTGTGATTATTTTGAATGGCACGACATTAGAGCTGCATTATACAAGGAGAGGAAAAGACTTGGTGAAATGGTTTCGAATTTGCAGCTGGAGAATGCAGATCTTCGTGCTGCATTAGACAGAGTGTCCAAGCATAGTGTTGATGTTGGAATTGAAAGCAAGAATGTGATATCATCCTACGAAGAGATAGTTGTTGCCATTAAGTCAATTAAGCTCAGGTTGGACCAGTTGGAGGCTGGGAGTTCAAAGCTCAAATGATTATGGGTGTTTCAAATTAGAATCCAGGACTGCTTAGTGCTGCAATTTTGTGCTATGTTTAGAGTGATCCCACAGATTTGTTTATTGGTGTAAGTTTCTTTTCATGTGTACTGGTTAGAGTGTTGTTAATGAGAAGCAGAGTTGTGTAATGGAATATTTAAGGATTAATGAAATGAAGTGCTTTGATACTTGAATTTGGTTTCTGCAGATAGTTCTTTAGGTAGCTTTGATACTGCTTTCTGATCAACCCACAAAATTGCAGACATGAATAGTAGAGTTTGTGATCATTCAGTATAAAAAGACGGCTTTCTACATATCACAGATCAAGCCATAGTCTTTAGTAATGGAAATGAAAATTATAAGATTGCAGCATATATACATAAATAACCTGCATATATTAATAAGTCAGAAATATACAACTTAAACTGAATACATAGCCAATTCTTCGACACATATTGGAATGGCTTGGAAACTTTCCAAAATAATAGACCTCCTACTTTAATAGTTGCATGCTAGCTCTTCTGAGTCAGCTCTGCATAAGAGGTCGAGTTTCCTATCCCTATAATGAGTCCAACTTTGTGAAGGACATACTCCAGAGACTAGATCAATTTCTTCCACAACATATGAAGGATGCTGCTCAGGTTCTTGGTCCCTATAATCTCTCTCAAAAGTGTCAACTCCCTGCTCCAGCTTGATGAAATTATGCAGCAAGCAACATGCATTCACTAATAGTGTAACAACCTCAGGGGAGAACCAGCTGGTTTCTCTAATAATGGTCTATTACCTCCTCCCCACTCTTTCAAATGATACCTTTGACCTCGATATGGAGCTAAAAACCCTTCAGAGTTGCTATACCCGGCATCTACTAAGTAGTATTTTCCTATTAAATTGAAAGAGAAACATGTAAGAACTAATCAGTGGAAGTAAGGTATATTTTCAGAATGTCTAGTTCCTTCTAAAAGGCTACATTACCTTTCTCAACGCGTAGTCCATTTGGCCTAGCCAATGCATCTCTAAGAACCTTTCCGTCATGGGCTGAACCCTCCCATCCAGCTAAGCAGTATATAAACTCGAGGTTGGGGTTGCACACTCCCAAAACATTCATTGTAATATGCCTTTCCCGATCTCGATACCTAGGTTTATTTTCTGTCCTAACACGCAGCCTCACATGTGTCCCATTTAGTGCCCCTAAGCAACCCTTTACCATAGAAAAACTAGCTGTTTTAGGATAGTAATTGCAGCTAACCTTGCAAGTTAAAGAAAATTCAAATAATTAACATACCTTGAAGTGTTTCCACTTAGGATCAGTACAATTTTCTGGTATAGCTGATGGTCGGCGGAGTAAAATAGGATGCAACTGAAGTACAGCACGTAGGACTCTATGAATAACTTTGGAGATAGTTTGTCCTGAGCGACAAAAGTCAACTTGTAGCATTCTGTTCTTCTTGTTGTGCCCGATGGTAACTAAAAACATCATGACCATCTCCTCTATATTGACATCATCTGAACGTTCTAACCACCCTTCACGGACGAGTAGCTGACACAACCTCTTGAACATACTACGACTCATCCTAATACTATCAATGCAACGAGTATCAGATAGATCAAGTACTCGTCTCATATATCTCATTCTATCATGTTGACGGTCAAATATGCTATCTAAGGGGGTGTTCCGAGGTCTAGATTTTATCTTTTTCATCACTAATAGCTCAAGAAATCTAATCAGCAAAGATACATAGACAAGTAACAAGGTTAAAACAATCCTAATAGCCTTCACGGTGTTCCGCTTCTGCACTTTATTAGATTTTCTTCTCAATCGAGCCATAGCCTTAACATCAAAAGAAGCATTACAGCATACAATCAGGAAACTTTCCATAGCAATCCATCAGAACTCTCAATGGAGCCACAACATTTATGCCACAAACCATAACACACATTTAGCTTTCAAATTCCAGTTCAAACAAGAAAGTAATTTCACATACAAGAAGCATCTATCAATAAGTTACTGATCTTTACAAACTCAGACAGAAAGGAGCTTTCTTTGTTTGGTTCAGCTTCAAACAATACAGATGGAGGCCTTATATTCTTATTATTGAAGTAGCTTAGAGAAAAGCTTGACTCTGCAGAATGCTGAAAACCAGGATTGCTTAAAAAATCGGACTCCAAGCTTTGGAGTATCTATGGTCAACTCAAACTGAAGAAGTAACATGTGGTTACAGAATGAAGATGCCCAATTCTTCTCCTTTTTTCCTCGCCTTTCTTTCTCTGGGGCATATAAGCAAACAGTAGGTACTATATAGGCTCAGAGAGACAAAAGAAAAAGAAGGGGACTTGCTCCATTTGGAGTTCAGATCGAGAGGAACATAGAGCTACCCATTAACCAAAGAGGGAGGGCGGAAGTGGGTTTCTATGGCGGTAAGCGGAATTCAGCTCTCACTCTGGCACAATTACGTGAAGTGCTGTGGAGGGCGGTGGGGAAAATGGAAATGGCGGACAGCAGCTGCAGGAAGGAGGAATGGTCGGTCTATGGTAAGGTTTTGGGGGTCTACACTCTACACTACTGGCTGTGGAGTTCAAGGAGGATAGAGATAGAGAGATGGAATATTAAAACTTCAATACACCAACAACATCAAAAAAGATCGGCCAAGCTTTAATCTAGGGTTCGTCGGGAAGAAAGACACAGATGAGAAGCAACGACAGAAAGCATACCTGATTGCAGCGACGGAGGAGAAGATCGAAGATTACGACAGAGAAGAAGATCGGAGATAGCGACGGAAGAGAAGTTTCTCTGTGAGTCGACTTCCTTCCCTTCGTTTTTTTCCCTCGCAATTTTCCCTCGCAGCTCGCAAACAGAAGCTTCACTCTTTTATCTGCCAAAATTTCGGAAAGGATAAACAGAAGGGCACTGCTGGCAATAACAAAATATGGCAGGGACAAAGGTGTATTTACACATCATGGACTTCAATCCATGATAAAAACCCACCTCAATAGCTAGAACCTCCAAATCCATGGGGCCCACGGATTTGGACCTCCAAAGTCCGTGGGCCCCACAGATTTCAATTTACTAAATCCCTAATGCAAACAATGATTTTTAGTGCAAATCCATGATGGATGGGTTTCCATGCCCAAATCCATCACAAAAACCTTGACGCAAACGACCCGTTAGTGACCATGTATTTATCCCATTCAAATGAGATTCACAGAGCACACTAAAATAATAAATGGGGCAGAAGGGCAACTACCATTAACCATTTTTTCCCTTCTAGGACCCCGGGTATGGTATGTATCTTAAAAAACCTCCAAGATGACAAATATGACAAATTAAAGAGAAACTCAGACTAGCAGACACCCCTTATAAGACCTTTACGAATGTTCTTTAGAGAATCGCAGATACAATGATAGGTTGGGGCAGAAGAGCAAACAATACTAGTTATATTTCCCGTCTATGACCGCATACAAAAAGTACAGATGGGCTGAAGGGCAACCATGGTTCCCTTCTAGGACTCATAAATATATAAATACTAAAATTGAAATTGATTAATGTTAATGAAAAAATAGAACTGACACGCACAACGTGCGGGCCAAAAGCTAGTAGTAGTAAATGCTTTCTCGATAAAAATAAAAATAATAACAATAAAATCCAATTTTGATGGGTTTTGGTCAATTGGTTAGGGTATTGAGCCTTTCTGTCAGTCCACTCAACATTTTTGTTTGTTACGCCATAAAAAATATGACATCGATAATGAAGTCTGGCGGGGACTGACGATCAGTGAAAAACTTCGTAAAGTTAGTGACAAATAAAAAATAAAATCTATTCGAATGACAAACGTGAAAAATGGGTAAAATTTGCTTAGATCAGGGCCCAGCCTATCGACCGGGTTGGTATAGTTAGGAACTGCAAATGAACAAATTTCCTCGAGAGCAACTCGTCATTCAAATTGGGAAGACCCTATTGATACTTGACTCATAATTTAACAAGTTGACTGGTGAGTTGTCTCCTCAAAAGCTAGTTTGACTCGGTCACTCGTTAATTTTAACCCTGGAGTTATGCTTGTTTAGAGCTTACAAAATAACTTGATTTTAGATTTTGAATAGTAATTATTTGCAAGAAGTGTATATGTATAGTAATTAATCAGGTTCTAATTGCTATTAAATAGTATGAAATTCTATTTGCCGCCCGTAGATTTACTATTTGCCGTCCATGTTTTTACAAAAAAGAAGGTACACTTTTACCCCTTTTACACCTTGCCCTTTGCTTCTTTGAGTAATGCTATGGTAGAAACTACTTAAAAAGCTATGAATACAATATACAAATATTACATTCTTTTGATCGAAATCTGCTTAACTTTTATTATGCAGAACTTGCGGCAACATTATTATTACAAGATAATCTTTTGTCAAGAAAAAAAAAGCTCCTCACAAGTGATAATTATCTTTCCGATTTTGCACTTCAATACATCTGGGATAACTTGGAAATTCGTTAGCAGATACTAACCGTTAGCCCAAATACATGAACTAATATCAAAGTACTAAAGTATCTAAAGAGCACAAACTAGTATTCAAAGTTTGGTAACTGATATCCACCATGAATCAACTATTATCCCAAATTCACAAACTAATATCTATACAACACATAATAGTATCCAAACAACACATAATTAGTATCCAGATAACATATAAGAGTATCCAGATAACCCATAAGAGTATCCATATTGAATACTAGTTGGTTGGTTGTGGATATTAGTTGTTATCTGCTATCTGGATACTAGTTTGTGATGTTTTGAATACTAGTTTGTGCTATCTAGATACTTAGCAGACTTGGATATTAGTTCATACATTTTGGATATTAGTTAGTATATACTAACGAATCTTCAAGTTATCAGAATAACTAGGCTGGCAAATTGTTGTATAAAAGAAGTAAAGTAAGGTTTAATATAGGGATGACAACCTTGACCGACCCGCCGGATACCCACCCGAAACCTGCCCAGATGGTGAGCGTTTTACCCGTCCGTCGTGGGTAAAGGGCGGATTCGGGCATACTCGAAATCCATGAGTAACGGGCAACAGGTGGCGATGGATCTCGTAGTATCCGCCTCGTCCCCGCCCTATCCTCCAAAACGATGTTGTTTTAAATTATCAATATATACACTAAATGAGGGTTAAAAAACCCTAATCGTCATTTCCTCTTGTGGCGCCCGACTGCTCCCCTTCCATCTCCACTCTTCCTATTCTTCCCCTCATTCCTCCCTATTCTAATCCTCATTCTCCCGTCACCCTTTCCTCTCCACTCCTCCTCTTATTCCCCTCGGCTTGAGATGGGGTCAGTAACCGACGGTTACTGACCTGTGAGTAACCATTTATGGGCCGTTGATCTGGGACAGAATCATTGTGTGGCTGGGATTGACGCGGGGTGGGAAGGGGCATTTTTGTCCGGTTTTTTAATTTTATTTATTTTCTTTTTCTACTTTTCTAGCATTTATATCATTACTTTTGACGGAGGAAAGAGAAAATCAGACTTTTCTCTTCCACTCTCTTTTCTCTTTCCCTTCCTCTCTTCCTTCTCTCTTCCAAACTCCTTTTTCCAAATCTAGATATATTCCTTTCTTTTGTTCTATATTTTTTTCTTCAACAATTGACAAAGAAAAATTGCAGCATCATGTCTCAAAATCTGGTGACGCTCCAAATCCTTCTTCTTTGCAGATGCTTCTTCCTTATGTTCTTTCTTTTCTCGGCCTCAAAATAGATGACGCTCCATATTGACCAAGAGGGGACGGATCTATGTGAGTTAAGTTTCCATGTTTTATATTTTAGTATTTGTTTGTGAATTTTCAATTCTGATCTTCCTCCTCTTTTTTGTTGCATTTGGTGTTCTTGATTGCGGAGGAGAAATGAGAGGAGACAGAAGACGAGTTTTTTTGTCTCTCCCTCCTTCTGTTTTTCTTCCTTTTAGGTAATATATATTGATTTTACCACATACCATATGGTAATGTGTGATAACTAAATGTATCTTTATGGTCACGAGTTTTATCATGGTGGTAGTGGGTGGTAATCGACTCCAGTTCTGAGAAAAAAGAGTTAGAAGACACTGAAGTTGGAGAAGAAAGTGAAGAGAGTCGTAATTGTATATATATTGAGATTACCACACTATACCATATGGTAATGTGTATATACCATATGGTAAAGTGTGGTAACGAAATGTATTTTTATGGATATCGTGTTTTACTATGGTCGTAATGGGTTGTAATTAGATTTATATTATTTTTGTATGGTTTTACCTTCTCATACCATGTGGTATTGTATGATAATTACAATTAATTTGTGTTCATTCGATTAACCATGTTCTACTATGGTGGTATTGTATGGTAGTTAGATTTATAATTTTCTGTAACATGTTTTACCATGTTATACCATGTGGTGGTAGTTGGATTTGTAATTTTATTTTAGCATGTTATACCATATGGTATGATATGGTAAATAGATTTGTCATGGTGGTAGTGGGTGGTAATCGACTCCAGTTCTGAGAAAGAAGAGTTAGAAGACACTGAAGTTGGATAAGAAAGTGAAGAGAGTCGTAATTGTATATATATATTGAGATTACCACACTATACCATATGGTAATGTGTATATACCATATGGCAAAGTGTGGTAACGAAATGTATTTTTATGGATATCGTGTTTTACTATGGTCGTAAAGGGCTGTAATTAGATTTATATTATTTTTGTATGGTTTTACCTTCTCATACCATGTGGTATTGTATGGTAATTACAGTTAATGTGTTCATTCGATTAACCATGTTCTACTATAGTGGTATTGTATGGTAGTTAGATTTATAATTTTCTGTAACATGTTTTACCATGTTATACCATGTGGTGGTAGTTGGATTTGTAATTTTATTTTAGTATGTTATACCATATGATATGATATGGTAAATAGATTTGTAAATTTTTGTAGCATGTTTTACGACGGTATACCATGTGGTATACTAGTAGTGTATGGTAGTTAGATTTGTAATTTTTTTCAACGTATTTTACCATGTTTTACCATGATAGTAGACAGTGATAATAAATTTCATATTTGTAATTACTGTCTTTCGCACTAAATTATTTAACGAAAAAATCACCATTTAATTTGAGTTGAAATTTGAACAAAGATAGGGCCTAAGTTCAGGTCCTTAAGGCCTTTTTTTTAAGAAGGAACTTTAAGCCTTCTGATTGGCTAATTCTAGATTAGGTAGTTAGTAGGGAGTTATTAGTTAAAAAGTTGTTAGGGGTATTAAGGAGAATACAATTAAATTAAAACATGCGTTTTTTTTGTTCAAAAACCCTAACCCATTGCTCTCGTCTGTTTCAAAAACCCGTCCGTCTCCCCCGACTCTCTCCGCCTGTCGTCCCAACTGCTCGGTCCGCCTCCCTTCTCCCCAACTTCTCCGGCTATCGTCCGTTGTTCGGTCCGCCTCTCTTCTCCGTCCCAATCGTGAGTGCTAGCCCAATGATGTTGCTTATGGAGCTTGCCTCCTCCTTCGCAACCTCTAATTCTAAAGGGAAGAGCCTCAGATATGTAGTCCCTCCTTGTAGTATCAGTCAGAGAGAGAGATAAGCAAAGGGATCGTGACCGGCGGCGGGGAACTTCCAATTCGAGCGGTGAGGGGTTGAGCGCTAGTTGGCGGCGGCGGAACCGTTGGCGGTGGCCATCATCTTCTCATCATCCTGAAAATTGACGCATCCGTCGCCGTCGGAATCGACGCCCTTGATCATCATGGAGCACTCCTCCATGGAGCACTTCATCCCGAGTCGCCGTCGGAATCTCTTATGAGATTAGGGTTTTGTCGTTGCATGAGAGGAGAGAGCGTTTGTAGAGTTTTTTCATCCCATTGTTAATTAATAAATACGTGCAGAGTTTTTGGTGTATGTTATTAATTTATTTTGTGGACGTTTACAGAGTTTTTTCATCCCATTGTTAATCAACATGTTATTAATAATTTTGTGGACGTTTGCAGAGTTTTTTCATCCCATTGTTAATCAACATGTTACTAATAATTTTGTGGACGTTTGCAGAGTTTTTTCATCCCATTTTTAATCAACATGTTCTCGTTCTCAACCTTTTGGCATCTTTTATTAATAATTCCGTGGGCATTTGGAAACCGTGTTGTTATTATATTATTAATGAATACGTGCTCGTTTTCAATTTTTTTGCTCTCTACTATTAATCTATCTGTCATGCAAGTCAATTATTAATGCTTTCGGTGCTTACAGTACTAATGCTTTGCATTATTAATGATTTATGGGCAATCATTAACAGAGCACAATATAGTTAGAAATATTAGCACACAATATTAATAACAAGATTATTAATCTTTTCATCTTCATTATTAACATATTTACCTACAGTATTAATGATTGTATGGCCAATTACTAATACACAAAAGTCATTTCTTATGTGATAGTCATTTCTCATAATAGATTGGATTTTGTATTAATGATTATTAACTTTTTTGTTACCATTATTAACCTTTTATATTTAAGTCATCAACGGTTCTACTACCATTATGGAAGTTTAATTATTAATACTTCAGTTACCAATTCGAAATTTTTAACTGTCATGTTATTAAAGTTTTTGTTATCATTATTAACATTTTCCTCACTCATTCAAATTGCAATGAGTTTCCTTTACTAATGTTTGTTTGACTTAATCACAGGTGCACTATGTCACAAGTGACGAAGATCTTGAAGATCTATATTGTGATTCATGATCACTGAGAATGATATACAAAGCAATATCAATTGATTGCAAAATGTTAACAATGTCATTAGAAGTCATTGGAAGATGCCATGACTAGATAGTTATAAACATGAGATGAAAATGCGAATCATTGGTAAAAAACTAAAAATATTGTAAATCAATAATATTGCACTACTCAAACTTTTAGTGGCAATGTTATATGACTTTAATGATTCATTCACAAGCATTGATGTCAAAAATGTAAAACAGTAATAATTGATCCAAAATTGTTAATAATGTAATTGTAAAAAATTGATAAGTATATTGAAAATATTAATAATGATTAGGTATAGTAATAATTATTTATTTCATAAATGTTGATAATGTCATTGCAAAACGTTAATACTACATTGCAAGTTGTCTCAAAATGAGAGAGAGCATGTATTTTTAATTTCATAAAAGTTAATAATATCATTGTAAAACGTTAATACTACATTGCAAGTTGTCTCAAAGTGAGAGAGAGCGGGTATTTTTAATTTTCATTTTAAGAAAGAAAAAACATTAAGTCCGAATTTATTAAATATTAAATAATAATATTTAATTTAATTAATTCTGAATTTTCTTTTAATGATAGTGACGAGAGAGGGTAATAAGAAGGTTACGGAGGAAAGAGAAATAAAATCATTAATTATTAGTATTAATTATATTTGTCTAATACCCCATTTACCCTCAACTAACAATTAACTACTAACCACTATTAACTACCTAATCTACTATTAACCAATGAGAATGACTTAAGAAGATGCTTAAACTTATAGGCTTAAGCACCGGATCCAACCCGCAAAGATAGCTAGGATGGTTAGATTATTTTTGTTGTAGATGAGAGAGAGGAAATAATGTACTTTTTCTAATAATAAAAAAAAAGAGTAAAAGAGAGGAGAACTAGTGTGAGGTGGGAGAGTGGGATCCGCGTCAGAGCATCATCGTCAGCATTAAATAGGGGTACAATTTACCCTATTACCCCTCCATATCAAATTTTAATAAAAGAAAAAAGCTGACACGTGATTCCGTTGATTCGGTCCTGTTCCCCTCCTCCCTCTTCTGATCACCATTCTCCACTCCTTCCCTCTTCTCTTCCTCTTATTCCCCTCCCCCCTCCGCTTCTGCAACCCCAAATCGAGCGTGCTCCAATCACTCATCCCGATCCGCCCCGATGCCATCTCTAGATTAATAAATAATTTGTTCGATACAAAATTACATAAAAGAAACTACAAATACCAAAAATTTGTTAACCTAAATTACCTTATGGTCTTTTCAAAGTATCCTCATTAAACTAGAGAATATAATTTACTAAAAATAAAAATTATGGCCGACTGGTTGGGTTAGAAGCTCGTCACGAAGAATGATGGTTTTAGCTATGATAAGCATTACAAAATATACATAGTGGACAGTGGTTGATGAATCTTATGCAGAGGTACATCTCTCTTCCCCATTAACAGCATCTGCAGATCTGCTTTCCGTTTCCCACCCACCCAAAATCAATAGAAAACACTATAGATTCATAGAGCATTAAGCAATCATCTAAAACATCGTCTGGCTCTAACATAATGCTGAAAAACTACTAATAAGCACCCACCCCACTCCTCTCTTTCTGCTTGCTTTTTAACAACTGTTGGTCCTTGGGTCTCTGCGGCTGGCTGGCTGGCTCGCTCTAAATTATTGCTACATAAATATAACGTGTATGCTTCGCCAAATAGGATCAAACCATCTCCAGTATTTTGATATTGCCGGTCGAATTTGCAGCAACAAGGGTCGAGGACTGGCCCCGCCAGCAGACCGATGAGATGAACTGTGACGTGTCGTCCATTTCATGCCCGGAAACTGGGTCTGTGGTGTTGAACTTGTATGATAGTGCTGGCATTGGGAAGGCTTTATGGTAGATCACAACCTGTGATTAAAACAAGTGTCAAATGCAGCATTACTGGCGATTCAACTGAGCATAAGAAAGCGAAGTCAAAGCCATGTCTTCCGCATTAAGGATCTTACCTCATTTGTTTCTGAGCCAGTGGCAATGTAACCATCAGCCACTGATAGACCAACGAAGTTCTGCAACATCAATAACGCAAACGAATCAACCATCGATCTTCATACAACAGTAATTTAGGTAAAAGCCATGTAGACCAAGCCCTTTCAGTAGTCATTAAGCACAGGACCACCAAGTACATAATTATAATATCAGCTTGTTCGATGGCATGTGTACAGTTAGGTGAATTTGTCACAGGAAAATTGTGCCTAAAATATGAGCGAGCTTCCAAGATATTTTCCAGATTACTATCGAGGAAAATCAAACAAGATGGCACAAGAAAATACAGGATGAACGCCTACTGTAATCACATCAAATGTCGTAAATCCAGTTGATATGATATGATATGATACAAAATGGTGTCTTACCTTCACGTTCATGTGGCCCGTGAAAGAGTGCAGTGGAGCATCAATGACTCGAGATGCACAGGCTGACAAATCCCAGAGCTTCAGCGTGTTATCCGTCGACGCAGAAACAATAGTTGTCGAGTCAACAAACTTCACATAACTCACAGTTTTACTGTGGCCAACCAACGTGCACAGTGGAACTCTCGAGTTACGAAGATCATAGTAGTAAACTCTATGATCTGCTGAACCAAATGCAAGCGAGCGACTGGAATCTAGCGGAAACTGAACACAGCAGACATTGGCTTTTGTTTTTATGGTACCAATGCTTACTCCCTGCAGTAGAGGGAAAAAATGTTAAAACAAACAACATTTTGTACGTGCAAGAACGAATCGATGCAAGCTTTAAAAATATATATTAGATAAGGTTAGTGTAAATAAAGATCAGATGACGTTAGTACGTTTAGTTTTTAAAGCTCACATCCAACAAGTGCAAAAAGTAGAATTGCCTGATTGATACTCCATAGCTTAACAGAACCATCATCGCTCCCACTAGCCAACAGTGTTGGATCTACAGATGAGAAGTCAATAGACCAAACGCGCTTCTCGTGCTCTCTCATTTCAGTTACTACCTGACCTCTTGAAGCATCCCATACCTACACATTTGTGAAAGAAGGTATCCCTGAACATGGTTAAGCAAGTTTTTCCATCTTTCGTGAACAAAGTATAAAAAGGTAGAAAGAAGTAAGGCTACTCAACCCACCTGCACCACACCTTCAAAGTTACTAGAAGCAATTTGGCTTTTGATATAGCTGTTCCAACATATACTGCTCAGTTTCGACCTGCTAGACATCTCAACGACCGGGTACTGAATATCACGGTTCTTATTTATGATTGCATCACACTCAAACACTTTTATCTTCTTATTTACACCAGCCGCAGCAAAGAACTCCCCATCACGATCAAAACTCAAAGAGCATACTAGGTTGGAGGAGTTCAATAAATCTCCCTGCTTCACATCAGCCTTGACTTTAAGCTTACTCAGAGATAGGTACTTGCATAAACCCTCAAGGAACGGACTAATCCACCCAGTTTGTCTGGCCACAACATGCTGAGCTCTTGGTTGTAACCCACTAATGGAGCTTCTTTCACTGGCTACAACTGAACCTCTTCCATCACTGCTCACTGGGGAATGTCTACTGAATGATCTTCCCAGAGGCCTTATTGTTGCTACTGGTTGGCATCTTGTCAGCAGATAAGCTGCCTCTAACTTCTTGAAGTTTTTCATGAGTCGTGAGTTTTTGAACAGTAAACTTCCTTGAGCTTGTGATGGCATTATACTTGAGTTTTGAGCATCCTCCAAATTATCATCAAATTCCTCAGCATTCTGAGTCTGACAGCCAGGTCGAGATCGTTTTCTAGAACCCAGGCCTAAACAATCATCTGTTTGAGATGGGTTCATGAGCAGGAGTTCAGAAGTCATAAGATCTTCCTTCCCTTTTTCTGCAGCTGTGTTTCCATTATTCCCTTGAACTGATTGATGCTTCATGACCTCTTCAATATCCGAGCACAAAAGAGAAACAGTGTCTTGCAACTTATCAGCAGCTTCCTGTTCCCTCTGTTGTATCAATAAGAGGAACTCGAGCAACAGGTCTTGCTCTTCTATTCTCTCTCTCAGCTGTATGGCTGCTTCACGCTCTTCTAGCTTATCTTTTGGTTCAGCAAGAAACTCGCTCTGCAACACATCACTGTTTGTAGAGGAGACAAATAGTGAGAACAGCTCTGAAACAATAGTTGATCCTCCACTAACATAAACAGTTTATTTCCTGTGTCCAAAATCAAGATTGCTCAAGTCTTGCAAGTAAGACATACGAAAAGTCGAAAACAGAACTAAAGGCAAAGGGGCAAAAGAAAGGTAATTACTTTACTAAATCCATTAACAGGTTGCTTGGTTGGGTGATTTAAGATAATTTTATTTGCAATAGCATGCAAATGATGCAATTGAACAAACATATAGTTGTTTCTGTACATTTTTTTAGGTATTTGGATGCATTTAAGATTCCAAATGAAATCTCTAGCGCATCATCTGATACACTTTCTTACTTGGAGGCAGGATAAATTTGGGGAAAATGCATTTTAGAAAATTGGTTTCGACCATGGATTTTTCTACTTTTCCGACACATTTTTCTACACAGATGCACCGAGCAAATGAAGATGTTATTATGAATACCCTCGCATACAACATAAATAGCATGCAATTGAGACAAATACCAACAAACCAAACACGCCCCTTAATGAAAATTGTTTACTCACCTCACACTAGGCCGACTGCTAGGCTCTGGATGCAACAACCATAAGCAAAAAGAAGCTGCTTTTGGCCACCTCAGCAGCAGTTGGGGAGGGAGTACTCGATGCCTCAAACTAGACATAGTTCTGCTCTTTTCTTCCCTTGAACTGACAGGGCAGAACAACTGTCCATCAATTGGACTATATAGCATCAGTGTAGAAAGAAAAATAGAAGAGCATATGAAGCTTCAAATACAGAGATTCACTAGCAAATAAAGTTGAATAAAAAAGTACAGCGTGGCTCCATACATATTAAAAACCTCACCTCGAAGAGAAGCACACCAAGCCGATATATATCTGATGCAATGGAGCTTGTCGAACCAGCAGCCTCTTCAGGACTGGTATACCAACCAGTCTCCATAAGCAAAACTTCCTTCATAGGAAACGGTGGTTGCTTTCTTTCTCCTTCCCCAACATTCCTATCATTATCTTCTTCATTGTCCTCTGCTAATGGCACTCGAGTCCCACATGCTGAGCTTGATTGTATGCAGCTAGTTTCAGAGAAAGCATTTGTTGATACAGGCCGAAAATCCTCACTTCCACCAGCACTCTTCTGCTGCTGGGAGATGGCAAGAAGCAAAGGAGAGCAAGAATCTCTAAGCTCAAGACCCTGGTTATGATTCAACCCATCTTCTAAAGAGTCGGACCCGGAATCAGAACCAGAAGCAGATTCAATGAAAGAGACATGGTTAAAGGAAGACATAAAGAAGCAAGAAGGTCGAACATTGTTGACTACAATCCCTTGAGAATGTGCTATATTTACAATGTCAACAATTTGAGAGAATATGTGCAAGCATTCGAATTCCTCAACCGGTCTTTCGGGTTTGTCCAACCAGTGCCTCAAGCTAACATCGCCTCCCCACCTCATTGCCTGGACAAATTGGTCCAGAGAAACTTCATCCTCCAGGTGAAGTGACCTGATGGCTCAAATTAAGGCTTCCCATTGCTAACCTAACAGCCTCCTCCCCAGACTTGAAATTAAGCAACACAGGTACTTGAATACAGTCAGCAACTATGAAGCTCTCAGATTCTATTGCACTATCAGGGTTCAACCGCACAGAGTCAAGGGAAAGCTCCATGGTCACTTCCATGGAATGCAAGTAAACCAGAAGAACAAGAAGACCTAAGAAGTAGAGCAACTCCCCAAGTTCTACCAGGACCTCTACTTCCAACAAAGACCATCTTCAGTTTCAAATGCGAATTCCCAAGCAAGAAAGCAAAAACCCCAGAAGCAAACACTTGTGTGGCATGAACAAAACTTCTTTCCTGCGGTGCAATTAACAACAGATCAATAAGCAACAGTTGAACCATGATTACGAGGGGAACAAAGAATGAACAACCAAAGAAAGCACAGAAGAGGGCACAAGAAACCACTGATCAATGGAAACTTGCTTCTGGTTTTCAAGATAAAAGATATAAAATTATTGATCACCCATATAAGAATTCACAATTAAAGCACATTTCAGGCAGAAAAAGCACACAGCAGCAGAACACACGCGCTCCACAACCCCATGAAATGAATACTAACCAAAACTCACCCAACACCTTCAAAACTACCTTATTGTCACGTGCACTCTACACAACCATAAACACCATCACAACCAAAACAAGCTTTGTTCTTTTGAACAAAACCAATAAAAGCTCACTAATTGATCACCGGTACAGCCCTGGTATAGAGATAGAAAGGCAGAAGAGAGGAAAGCGTACCACAGATTCAGTGAAGGAAGCAAGGTGAAGATACTCCTGAACCACACAAACGTAAGACAATAATCACCAACACTAGTCCTGCTGCAGCTTGGGGCAAATTAAAGAAAAGAAAGTACTGTTGAGAATTGACAACCTCAGAAGAATTTCTGATCTTTTCCCCCCCTCCCACCCTCCCTTTAATGTGGGTTCTCTGTTCTTTTCCTAACCACTAGAAAACAAAGGCAACCCACACAAAAAGAAAAACCCCCTACATGCAGATTTGGGAGGTGAAATTTGGAGCAAAAGGGAGCTTGGGGAAAAAAACAACAGGATCAAATACAAATGCACACTTCTTCTACTTCTATTTTACACCATTGCTTCTTCATCAGGAGGCCCTACGGCTACGCCAACCGACCGACTGCTACTTCATTTATGAATGCGAAGATTTTTTTTTTAAAAAAGGACGAAATTTGTTTCCTCTCGTTTTCTTCTTGTTAAAAAAATGGTGGGCTGAAGAAGTGTTATCTGTTGGCTTTTGCCATGGAAGAATAAGGTTCACTCACTCTGTGGCCATTCATTATCTTTTTCCCGCTCTATTCCCACCTCAACGACGTGGCGCCACCATAACCTCAACTTCCACTGCAGCAGCCTGCAACCCAATATAGATTTTTTCCTTTTCTTTTCGGATGTTTATATCAATAAAAAAATCATTTTTCTTTCCCGGGAAACAAACGGAAAGTGCGGGCATTTTCCTCCCCTCGAAAAGATCCATTGGAGGTTGCCGTGAGGGAGAAAAAGAACATTAAAAAATGAAATGAAACATGCCCAAACGGGAAAGTTTCTTACTTTCCTCTTCTCTGCCTCGATTGGATTGAAGTATATGGTTTTCGATCCCCAAGGATTAAGTTTCCACGATTAAATTAGTAACAGTGAGTGATGATCGCTGACTGTAGTTAACAAACAGCGAACTTGGTCAATCATTACATTTGTCACAGCCCACAAACAAATTAAAGTTGGGGCTTTTTCGCCAAAACGTTAAAGACAATTTTATGGGGTTAGATAGGATGACTAGAAGTGGCAAATTATAATTCTGACTTGTTGATCTGATTCGAAATCGCTCGAAAATTAGAAATTTTTTAACCCGAAATTCGAATGATCAGAACCCAATAATTCGTGATTTTTTGGGTCGAGTTGGGTGGGTTAGAGGGTCGACCGTTAGACCCGTTAGACCCGTTTCATTTAATATATTACTCCCAAAATATGATAAAATTACTCATAAATTGGTGAGATGTTTAAGAAAAATCACAAGGATTTGAATGACATGTTTGGAGTTTAAAGATAATCAAATATCATGTGTTTCTTGTAGTAGTATTACTCTTGTGATTGTTTTTTGACGATTTGCGCAATTTATATTTCATTTCATTAACGTGGGAGGAATATGTTAATTGACATGTGTTAGGTAAACTATTTCCATGCATATGTGAAAATTTGTGTTCCTTAAGAAAATATGAAGCATGTAGCCCGACCCAAAACCGAATGGGTTGGGTCAATATTTGACCCGAAATAAGCCAACCAAACATGACCAGACTCGTAACCGAAGTTCCCAACCCGAAATTGCCCAACCCGGCTCGATTGCCAGGTCTAAGGATGACTACCCCTGGAAAATGACATCTCTATTAATCATAGGCTTTTAAGATAATTGATTTGTGTTGTATTTAATAATCTATCTAAATTAAAAACTCATATTAATTACTTTCCTTTTTTCAGTGGAATGATAGTTCTACCCGTGCAATGATATCAGTGTATAGGTGCAATGTATCAGTGCAATGGTAGTTCAAAAAAAGGAATGTAATTAAAATGAGTTTAGTGTACAAGTGCAATTATAATTATATCAGTGCAATGGTAGTTTAAAAAAAATTTAATTAATATGAGTTTTTAATTCCTAAAGATTATTAAATGCAACACTAATTTAATACCATAATTAACTATAATTAATAGAAGATGTCATTTTTTCCAACCACATAGAGGGGTTAGCAAGTGAATCGATCCCATTTTTTGGCTCAAATGTTGGGGGTGAGATAGCATGACTACCCCTAAATGGGTTGGAAAAATGACACCCCCTATTAATTATAGGCTTTTAAGGTAACTGATTTGTGTTGCATTTAATAATCTATCTGAATAAAAAACTCATATTAATTATTTTCCTTTTTTCAGTGCAATAGTAGTTCTACCGGTGCAATGATATCAGTGTACAGGTGCAATGGTAGTTCTACTAGTGCAATGATATCAGTGTACATGTGCAATGGTAATTGTAACAGTGCAATGGTAGTTCAAAATAGGAATGTGCAATGATAGTTGTATCAGTGCAATGGTAGTTTAAAAAAAAGTAATTAATAAGAGTTTTTAATTCCCAAAGATTATTAAATGCAACACAAATTTAATACCATAATTACTATAATAATAGGGGTGTATTTTTTCAACCCATAAAGGGATTAGCAAGCTAACTGATCCCAATTTCATGAGGTGCATGTATGTATATGCATTGTGTGAAAGTTAAATACTTGATAATGGTGCTCTTATGAATAGAAAGATTACAGATATGATCAATATGCTCATACATATGCTTCTCATACTCAATGAAATCCTATATGATACGCTATATGGATGGTGGGTTTGGATGGATTTACGTGTTAGGATTAGAGACAGAAAGATAGAATCAATTATTGAAAGTATGAGGTGTCCACTCGTTTTAGAGTGTTATTTGTTGCTACTACAAATTCCCGGTAGGATTTAGGTAAATCGGCTCATGAGTCTCTACAAACTAATATCAAAAAGCAACAAGTTTAAGATTTGTGTGTTCGTAATCAATAGCGAACCCAAATTTTCTATTTAGGGTGCCCTCTCCTAGATTAAATTAGAATAAAAAATAATTTCTTACATTAGAAATATTTATCACGACGTGTTTTCATATTTTTAAGAAATTGTAAACTACACTCGGTTTTTACCGTTTTCAACAAAAAAAAATTCATTATATCCTATTACACAATCATTCACAACATTAGAATTTATTTAATTTCAAAATTTGTTCTTGATGTAGTCTAAACCTGAACAATACTTTCAATACTTGTAGTTGCAAGCTTCATCAATATCAGAAGGGGATTGAGAATTCAATTTTTAGAGTTTGGATACATTTGTTATAATTAAAATTTTTTTTACATATTATAATTGCATTTACATTTTAAACATAATAATAAATTAATGGTTTGTATTTACATAAAATCCACTGGGTTTGAAAAACTCAAACACAATCCGTTGGGTATCTACGGGTTCATGGGTTCCCATGTGTTTTTGTAGTAAGAAATTTACAATAACAAGTTGCTATCAAAATAAAAGTCAAACATCAATTTCCTCATACAAATTATCCATACATAAAACACCAGTCTAGAAAATTCAAACAAATCACAAATTATCCATACAAATTGTTCAACACCAATCTAGAAAATTCAAGCATGGTGTGTTCAACTTCTAGAAAATTCAACACACAATTCTTTGTTTTTCGTTCATTCCCTTTTTGTTTGTGAGAGAGCAGCAAACCAACAAACATGGTGTGTTCAACTTCAATTATTAATTTATCCTTCTCACTTTTTTTGGGAAATTAGAATTAGGGTAAGGTTGGAAGAATAGGGAGACGGAATAAATGTGGTCGGGTATCCATGGGTCAGGTACCACTAAACCCATATCTAACCCAGTGATTAGTGTAACGGGTTTAAACCCAAACCTAACCCGAAAACCGTCAACACGGGATTTACCTGCGTTAACCGGATTGGGTCGGATAAAGTACCTGTGGGTTCGGGTTTTGTTGCCATCCTTAGTACTCCCAAGCATCCTCAAATAACCCAACTCCAGTTGTTTCACAAATATCTCGAGAAACATATAAAAATCATGAGATTTAAAATAAGTACCTCATGTTAACTGGTCTCAGCTTTACATGAATAGGCTACATGCGACTTTGTGCTACATTCAATCTTATATATATATTACATTGATAATGCTCGATCTTACATAAATCATTGCAAGCATTAATAAAATTTATTTTATATCTTTTTATTTTTACAATCTAATTGTTTTTATGAGTTACATATTCCTAAATATAAATTATGTTATGTGAACTAATTCTTTCAATTGCTTTTTCATAACTAATTTTTTTTCTTACAAAAGCTCACTTGTATTAACAAGAACACCAAGTTACATCGTTTCAAACTCCTACCAGAACCAAACTCTAAAATGAAAGCTAGTAAAAACCGTAGGAAACAATGACAGGCCTTTTCGAGCCATCCTATGGGCTACCCTGTTGTTCTACCTACCAACAAAACTAATACGAAACCCCGACACGAGCATCAGCAGCTGTATATTTCCTCCAACAGGGCTCCACCTACAGCATCGAAGACTGCACCAGCATTCACCTTGTCAATAATGATCTTCGCATCCCCTTCAATTCGCACCGCATTAAGGCCCTTTTTTTGACTCCACCGGATGGCATCACATAACGCCACAGCCTCAACCAGCAATGGATTCTTCCACCACCACATCAGTCATGTCGTTCAAGAACAATCCCACTGACGTATGCAATCCCGAGCATACCGCCCTATCAAAGGAGCACACCATATGCACATCAACCCCATCCTCAGTGACCGTCCCAACTAACTCCACCGGCATTCCAATGTTAGGCACCCCTCCGGTAACTGCAACCATTCCTGAACGTGAAACTGGAGTTTAAGCAAGATAGGTAAAGTCTGTTTACCCTCAAAGGCCACTTCATTCCTAGCCTTCCAAATTCTCCATAACTCTCAAAAGAACCGCACCAACCTCGGTGGAGACGAATCTCGTCCCAAAAATCGTCGAACGAAGATATTGAAACACACAGTCGGCAACGTCTATAGGTCTATGGCCAATCCCGCCTCCTCCCATAAAGTTTTCATCATAGGATAGTGCAAAAACAAGTGCTCAGTACTTTCCTCCTCAGCACAACATACTGGGTAGGGGAGCAAGATAGAGACCTTCTTATCGTATAACACTTCCATCATCGGCAAATGTCTCTGAAATAGTTCCCAAGCAAAGAACTTTAGCTTAGGTTGGATATGGAAATCCCAAACCTTAATCTAGAGGCTACGGTCCATGGAACTACATTCTTGCTTCCATTTCCCCACTAATTAGGATTTTTTCTCAGCTAGCTTATACCCGGACTTGACCGTATACACCCCAGATGGGTCCTCCCGCCATACCAGCTTATCAGGGATAGCACTTCGCGGAAAAGGAATCTCTAGAATGGCACGCATCATCTCCGTGTAGGAGGCCGACTCCAAACACTCCACACACTATTCGTCGCGGTCCTGGTCAATCAACGTAGAAACCAGTTCCGTCTCCACCCAGGTAGCATCTGGTCGGACTACAGGACCCTGTGGGTAGATATATGGGATCCATCCCTCTGACACAATCGGTATGAATGCACCCGAACCTACCTGGCAGACCATACCTTGTCTAAGCAATTGACAACCATGGAGTACTCCTTGCCATCCCCACGAAGGACAAGATCTGGTGGTCGCCGAGAAAATTGACCCATGCGGGAAATATTTACCCTTATAAATTTGTTCAAGGAGCGTCTCTGGTTCCGTATGAATATGTCAAACAATCTTTTTCAGGAGAGCCTGATTGAAGATCTTAAACCGACAAAAACCCAGCCCTCCCTCATGCTTACTTCGACAGAGACAATTCCAGGACATCCATTGGCTCCTCGGTCGCCCATCCACAAATCCCCACCAAAATCTTGCCACATGTTTATCCAACCTGCGGCAAGAGGTGGCAGAAATATTAAAGCACGTCATAGCATGTACAGGAAGGGTCGCTGCCACAACCTTTATTAGTGTCTCTTTGGCAGCCATCGACATGTGCCTCTACTTCCAGCCATGTATTTTTTTGTAAGAGCTTCTCTTCAAGAAACCGAAATGTCTCTACCTTCGACCGAGCCACCAAGGATGGGAGACCCAAATACTTATCCTGGATACTCACCACTCCAACTCCTAATAGCCCTGCCATCACCTGAACTTCTGTATCCAAGATATTCGCACTGAAACAGACCGCTGATTTATCCAAATTCACTCAATATCCACTCAAATGCTCGTACTCCTGGATCACAGTCTTGAGATTAGGTCACTCTTGCATCGAAACTCTAATGAACAAATTGGAATCATTGACAAAGAAGATGTGACACACGGGGAGCCCTCGGGCTCACACGCACACCTTCTAATCACCTATTCCCAATTGCTTGTCGAAGCAATTCTGCAAAACCTTCTGTACACAGGACGAACAGTAGAGGAGATAGAGGGTCCCCTTTTCTCAACCTTTCGCGTATTCGAGAAAAAACCCGTCAGTTTACCATTCATCATAACAGAGAAAGATGATGTTGAGATACATTCACGAATCCAACTGATCCATAAGGAGTTGAACCCCAACTTTCTTAAGATAACCAGTAAGAAGGGCCACTCAACTCTATCATAGGCCTTTTCCATATCAATCTTCAGAGCTAAGTATCCCTTCTTACCTTTCTTCTTAATTTTTAAGTGGTGCATAATTTCATGCCCGATCAGCACATTATCAACAATGTGACGTTCTCGAATAAACTCATTCTGGCCTGGCGACACGATCTCCGGTAGAAAAATCGCCATTCTTTCCGCCATAATCTTTGATATGATCTTCTACACAAATTGTCATAGACTAATCGGTCACAACTGTCTCGTTGTCTCCATCTTCTCCACTTTTGGGATGAGAGTAAGTCATGTATAGTTAAAGCTTCGTAAAATACGCCCATTCGCAAAAATGTGCGTACAAATTCCACCACATAAGGTCCTACGACATCGCAAAACGTCTTAAAAAACTTTCCAGTAAACCCATCCAATCCCAGAGCCTGAGTGGAACCCATGGCAAAGACCGTCCATCGGGTCACCTCATCCACTAGTGTCGCGTTCATCTCAGCATTCATTCTGTGCTCTATGGAAAAGACATTAACTTTCTCCCAGATGACATCATCATCCGTCTCATATATGAACATATGAAAATAAAAATCAACCGCTAATTCACCCTTTGCCTCTTCCTCCACTATCGATTCACCAGTCTCCGTTCGAAGTTGATCCACATGATTTCGCCGTCGTCTCTCCCTTGTGACCGTATGAAAGTAGGAAGACTTATGATCTCCTTCCTTCAACCATCGAAAATGGGATTTTTGGCGCCAGTATATCTCCTCCTCCACCCATTTAAGTGTTAAGTCCCTCTCCAAGGTATTTACCCACTCCCAATCAATTGGGTATTCCTCCTTAATAGAAGCAATTTCCGCCTCCAGCACACGAATTTTCCTTGGTGAATTAGAAGTCCCTGCTCGACTCCATTGAAACATTTTATGACGAAGCTTCTTCAGCCTAGTCCAAATTTGGAACATTGGGGAACCATGAATTTGTTCACTCCAAACCTCCTCCACCATCGGCAACACCTCCGAATTTGAGGCCCAACGAGCATCAAAACGGAAGAGGGAGCAAGTGCTTTGTATGGGTTATCAACAACAAGAAGTGCTCTATGGTCATAGCCTGGATCCAGCCCGTGGGTAACTAACGCATCGAGGAATTTCTGCATCTAGAGATCATACGTGAAGGCCCTGTCCAGCTTTTCCCGAATTCACGCACTCCCCATCCGCCAATAAGACCAAGTGAAAGGATTACTGATAGACCGTTAATTGCACATGTTTTTACCCCTATTATTGAGCAGTTTGAGATGTTGATTCTCGTGTTTAGGCTGATTTCACGCTAGGTTGTGCTTGTTTGTGATATTTCAGGTCCTAGTACGTGAATGAAGGTTTGGGAGCGAGTTCGGGGTCGATTGGACGAAGATCGGACGTGTGGCGAGACGCTGAGGAAGCCACACGGGCACTCCTAAAACCCACACGGCCGTGTAAAAAACCCATGTGGCCGTGTGGGATTTGCCGAGGCTTCACACGGGCATACTGGAGATTCCACACGGCCGTGTGTCCCTGGACGTGTAGGTAGCCTGAAGTCCACTTAATCTAAACTCCGCGTTTTGACACTCACGCGGGCAGCTGGGTAAGCCACACGGCCGTGTGGCCTGCCCGTGTGAGTCGGGAATTCTGGTTTTAACCCAATTTCGAGCCCCAAGTGAGGGAATCGACTTTTCAGAGCAAAAACAGAGCCCTAGAGAGAGAAAGTGCGAAGAACACACCCTAGAAGCGATCTTGGAGCTGGGTAGCGATCTTGGAGCTGGGTTTCATCAAATCGAGCTTGGAGATCATCATAGGAGTGAAAATCATCATCCCAGAGCAGATTCTTCCCATTGTTATGAGTATGACTGCTTTGTATTCTGTTTTTCTCTCTCTCTCTCTCTATGGAGTAGGCCCTTCTCTCACTTGGGTATGAAGAACCCTAGTTCCATGTGTTAGGGATCATGATTGTAATGACTTGGGATTGCTATATTGTTTGGTTTTAATCGAATGATGCATGATTCATTGAATCGATTGAAGTCTGATCGGCTTTTCTTGATTTCTGCTGCAACCTGAGATAGATAGAATCTGATTAGGTTGTTAGAGCTTCATCATTCGGTAGTAGTAGATTGGTTATACGAGAGTTAGTCAGTCTACTGCTTTGTACTGGAATCCAATTCCAGTAGTGGAGTTCTGTGCTTATTGCTTCAACTTTCTATCCCGGTGAAGACTAGTCGCCTGCCGGGTAGTTAGACTGAGAGGGCTTGGTCAGTTTAAGAGATTCCAAGCTACTGTCGGATCTTCCGCAGTTTAATCAACAGTAAATCAACCCAGGGTAATTACAACTAAGACCTAACTAAGGAGCTAAGGGGACTCATTCCCGAGTGACTCTTCCTTTGCTTCAGAAAACCGAACCAATTCCTGCTTTCTTACTGCTTTTAGTTAAAACAACAATCAATCGACTTAGTTTGCTAGATAATAGATAATCACGGAGTAGGCAATAGATCTAGACCCCGGGTTGATAATTAGAACTTGCCACTATTCTGCATTTCCGGACTGCGATTACACTTGGTCGCAGTTTGGTGTTGTGTCGTAGCGTGTCAATTTATCCGAAAGCCTAGGTCATGAATTCCCAATTCCATCGACGAAGGATCGGAAATCTTGGGACTACCCCCGCTTCCATGGATTTCCCCCTATTTTTTCATCGGACGAGAGAATCCCGTTAAAATCAAAATCACCAACCATCACATATGGTACCTGTAATCCCGTACAATAATTATGTATACTATCAAATTGCATCACACGCTCACTAGATCGACAACTCAAGTAAACAAAAACCACCACCAAATTTATTTCATTAACAACCAAACTCACTGAAATAAAAACGAACAACTAAATAACACCGAGACACCGCTCTCAGGGGACCACGATACTACTAAACCTGCGAGATACAACTTTACGACGCGATCGAGTTTCCGAAAAGAAAACTACATCAGGATTATTGACACGAACTACACCTAAAATAGATTGGAATGTGAGGGATGGCCCCATTCCCACGCACATTCCATGCCAACAGTCTCATTTGGCACCTTGGGGCCATTATCGACTAGCTTCCTCCACAACATCTGTTTGTTCCCCAATAATCGTCTCAGGCTCTCAGCTGGGTCCTCCAAGCATAATTTTTTCATCGGTGTCGGATAGTCGGGCAAGTTTTCCACCAGTTCTGGAGCCATTTTCCTATCATCGAGGTCTTCCACGTCGGGTGCCACAATCTGAAACACTCCCTTGATAGGAGTCTTCTCTCCCACCCCTGTGTCCGCTACCTCTTCTCCCTCTGGAACGAGTGGCTGACTAGCCCCATTCTTCTTTGTCTCACTCGCAACAGCCTCTGTCATTTTTATTGCACCCTTCCTACTCGTTCCCTCCTTCCCACGAGAAGTGACCTCTTCAACCTTCCCCTTCTAGCATGATCTACCTTTGTTTCTGGTTGCCTCCACCATTTTGTGTTTAGTAGGGATACATATCTTCACAGCCTCTCTCTTTCCGGCTGTTTTGTCGTGGAGGTCAGCTCCCACCTTCCCCACATCTTGACCTTTCCCCGCTATCTCTCTCCTTCCTTTCTGTTCATTCTGGAAATATGATTTTCTCAGATCAGCAGCCTTGTGTGGACTTCAATTTTCCCTGGTCAAATGCCTTGTCGTTTGTCCCTGGGAGCCTTTCCTTCCCAATCGATCAATTATGTCCCTCCTCCTGCGTTTTCTTCCCATCCTGTGATCCTTTGCGTCTCCCCTGATCATCACTCTTCTTCATATTAACCTCGCAAGGACCTGCCATTTTTTGGCCCTCCTTCTCACCCTTTCCTTTCTCCACTGTTAGAGTTAGGACCACATGCCGCTTTTCCCGCAGGATGATACCCCGAACTTGACCCCATCTCCAATTGTGCCTCTTTCCCATTTCTCTTCTTTCCTTAAGTAACCGGATACACCCAAACCGTTTTCTACAGTGGGGCTCCATGACAGGGGACAAGGTTATCATTCAGCCTGTATCCCGATTATTTTGTAGTCAATCCCGGTCTGAAATATTCTTCCCCTGCTGGAAATGGAAACACAAAGTTATGTTCAGTATGTCCAAACCGACCACAATGATAACAATACAGAGGGCAAGTGTTCGTACACCAGAGTGAACCAGAATTTTCCAACAATCGGGTTGCTGGCAAACAATTGTGAGTGGTGGGTTCCAGGAGGTTCAGATTCACCAGTACCATCACAAAGTGCCTCGGCATTCCCTTGATCCCAAAGAGGTCAGCATCAATAACTTCTCCTAGTTTCGCCTCTGCCATACGATGACAAAAGGCAACAGTGCGACAATGTGAGGGGATTCCCTACATTTGCACCCAAAATGGAGCACGTCCCAGCGATTCCACCACCTCGGAGTGACCAGTTCCCCGGGTGAAGCTGAAGAATCATGTCCTTAATGTGCCATGGGGTTCAATGAAGAGCCCAGTCCATATCCTTCTCGTCCTCGAACAATAACTGGATGAGTCTCAATTCCGCTTCCATAACTCTGACTTTCCCCAAGCAGGACCACTCTCCATAGCGGAAAACTCTTTTGCTCTAACTCGGATAAGGTTCTTAAAGTAGCTGATGATCTCTTGTTCACTGTACGTACTGAAAAGAACAACAGAAAGCCGTAGCCAAATAGATCTTGCTTGAAGAAAGGAGCGCTCAAGGAAGTTCCTAACGGGTGTGGGGCACTCTTTCACTTGTTGCTAGGACTAGAGGGGTGGCTGTCTCCTCAGCATCTTGTCCCCAGGTTCTAGTACAGAGAAGAAAGCAAGTCGAACTCAATCCACCGGATCGTTTTCAGACTTGGAGGGTTCTCGAGAAACAGTCTCCCAGTCAGACTCAATTTCTCTCTCCACTTGCTTTCTTCAACATCCTCCAGCTCGAACTTCACAATCTGATCCGCATCCATGGGTTCAATTGATATGGTGCCCTGCTTGTCAATGGCCTGGTAATGCTGTGAAAACATCCTAAACATTGATAAGAACAATAGGCAGCCGAGGTGGGGAACGAGCCAAAGAACATAAAGACGGTAAACAATGTTCTCAATCATGGTTTGATTATCTCTTTTCTTAATAACTCCCAGTTCTTCTAGGTTTTCTGCCTGCCTCTCGAGCTTATGAAAGAACTCACTGAGAGGGTCAAGGCTGCTGCATGTGCCAATCGATTCACCGTATCTGTCACCGATTCCTCTCCTATCTTTATCCCCAAATTTTCCGGGATATTATATCCCAACGGCGGATTTGGGTATATCGCCAGAGCTTGCCTTTTCTTGAGGATAAATCCCAATCTCGATAAACTTTTTCACCACCACCGGTCTGGATTCTCTCGAAGTTGCCAGATCTTTGATCCAACTGAAGGATTTCTCCCATATCTAGGTTCCCACTCTGTGTTGCATTTAATAATCTGTCTGAATTAAAAACTCACATTAATTACTTTCCTTTTTTAGTGCAATGGTAGTTGTATCATTGCAATGATAGTAAAAACAAAAAAGAATGTAGTTAATGAGTTAGTGTACAGTAGGGATGACAATTTGAACCCCCCCCCCCCCCCCCCCCCCCCCCCGGCCGGGTTTTACTCGACCTGACCAGCGATGGGACGGGTATTACCCGACCCGCAGTAGTGTTGGGGCGAGGCATGGGTATCTACTTCCGACCCACTGCCCCACCCCGTTCTTGACCCATTATGTCTCAATTTCTTACATTATATATCATATTTTTTCCTGTTTTGACTTGTTTTCAATTAGTTAGACTTGATATTTCAACTAGTTAGACTCAAGTACCCATTCTATTATCACTGTTTTTCATTCATAAAGTGTTTCCCCCTTCGGTTTATCGAAAAAAATAGAATTTTGCATGTATTTTTTCCAAATAATATGTAAGAGTGGGTCGACCCGTCTCGCCCCGTACCCGCACGGGTATTACTCGGCCCGACCCGTAGTCAGCGGCGGATCTAGGGCTGGGCCAGCCCGGGCCACAGCCCAGCCCTCCGTCGGATCCAGAGCTAGTATAATGGTTACAAATTTTTCGATTTTAGGTATTCGGTCCAATACTATTTAAAAGTCGGTCGAGTTTTATTTGATAATAGAATTTTGTGTAGCTAGAAAAACGGTCTAGATAAACATATGTGAATAACTACTCCCAATTTAGCCTAGAAATTCTAGCCCGAATGATTTTCATTTGAAAAAAACAATAAAACCTAAATTTCTAAAACGTACAAGACCGTATAAAGTTTCATTGAAATAAGAAAACCCTTTTAACAAAGTGATTTTTTTGTTGATTCGTCTAGTGTTGACCTTGCCCGTATATAGCGGCTACCATGGAGAGAACATTTTAAGCAATGAAGTATGTGAAAACTAATTTGCGCAATAAAATGCGTGATGAATTTTTCATTGATTGCATAGCTATTTTATTTGAGAGAGTATGCTATTTATATGGATGGAGATTATATTATTGATGAGATTTGCCAAATTAAAAAAACCTTCTATTACAATTGGCATTTTAATTAATGAAACTATAGTTATTATATATTTTTCGGTAAATACAATTTATTAACCAAACCTTTCAGAATTTCCAAATTATTAGCCAAATCTTTTGAAATATAAAATATTAGATAAATCTTTTGTAATGCATCAAAATATTAGTCATTTGTCTGTTACCGTTGGTAATTTTGTAACTAATTTCTTATTTGAAATACTAAAATTTGGGAATATTGACTATTTTTGTTTATGACATCCAATATTATATTTTGTCATAACAGAAGCGTGCAATCGATAATCCAGAGCAACATAAACGAACACGAATTTAACGTGGTTCACTAACACAATGTGTGCTAGCTAATCCACGGGCAGGGGGGGAACAAATTTCACTGATTTGAGGAGAGTATATGTTACAAACCAAATTCCAAAAGGACAAACCAAACAAACTAACCCTGACTGACCTTTCTACAGACTAGGGTGATGAAGAGTATTTATAGAATTCTTTTTCTAATCCCAAACAGAAAACCAAACACTTTTTCCCATACATACAATGAAAAGGTCAAACAAAACCCAAACACAAACCCAAACAAAATAGGCCCAAAACACAACCAATTCAAATTCAAGTCATATTCTAACATATTCAAATGCGGCCCAATGCTCTATTATGTTCTGCATCCGCCACTGCCCGTAGTAGTGTGGGGCGGGGCATGGGTAATGAGGTACCCGCCCCGCCCCATTGCCATCACTAGTTTGGATGCCATACCGTTATGTTGGTGAAGCAAGTGGGAAAAGTTAATCTGCTAACTTGAAGATTCGTTACGAGATACTAACTGATATCCAAAATACATGAACTAATATCCAAGTACTAAAGTATCTAGCGAGCACATACTAGTTTTCAAAGTTTGCTAACCGATATCCACCATGAATCAACTATTATCCCAAATTCACAAACTAATATCTAGACAACACATAATAATATCCAAACAAAAGATAATTAGTATCCAGATAACACATAAGAGTATCCAGATAACCCATAGGAATATCCATAATGAATACTAGTTGATTGATTGTGGATATTAGTTTGTATCTGCTATCTGGATACTAATTTGTTGTGTTTTGAATACTAGTCTATGCTATCTAGATAGTAGATACTTAGCAGACTTGGATATTAGTTCATACATTTTGGATATTAGTTAGTATATACCAACGAATCTTCAAGTTAGCAGAATAACTAGGTTGGAAGCAAGTAGTATGGTGCGATAGATGATACAATTAATTCATGTTGGGGGTCGGGTCGGCTAGCTTGACAACTAGTGATGGCAATTCGAACTCGTCCTATTGGTATTACCTGACCTAACCCGTGATGATCCGAGTGTTACCCGACTTGATTCGTGATGGGGTATTACCCGATCCGCAGTAGTGTGAGGTGGGGCATGGGCATCTACTTCCGACCCGCCCTACCCCGCACCGCCCCGTTCTATCTCATTTGCTTACTGTATCTATATATATTTCTCTTAGTTTGATTTTTCTTCAACTAGCTAGAGTTAATCTTTCAACTTGTTAGACTCAATTATCCATTATATTATCACTATTTTTCATTCAAAAAGAATTTTTACCTTTGTTTTATCGTAAAAAGTAAAATTTACGTATATCTTTTTCAAATAACATGTAAAAGTAAGTCGACCCGTCTCGTCCCGTACCCGCACGGGTTTTACCCGCCCCGGCCAGCAGTACCGTGGGGAGGAGCATTGGTATTGAGGTACCCGCCCGTCCCATTGCCATCACTAATCCAAACGACGTAGTAACAATAATCCTCTTAAAAATGGCAGTCTTGGACAGAGTTTCGGGAACAAGAAGCAGAGTTTGATAATGGCGCCTTTGCTTTCAAAATAAATAGCTCTGTCATTACCGGCGGTGGCGAAGCCGCTTCGTCTAGAACCCCTCGACGATTCTGATTCAAGAGAGAGCCGGGATGATGATCCGAACTCCAGTTCCGAAAAGGGCGAGGCCCATCGAGCCTGCTCCTATTATCGAGAGCCCGCCCACCGGTTCCGATCATCACCGGCAGCTCGCTATCTATGAAGATCCTCCCTCTGCCGATCCTGCTCGCCGGGAGCCCTACCATGAGCCCTTGCAACAGTCCGAGCACATGCTCTGCACCTATCAGTGCCGCCAAATGGTTCGCTCTCTTTACCTTTTCTTCAGAACACAAAATTCATTCCTAGGGATTTCTTTTTTGCTGTTCTGTTCCTATCTGTTAACTTCTATAAGAACTGGGAAGTCGCAGTGTAGTGTTTGCGTTCTTAGCCAAAATTTATAGCTGTTGCTTTTGTTTGTTTCTAACCCTCTTCACTTTCCGAATTTGTGGTTTGGGGTGCATGTTTTTCCCCTATAATCAAATTCTAGAACCAATTGAAGTTTAGGTAGTGTGCAAAACATGGTTTGTAGGTGCTGTAAACATTCTGGGGGAATGGGGATCCTATTAAATTACTCGAGATGGATTATTTCCGAGCTTTTTTTTCAATTATCTGATGGTAGATTGCTCTATAAGGTAAATGTGGGAGGATATAGAAAAGCTTTGAGCATGTAGCTGCTGTCAGACCATGGTTCTTTGACTATCATGTTCATGGTTTTTAATCAGTCATCATCCGTTGTGCCTCCACTTTGAACTTTTTCCATGATCTGTGAGACATATAGTTTTGAGCCCAGTATGTGTGTTTTTTTGTAGGTTAAAGCAGATTTTCTAGATGCACTGAGCAATGCAGAAAAGCAAGTTCAGGACTATCAGTCTCAACTGGCTGAATTGAGTGATAACTTCAGGAAAGCTGGTGGGTAGTCATGTGTTCTTCCGTTTAGTTCGTTTGCTTACTGAGTTTTCCATGTCAGAACCGATCCTTGGATCCACAATCAGTTAACCGTGCAGTAACGCAGGCACACTCCAAAATGCATTTACTGTAATTTTCTGTTTGAAGCACGTTGAGTAACTAGTAACATGACATAAGATCTTATAGTCGAGATGGAAAGAAAGGGCTGGGATATCCTACAGGCATTTCACCAGTTCTGGAATTGAACAGGCTGAGATATGAAATATAGGAATTTGTTGTTGCTTTGGTGTTAGATTTTCCTTTTAAAATAGTTCCTTCGTATATACTATGGTCTCTTGAAGCCTGTCTAATCATTCCTTTTCATCCCAATCAGTACGAGTCTGTAGTTTCGTCTTTCATGTACAATTGTAACCCTTTGCAGACGAGGAGCGGAAGACATTTAGGGAGAAGTTATCATACGCAGAGCAAGAACTTGCTGCTGCAAAAGGACGAGAGCAAGCATTGCATGATCAACTACTGAAGGAGGTTAATGACTCCCATGAAAGGTTGAAAAAAGAATTAGAATCGTCTGCAAAACTTCAGGTATGCATCTTGCACACTTCATCAACGTTTTGGCTGTCTTTACTCTCGTCCTCTCTTTATCCACTTGATTGTCTTGGTTTTTGTTATAAGTTGAACTACATTAAATGTACCCTGGTTATTTGCTTCTGCTTTAGACAAAGCTTGAAAATGAACAGAACCTTCATAAGAAAGCAGAATCCACCGCAGCTGCTGCTGAAGATAAATCAAGAGAGTTGGAGGCAAAACTTGGGCATATTTCTCAAAGCATAGAAAAGGAGAAGAAGCGACTCAATAACGAACTTGTCCATCTGAAACGGGATTCCAAGTTTTCAATTTCGAAGATAACTGTGGATGTGAGTAGTCAAATTTGTCAAGTACATTATAATCTGACAAAGTCGGCCTCTGTTCTTGGCTAACTTGAAACCTCTCTCTTATCTCAGCTTGAGAAAATGGAATTCAGAGCTCAAAGTTCCGAGAAAGAAGTTGAGCTGCTGAGGAAGCAGCAAGAGGATCTGCAGTCCAAATTTTCTGAGGTGCTTTCTTTACATATTGATCATGACATAGTTAGTCAGGTTCAATAGGTGTTCTCCTGATCATTTGATTCTCCCTGATTGCTTATTTATACAAGATTACACCGTCATATGATGTGTGTCATAGCTTCTGCTCTCATCAAGACGCCTGACTCGTCACTGTCCCTAAAGGACTTTTGTGAAGATGCTCTAACCTCTTGCTTACTGCTTGGTGCTTGATGGAGATGTTGGTTTTTTGCTTGTGGAGTGAAAAGTCATTAAGGAGTTTGAGTTCAGGAAAGAAATGTTTGGTTGCCTTATGTTTGTATTGTTCCATGGACTTTCTTTTTCAGTGCTTTCACCATAAGAGTGAATTGGAGAAAAAGTTAACAAGCCTCTCATTTGAAGATGTTTCTCCAAAGGAGAGTGATATTTTGGTTAAGCATCTACAAGAAGAGCTTCGCAATTATGTAAGTTTCTGCCGGTACTTCAGTTATGTCTGCTGTTTATATGCTTGCTACTCTGTATCAACTTCCACTCAGCTGTAGTCCACTCAGACAAGTCGTGTTTATTTGAGCTACTACTTAGCTTCTAAATCTCAGAAGCAAAATAAGGTGAAACTAACATTGAACTTAGTTCCGAACCTTGATAAAAGTTTCTAAACTCACTATGAGGCTACATAAATAATAACTATTGACCAAAATGTCTCATCTCCAATCAATAAATGTAGCATAAATGAAAACAGAGAAAATTGCCTATCACTCTCGTCTTTAATCTTACGAAACGCTCTTGGGATGAAATTTTAAATTAAGGCTTATAGGTATAATATGCTCCTCTACTATGACGTTTTATCAAACATGCCCCTCTACTATGTTTTACATCAAACATGCCCCTGTACTTTGGAAAACTTATCAGACATGCCCTTTTGTTAAAATTTCCATCCAAAAACCGTTAACCAAGACCGAACTTTGGTTTGGGCGACCCAAATATCTAAAATATCCCTAATAATTTCACTTTAGGGTTTTTTTTGTTCTTTTGTATAGCCAAATAATTGTAATAATTTAACTTTGACGAGACATAGAGAAATAAAACAAGGGTCAGAACTGACATTTCCCCTCCCATTTATCGATGTCAGGTTGTCTAAATCTTGGTTCAACAATGATTGACGATTTTTTTTCAATGGAAATTTCAACTGAAGGGCATGTTTGATAGTTTTTCCAAATTACAGGGGGCATGTTTGATGTAAAAAATAGTAGAGGGGTATGTTTGATAAAACGTCATAGTAGAGGGGCATATTATACCTATAACCCTTAAATTAAATAAATTATGAAAATGATAGATCTCAAAACTTTACTTTCTGGATAAGTGATTTTAAGTGGTAGATCCTAGGAATCGGGTTCTGGTATTAATAATGGAAGTAACAAAATTAGAAATTGTGGCCAATGCGCTTAGAGAGTTTGGAATCTCCAAATTTGCGGTGGTAAGTCTAGCGATTGTCAAATGTATGGATTGTGTTCCCCGTTGACCATCTCAATATGGCTTCTTACATATCTTTATCTTGATGGATTCTGATACACAATTACTCATCACAATCAGTGCTGGTGGCTGACTGTGTCTGGACCTTTTTAGATAGATTGATAACACATGTTGGTAGAGAATTAGAATATATGGCCAATCGGTTGGGAGAGGGCCACTTGTGGAAGTTGCAGAAGACCTTGATAGCACTGTACTTCTGCTATCCGTTTCACTTTGTTGTGCTGTTATAACTTGTATGTCTCCAGCTTTGATGGAATGGTCAAATGACTTGAATCTGAACATGAGGATTATGCTTCCTCTATGCAAAATAAATTCGAGAGAGGAAGATGGCAAGTGATGGACTTTGGTTTTTCTGTCAGAGGTGTAACTGTTACAGATACTTGAAAGAATCTAAAATGCACAAACACAGGAGATAAACTGCATCTTGGTATTGTAATAGGGAGGAGCAATTCAACATCTGTGAGATTTATAAAAGAGTATTCACAGGGCCCATTGAGACCTAAACCCAGACTTGGGTTTTGCAAGTATGCATTCATACTGTGGCACGCGAAGTAATTTTAGGTCTTGTATCTTTGTATTGATAGTGTTACGAGGGGGTGATGCAGCACTGAATGCTACTGCCGTGTTGCCTTTGTACTTAACAAAATGGCAATTTCTCTTTATACATGCTGTGTAGTGATGGATATTATGTAATTTGATGTATCTAGGCTGATGCTTTTATAGAAATTTGCTGACTATGGACATGATTTTATCAGGAGTCGGAGGTTAGAGAGGCAAGAAAACTGAAATCTGCTCATGAAAACATTGAATTAATAAATGAAAAACTATTGGAAGAAAAGAGCCGCAGGGAGAGAGCTGAGTTACAATTGCCGAAGTTGCACGAATATGAGCTCAAGATAAATGAATTGGAGGATGAGTTATCTGCTTGGAAGCTAATGATTCAGGAGATCCCAGGTGTTTCGTGCCGTGATGACATACGTTTGCGAATTTCAGCATTACAGAAGTATGTATCAATAGCTTCTACCTTTGTTAAAGCCTTGTTCCGGAGATGGAGAATTAGCTTAAAAGTTTTTTGAAATGGATTTTCCTACTTACCTTTTCTTTTGAAGTTCTGGTGAGGTTGTAATTTTCCTCTCATTTGTTCATCAGAATGGACTTGGTGCAGATTCTGGTGCCACTATCAATTGTAGTTATCATGTTTGCTATCGTACCTCGACCTTTTGGGGGTGTGCTATATACCTCTTCTCAGAATTACCATTTTAATAATTTGATTTTTGTTTCCTTTTATTCACTTGAATATAAGATGGCTCAGATCTTGGTTGAATGCATTGCTTTAATTTAAGATGGCTCAGATCTTGGTTGAATACATCTTCATTTCTAATTATTTCGATGTTGGCCTTCATGTTTAACTCAGAGAGGTGATTGATAACTTGAAGAAGCTCGGTGATGTGAATGCCCATTTGAAACAAATGGAGGTGATTTTGGACAAAACCCAACTTGACAAACAAAAAACTGAGACAGAAGCTGTATTGGCTAAAGAGAAAGCTGACCGGTTGGAAGCAGAGGTTAAGAGGATGAATGTGATGGTAAGCTTGGTTTTGGTACTTCAATGCAAACAGATTTAGGTTCTTATCTTTTTCTCCCGCACATTTCTTTTTCTCAATGTTTCTCCATGAATTGTTGCAGCTTTCTGCTGTTTCTGAAGAGCGGAATGTGTTAAAAACTGCCATTGAAGATTTCAAATCAAAGAATGAACAAGCAGGGGGGAATGCAAGTAGTAGTATCATGCAGGTATTTGAGTTCCATTCGTGCTCCTTTATTTTTGGTTGAAGCTGTTCCTTTGTTATTTACTACATTGCGCCAACTCTAATGATTACTTATGACTTACAATTTGTATACATCCAGGAGCTTGGATCATCTATCTTGGAAAGAGAACCTTACATTAAAGAACTGGAGGGCGATTTATTTGCGCAAAAGGAGATCAATACCCGTCAACGTGATGAAATAAAGTCACTTCATGACAGACTAAATAGTGAAGCTAGGAGAGTAAAATCCTTGGAGAGGGAGAATGACCGCCTTCGCTCAGAGATTTTTCTGTTAGAGTCGAAGGTATTTCCAAGGATATTCTCTCTAGTATATTTCATTGTGAAGATCATGCTATTTCTTTTATACTCAATGTCGGTTTGAGTGCCTAAGGCATTATGGTGCCACCACCACCTCTGCTATGAAAAACACGGTGTATATGTTTCTGCTTTTAATGAACATGGTAGCAATCCTTGGGAAGACATAAGAGCCTTTCATGTAATATGAGATTGGGGAGTTGACATTTTTGTATTTGGCTATCAATTTGCACACAGATAGGTCATGGTGACTTTTCTGCTGCCAATACCAAAGTGCTAAGAATGGTAAACACCCTTGCAGTAGGTAATGATGCCAAACAAACGATTGAGGCTTTACAAAGTGAGCTTCAGAGGACAAAAGAGAAGTTGCAAGCACTTGAAGAGTATAAGAGTCAGTCGGGTAAAAAATTCTGTCATTTGGGTTCCTCGTACTTGTTTGCGATTGATTTTCAGAAAATGTATTGCCTCTATGTAGAGAGCGTTTTCTTTATTGTTCCTTTCTTTCATTCTTCTTTATTATATTGCCTGTGTATCTTATTGGGATGTGAGAAGCCAGGTCGTGTTAAGATATTGATCAGTAAGTAGGTTATGATGTTGGTTCTGTTCTGTTATTGGGATGATGAAATTTATATATTGAGAAACTTTCCATATCTGCTTACGAAGTGAAACAAATTAAGTAGACTTACCACTAATTGGGCTTAGAATCCACCTGATATCTCAAATCTGCTCACCAAATTGTATCAAGGAGAGCTGGAACGATGCATGTGTATGTTAAAGCAGGAGTACTTGGTTCTTGCCTTTATACATTTCAGTATGCACCTGGAACATGATTGCGCAGTATTGTATGGTCCTAGTTGCTTTCATTGGTTTTGCTGTTTGACTACTGCAGTCTTTTCCCCTAATGCCCTTTGAGCTGGCCAGGTAATTCTGGCAAGATGGTAGACTCATACATGTCCGGCAAGGTGGCACAGTTAAAAGAACAAATTGCAACACTGGAGAAACGAGAAGAACGGTAACTGTGTCATTCGTGGAATCATAATCTCACATTTAGAGGTGCAATTTTCGCTTCTCCAATTCTAGCTTCTGATGTAAACATCTGATTCATTTTTGCAGATACAAAACAGTATTTGCAGATAGAATCTCGGTTTTTAGGAGGGCATGCTGTGAACTTTTTGGCTACAAGGTATGAATTTATAAGTGTCGCATTTGAAACTGGTGTATTGGTGGTTTTCCTGTTACACAATTCCTCTAAATTCTTTTGGTATATTGACTAAATTTATAACTCATGAACTTCTTTGTTGTTTAATTTTACGTGAGGAAGTTCTGCAAGGTTTATACTTTGGCTTTATTTAATTTGGCAGATTGTGATGGATGAACGCCAGCATACAAATGGAATCCCAGTTACTCGGTTTACCCTTCAGTCCATATATGCAATGAATGACAACGAAAAGCTTGAATTTGAATATGAATCAGGGAATACAAACATTGTGGTGAGCATCGAAAGCTTCTGCTCTCTTCTGTTTTCCCCCGTTCTTCTCAAAATGGGTGATGTACACAGCACACATATATTGTTCTATAGAAGCTTATGCTGTCATTTTCTTGCCTTAGGAAAACAGCTACACCTCAACCTCAGAAATTTCTCAGCAGGTATGGATCACAAAACTCCTGCGGATTGTTTTCATCTGTGACCAGTTTACTGGGTTAGCTTTGTATAACGTTACCAGAGTTCTACGATTGCAAGAACCAATGAATCTCCAATTGTCCATTGCTTCAGATTATAGCATCAAAGGGTCTTAAATTACTCAAAAAATTAGAATTTCCATGTAACTACGTCCCTGTAACCTTTGACCCTTGAGTTTTGAACATCTTTTTTATGGTTACATTCACAGGTTGACATATTTGTACGCAAGATGAATTCCATCCCAGCTTTCACGGCGAACTTAACAGTGGAATCTTTCAACAGACGAACCCTGTCTTAGAACCATTCAGAAGTAGTACCTAGATGGTCTCTAAAGGTTCAGGCTTTCTTTGATTCTGTGCTTTGTTCATCTTGCTGCCCAGGTGGTCTGCTCATAGGCCAAAGGTACGTGCCAATATTCGGTTTGAGTTTATAATATCTACAAGATTCAAGCTTTATCCTGGAAAATCTCCTGCATTTTTTTGGTGTGATTCTAAATCTTGATCTTGCTGCTTTGTTGTCATGCACTAAACTTTGACTTCAAAGTTGTTGTTAAGTTCATTGTATTTCCAGAAAGTTAGGCGTTGAAACAAAAATGCCCCCCATGTTTCTTCTGGTCCCCAAAATCTGCTTACTCCCTCCCCAGTGACTTGACATGTGGTTGAATTTTGGCGCCTTTTTTGACTTGTATGGTCAGAATTTTCTGCACTCAAATTATATAAATGCTCTGTGCCTATCCATCCAGTGGAGAATGCCGAAAGGTGGAAATGGTCATGATTGAAGCCCAGATTGCGCATTTCGATTTTATAAAAGAATTGTATTGTTCACAGTGCACCAATTCGATTTCTAGTGTTGAAAAAACCCACATCTTTTACTGCTCATCTTCGGGTGCGTAGAAGGTGATTTATTGTAATTACATGTGCAGGAATAGTAAGTAACTGCTCCACCATCTCTCTCTGTTTTTGCCTTTTTGGTGAACCAGAGGCAAGTGCATTTTTTGTTCTTCCTTCATAGTCAGTTGGGCTTCAGAGAGCCATAACTGTTGCTGGCATGCTGCACATATGAATTTACAGTAAATCACAATTTTCCCCCGGTAATAGTAAATAACATTTCCATGCCCCATAAACCATCTTATAAAATCCAATCCTCGAGCATAGAATAAACAAGGATTTAGAATGAATAAAGATTGTGAAACTTACGAGAGCTTATATTGGAAAAGTCAGTTGTAGGTAGTTTGTAGTAAAATTGTGATTTGATTGTTATTCAACCATTTCATACCGCTTAAATCATCAACCAATTTGAGTATGATATCCGGTATCCCGGTCCAACTCGACAGTGGAGTTAGTGATGACAATGGGCGGGGCGTGTGGGTACCTCAATACAAATGCCCCGTCCCATGCTATTACGGGGCGGGGCGGGTCGACCCACTCTTACACGTTATTTGAAAATCATGCACGCAAAATTTTACGTTAAACGATAAAATAAAGGGAAAAACACTTTATGAATGAAAATAGTGATAATATAATGGGTAATTGAGTCTAACTAGTTGAAAGATCAAGTCTAACTAGTTGAAAAAGCCAAAATAGGAGGAATATGAATAGATACTATAAGATATTGTGATAGAATGGGTCAAAAATAGGGTGGGGTGAGGCGAGGCAAGGCGGGTCGAAAGTAGATACCATGTCCCGCCCCACGCTACTACGGGTCGAGTAATATCCGCTCCATCACGGGTCAGGTCGGGTAATACCCGACGGGACGGGTTTAAATTGTCATCCCTAAGTGGAGTATGGATTTTTAGAACTGAGAATCAAAGCTCGAACTACAATCTCACCCTGAAAACCACACATGTTGTACACTTGTTGGGAACACTCTTAGCAGTGATCGAGCTATGTTGAAGCTAGGAGGGTTGTAGTCACCTTCCCTCCTAATTTTGAAATATTACCAATTTTGCACTAATTTAGAAATTAGACCTAAGTACAACAATTCAAGTTAGCTCGACAGCCCCTCTTGTTTGGATTTCAGGTTCTGCCATTGACGGTTGGGCTTACGGTTGACTGCACAAAGGGAGGTGTTTATACTTTACACACCTATGGATGACCATCCCCTTTTCCAAACCCTTTTGGGATTGCCATTGCTTTGCTTATTCTCCAAGGGAAATGACTCAAATGTTGGTAGTCAATTCTCCTTGTATGAGAGGAGTCATTGTACCATCCTTACTCCATTAGGAAAACTTCATTTGACCAACTAGTACCTGATGTCCTGATCACATCAGGATTGACAATAGTTATATGGTTAACACAACAATCCTTATTGCATAAGGATTCATAATCTAACTTTGATTAGTTAACCTTCATTGTATCATTTCCAAATATCTTATTCCTGTTCATGATGTGCGGCCCATTAAGTTTGTGTTCAATCGACAATGACATAAAGAATAGACATTGGGTGGCGCCTAACAACACATCAATGCCATCTAAAGTCAACAAGGAACCCACTCATCTCGTTTTGCGAACATATTGTGAAGTATGAATTTTTTTCCACAAATTATCACGACGAGATCCAAGCTATGAATCTGTCATGCTTGTCATAGATTCATCTTTGGATCGATCCCATATAAGTCTATTTAGTTCAAACTCATGGAAATCACATAATTTGACTTGATGTTGGACAACCATTTCATAAACACTATCCATTGAAGAACTTGATGATATCATACTTAGTTAAACAAGGACATTAATTTATCTTGCTCTGTCAGATCCTCTGCACACTAGGAGCCCATACACAATGACTATCCACGTGGTGCACTTGTTAAAGCCACTAGACATAGTAATGAAGTAGGATAGTAAGATGTGGGTAAATGTAACTTCTAATAAGCTCAACTCTTGTAAATTTTAGTTAATCAGAACACAGTGAAATCACATGATGACTCCCTATTTGTGGATATACATAGGGGTGGAAATTGAGGTGGGTGTGTAACCACTATCCATTGTAGGTTTGTGCGGGTTGGGTGTGGTTACCCGCAAAAATCCATCTTTGCAAGCATAGAGTTCTAGTCTCCACTAACGTATTTGTTGTTCGTAGCTAGACTATAGTGATATCCACGTGTGTTGTTCGTGGAGATACAATTTTGTACGTCGATCTTACTCAACGTGAATATTTTTTCTTTTTGAGTTTGGTATTCAACTTTTGTGTCAGAGAGCTGTGATTTCATATTTCCCGACTAGGGATGAAATATGACAATTAAATATGATCTTGTATTTTATTCACACAAAAGCAAAAACATACTGATAAAAGTTACAAAAGGTGTTCACTTTTAATGAATTGATTATTCTCCACTCTATCGATTATAGTGTTTTATAAACTAAAAAAATTCTTACATAAAAGTGATTATGTGTGTCTTTTTTATTTGGTGGCTATTTTAATTTTTATCCTCACACTTTTCACATACTATCATATTATAAAGTTAATTCACTAAATAAATATAATTAGTGTGGTTATTGTGGATTTTGTGGGTTAACCACGATGGTTAGTGGATAATCACTAACCACAAAAATCGTTATTTTACTACCCACACCCAACCCACTACCCACAACTTGTGGGTATAGTTACCCACAATAGGTGCGGGTTGGTGCGGTTTGCGGATTATCCACAACCCGCAACCCAAACTTCCACCCCTAAATATACATGTCTCGTGTCTCACCTTCGGATCGGCCCTACACTTTGGTGAAGCACCACGTAATCTCCATTCTATGCATCTCACATATAGACATGTTACTTGTCTCCACATACCAAGACTTATGCATGTGTGTCAACTCATACCAATACCATGCTTCATAAAAAAACGTTTTGTGAATTAATTCACGGGTAGAAGTTTGTTATTCAATCCGAACACACCACATTCGATATAACAAAATCAATAGCCAGCCTTTTTTGATTAACCGTGCACACCCTAATGGAAACCAAACTGCACACATTGAGAGTCTAGCTACATATGTTACTCTTTGTACCCAAGATTTCAACTGACTACAAGATCTTAGAATCGTTCCTTAACTTTCGTACGACGTGCTCTTGGTTCAATGCATATACAATCACCGTTGAATCGAAACATATCTAATCACATTACATTTGACCCAAATGTCGATTCAATTTTTCCTGTGTTCATTACTCTCTCCAAAAGTCAGTGCAGCATATTGCTTATTTTGGTTTCATATCCTTCCTATTCCACATACAAATTCTGCCTTGATCTGACAATTCAGATGGCAAGGACAAAATGTGATGGTGCGCTAGGGAAGAAGTTTGAGTGGGAGAGGGTAAGAGCATTATATTGAACCAAAGAAGCAAAGGTGGGTTTTAGAAAAAAGCGCCATATATCTTTGCCCGCTTTCTGCGCAGTGGTGATGGAGTTTGAGGTAACAAAGTTAAGATTTTGTCAATACTGAGCTCAAGGGGAAAAGTAGGTTTCATGATAGGTCAAATCTGTTGGGAGGGTATTTCTGTTTCACCATTGCATATGAGGTTAGAATGAATGCTTTGGTTGTTGTGGTGTAAAATTTTCAACTTTAAGTGGCTACAAGATAATGAAGGGATTGCGTATCTCTGGCCTTTGCTTTTGACAATGTGCCATTACCAAACCAGGGATCAGTGTAGGTGAGTGCTGTTTGGCCTGAATTTGCTATTCGGAGTTGTCCTTTGTGGCCCAATAGTTCACTCGCATAATTTTAGGTTTGGTAAATGTAATACACTAATAGTTGACATTGTTCTTCATTTGATGAATCGACTATGGTGTATTCGGGAATCGGGATATATTCACTCATAGTTGACATTGTTCTTCATTTCATTTGAAGAATTGACTAAGATGTATTGGAGATATAGCAACGTAATTGACTCGCTTCGAATATCACAATTAATTTCCACCTAAGATCTAAGTATAAACCTTAGTCGGGTATAATACAGGGCAAGTATGTTTAAATATTGACTCGGGCCGGTCCGCGTACCCCTACTTCAGTCATTTGAATCATTATCTAGCGAATCGGTTTTGGTTGAAAAGTTTGCTAATTAAAGTAAAGCAAGGCAAAAATAAATAGTTTTGAAAGCTCTTTGTGAGAAGGATCACTCGGGTGTCGCTTCCCCCTAACTACTACCATGGTATGTGAATCGAAGAGATTGCTATGGGCAAGGTGATCGCGAACCGCTAGGGGACGCAAATATGGCCGTAGACCACACTCTCGATTGCCAAACCGAGGGATACACTGTAGGCTATTCAAGTGGCCATCTTGGTTAAAGCAATCGATGGTTGACTTACTCCCTCACTCAACCCAATGGTTGGTCGGCTTAATCATGCTTAACCAAATTGCTTAATTCAACATAGATGTTTACCCTACACTAACCTAGATAGGTGGCTTAAGAAGCCCTAGGAATCCCAACTTAATTGAGCCTCCCTTGAAAGGGGGTTTTCCCCTCTAATCTAGGTTAGAATGGCCAATTAGATTGCTAAGCATAAACATGCACAATCAACATGAAAAATACCTCAATCCTTGAATTAAGCAACATCCATAAACAATCATTCAATTCACATAATAACTACATGGCAAATAGTTAGGGTTTCACAACACCCAAGTGAAAAAGGAAACTACTCCATGCTAGAAAGGGGAAGAACACAAGAGGAAGAGGTAGAAACTAGGGGTGAACAAACACATCCGCAAATCGACCCATCCGTCCAACCCGACCCAACCCACCTGTATTTATCTGCTAAAACGAAAGTTTTGGATTGGATGAGGGTTTTCTTTTGTACAACCCGCCTCTTTTGGGTTGGGTTTGGATTTTGTATTCACAACCCGTAGAACCCAACCCAACCCGTGTTCTAATTATTGGTATGAGTTCGTATCCAAAAAATATTTATGTCGTATATAGTCATACTTATGAGAAAATTAAGATATTTTGCTATGTATTTCTCTCATGATCTTCCTAATCTAATGCATTATTCGGCTTACAGTTTAGACATAAATTTAATATAGTCATGATTCACGTAATCCTTTTTCTTGTCTACAATTTTAATAGAATAATATATTATGGATGCGTCATTTATAACCTTTTTAGCCTATTTCAACAAATGTTGTAAAAAAACTAAACATAAATTGAAGTAAATCAAATTTTATTAAAATTCAAACAACATTTGTGAATTTTGATACCTTTTACCTTGGTTTATTCGTTTGATTTTTTAATTAGTTATAAAATATTTTTATGGTGTAGAATAATTACATATTTTGTGTTGGGTTGGGTTTTTAGTTAAAAATATCGCCAACCCGACCCAACCCAATTAGAAACAAACCGTAGGGTTAAATTTTTTTGGGTGGATTTGGGTTTAATATTTTCCAAACCGTAGTGCATGGGTCGGGTGATTAAAATGCCCAAACCCGGACTACCCGAACCATGTACACCCCTAGTAGAACCATCGTGGTGATGCCTCCAATCTCCTTTGAGCTTGTGTTGATCTTCTCTTAGGGAGAATCTTCCCAATTCACCACTTGGAGCAAACCCTAGCCTTCTTTCTTTTTGGTTCGTTCTTTCTCTCTCTAAAATCTGAAGAAGAAGACACTTTCTCACTCTTGGGCTCTCCTCTCTCTCTTCCTTTCAGCTCTCCTTTTAAACAGGGATCGGGCTCAGTTCACGGCCGTGAACTCAAGGTTGGCGTCGAAACACACCGCTTCGCTTGCACAGGTTCATGGGCAACAGCTCCAGTTCACGGTCTTAGTGACCGTGAACTCACTCAGCGTCAGTAACCTCAAAATTCGCCCTGGACGCCTTGATTTTCACGGGCAACAACTCCTTTTCACGATCTTAGCAGACCGTGAACTTCCAAGAGAACTCCCAGTTTTCGCTCTTTTTCGTCCAACTTCCGACTCCAGGGCTGGTTTCACCTGTTAAATCCTGAAACAAGCTATAACACAAGAAACCTCTCATAAAACCACCCTTTTAGGAGCACAATTGCCAAAAACGCCTAAGGAAAACGGGGGTAAAATATGTACAATTAGGCCCGAATCACTCCCCCATACTTAGACGTTTGCTTGTCCCCAAGCAAACCATTTCACACAAGGTAATATTTCAACCTACAAAAATACTTTGGGGACAACTCAAAGGGCACAAAGTGGGAATTCTCAATCGCTATTGGCAATTTTTACAATGACCGTTGCAAGCAATACCGACATCCACCACAAACGACATTCGAGGCCACCAAAAGTGGGCAAACGAAAAGTTCTCACCTTGTTCATGGATCAATGCAAGTCTCAACAAGACCACTTATCAACTATAACTAACCATGCATAGAATTCAAGTCCGAGGAACAAATGGAAAGGTCCATCACCGGGGTATGATATGACATGCAAAACAAGAATGAATCACTCACTCTCAAGACCAGTGGGGTCGAGACCTTTTTGGTTTAAAAGATGTGCACAATCATCAACACTCGACCCTTCGTCTCAATACCATGGCGGTAACCTCTAAATGCTAGAGTTCACGGGATGGTTGTCACCACTAGCTTGTCCGGAGGTCTTAGACACGGGTTCAAATGACTGGCAATTGTCTTGGACATGGGGAAAAGGCTTTTTGGGTGGTGGCAAACACGACATGAGGTTTTACATCTTCAACCTAAACCCGAAGGTTCTATGGTTTCAACTAAGACCCTGCTCTTCAACCAAAGGCCACTAGCATCGGCCAAAAACCTTATCTCTCCCTTCCAAACTACACCCATCGTGAACCACATTTAAGCGCTCTTCCTCGGTCTACTCTTGCTATCACATTATGGTTTGGTAGTGAAGGAGTTATAAAACAATGTGGGGGTTTCAGTGGCTTGAGTGCCAAGAAACCCCTCATAGAGCATACACTTAAGCTCGACATTGCCCTCAATGGCGTAAGATAGGGGTAGAATGATGTTACCGCTTGGGCTTGGTGAGTGAAAGTTGGAATCGATTCTGGGGCAGGATATTTGGAGCTTCAAGGAGAGACAAAAAAACACACACACAACATAATAAGACTCGCTCGAGGTTATTACAAACACAATACGATAGTAGTAGTAGTTTATGGTCACACACACACAAATGAAAGAAAAATAACAAAAACAAGTTCAGAGTTACAAGTGGAGAAGTGGGGTGAAAGAAATCGGCTCTACCACATATCTCACTCGTCGTCTACCTATCGTGGGTGGAAGGACCCTCTCCCTCATCTAGAAGGAGGCACTGACGTCGAGCCATCAGCTGGAGGAGATCGGTCTGTCGGTCGAGGCGTGAAGTCACTCCCACGAAGCTCGTCTCTAGGCGATCCACCCTCTGGATGAGGGGATCACCTTCTGCTGCTGCTGGTGGCTGGGCTGGGCGCTGGAGTGCGGGAAGCCGGCGGCGGCCGGGTGCTCGAGTAGGTGGTTGCTCCACTGGTGGGACCTCTGGATCAGACTCCACTGGAGCCGGGTCAACTGCTGCTCTGATGACTCCTGATGGTCAGAGTCCCTAGAGGTACACCACTCCTTGCTCTCCCTGGAGTACCAACTTTTGGTTGTAAAGGGTCCCCACTAGGAAGGGTTTCGTCCTCCCGACGTTGGTGCACCAAGCCAGATCCACGTTGAAGTGTCGGGCCATTCGCGTGATGAGGCCCCCCATGTGCATGGTGTCCACTCCATTCCGCGCCAGGCACCGGGCGAAAGAAGTGGCGATCAGAGATCCCAGATGGACTGGCTCCGATGGACTCCTCATGGAGTAGAGGGCAATTAGCCCTCTGTTCGTCATCAGATGGCCTGACTGTAGGCTAGGGACGACCGAGCGGGTGAGCAAAGTGTGAAGGATCCTCCAAGGAGTCCTAAGCTTCACTGCATTAGTGCGGTTCCCCACAAAATCGTCTTGCTCGTGCTCGGGGCGGCAGAAGGCTCGGAATGCTCCTTGATAGTTGAAATCCACTGTGTATTGCCACTCTGTCATCGTTATGTGGGTGGTGTCGATCCCCATGGCATGAGCAAAGGCGTCGTAGGTCAGCACTCGTGGCTGACCTCCCAACATGATCTCCACGTGTGGGCAGCTCTTCTTGCTGGCTGGGACGATGTGGGAGAAGGTGGAGTAGAACTCCACGTAGATCTCATGGTAGATCTACTCATCCACCGACAGGAGCTGGCGCCACTGGGGGTGACAAAATACCCCTGACATTGCGGCACGACACCTGAACATGTTAAACATGTCCAGGTCCAGCCGCCTCAGGGGCCCAATCGGGTTGTCCCTCTAAAGGCAAACTTGTCGCCGAAATCCGGGTGATGCACCAGGTAGCTGATGTACTCGTGCTCCAAGTTAACCATTCTGCACAAATCAGCAGACAAGCACCATACGTGGAAACAATCATCAAATATTGCTCATTGGGAGGAAAAGAGATTCCCCCCGCACTTATGCTTCCACTACGGATTGTAAACATTTAAGCTCAAGCACACCGTGGCATGGTTGTAGGTATTTCACGGTTCATGCATACAAAAATTCGCACCACAACCCAAACCATGGTGGCTAACATCCACCAACAAGCATAAAGCACCACATGCATTCTCAAAATAGCACTTGGTGGGCAAATTCTAAAAATAAAGACAATTCGATTCAAACACGCCCACCAAGGCTCAACTAGGCTCATGCAATAACATTCCACCATTCAATCAACCTAATAAACCTAATTCCTTGCCCTAATTCTAGGTTCAACATTCAAAGCATCAAAATCATCCTCACTTCCCTACCTAATCCGATTCTCCCAAAATTAACAAGGTGGAGCTGAAAAACCAACCTGGAGACGCAAGTAGGACGTAGGAGGAAGTGAGGTGCGGGCGAGGAAGGCGAAAAATAGGCCGGAGAGGGGTCGTCGGAAGCTCGTCGGTGACTCGCCGCCGGCGACTTGACCGAAAAAAACTTGCCCCAAATCTCCCCAAAATTGCAGCACATGCTTGTTTTGGTGAGGGGAGAATGGGTATGAAGTTAGTTTTGGGTTTTGCTCGCCGGAAATGGGTGAAAAAGTGAAAACCCGTCGGAATTTCGCTGTTTTTTGGCTAGAATTCGAATTTTCCGGCGAGTTTTGGGTCGTGAACTGAAGAGTCGCCGTTCACGCCCCTTTTATAGGCGAAGCACGAAATTCACGGATGTGTTGGCCTGTTCACGGTCTTAGAGACCGTGAACACTCAAATCCGTTCGTGAACGGAGGTTGGCCGACAGGTGGTGAACATGCAGGATCGTCCAGTTCACGGACGCATTTGCTTGTTCATGGTCTTGTAAGACCGTGAACTCAACAATCCGTCCGTGAAATCCAGTGAAAACAGGGCACTTTAGGGAAAAATTTGACTCAACCTATTCCACCGTGCCTCTTAATCGATACAACACAACCTTAAAACGCAAAACCACAAAACTTGGCACGGGGCCACCACTTGACCACTTGAACTCTTCACTTGACACAAAAACGAAAATAAGGAAAAGAAAACAAACCTCCATTGGGTTGCCTCCCAACAAGCGCTAAGTTATCGTCATTAGCTTGACGATTGGGGATCAATCATGTCTGAGAACGTGATGCCACCGAGAGTGGATCCACCACACTCTCTAGGCGAGGCTTGTAGCCTCTCATCTTCGGCTCCATGAGTTGGCCCTCTTGGTTAGCCAACTTAGCATTGACCTTCTCCTTCCTTCGGGCCAAAGCTTCCTTCATCTTTTGCCTCCAAGCATTCTTCCTCTTTTCCTTGGGCATAGTACCCTCCTTGACTTCCTGCTCAACATTACCACAAGCAACACAAGTAATAGTGGGGTTTTCCTTGAGAGACTCTCCTCCACTCACATTCATATCATTCGAAACCAACTCCTTCACTTTCTTACTTCTAACCTTAGGGTCAATTTCAAGCTTGATACTCTCCTCACCATCCAGAATTAAGGTCCCCTCATTAACGTCTATCAGTGCCATGGTGGTGGCGAGGAGTGGGCGACCGAGTATGAGCGGCATATCCGAGTCCTCGCTTATATCGAGAATCACGAAATCAGTCGGATAGCAAAACTTGCCTACTTGCACCAACATGTCCTCCACAATGCCTCTCGGGCTAATGACCGAACGGTTGGCTAAAGTGATGCTAAGCTTAGTGGTCTTAAGTTCACCTACTTCCAGCTTTTTGAAAAGCTTGTAGGGCATCACATTAACACTAGCTCCTAGGTCCGCCAAGACATTGTCTATATAATGGTTACCAATACCAAGAGGTATAGTAAAACTACCTGGATCAGACCGCTTTTTGGGCAAGCAGTTGAGGAGGAAAGCCGAACACTCCTCACCAAGAGTCACGTTGGCGAGGTGACACACTATTACACAAAACCAAACTACGACCAAGTATAATCGCAGTCTGGAAATGCAGAATAGTGTCAAGTTCAATTTATCAACCCGAGATCTAGATCCACTGTCTACTCCGTGACTACCTGTTATCTAGCGGGACTAAGTGTAGTGAGAGTGATTGCAAACAAAAGCAGTAAGAAAGCAGGAAATTGTCGAAGTTCTTAAGAAAGGGAAGAGTCACTCGGGAATGAATCCCCCTAGCTCCTTAGTTAAGTCAAATTTGTAATTCCCTTAGGTTTATTTACTCTCGATTAAACTACGGAAGATCCTAAATTAGCTTGGAATCTCTTAAGCTGTCCAAGCCCTCTTTGATAGAATACCCGGGCAGGCGACTAGCCTTCAGCGGGATAGACTGTTTAGGCGATTAACACAGATCTCCACTACTAGAATGAATTCCAGTACAAAGCAGTGAATTGACTAACTCTCGTATAAGCAATTCACTACTACCGATTGAAGAAGCTCTAACAACCTAATCAGATTCTATCTATCTCAGGTTGTAGCAGAAATCAAGAAAAGTTGATCATGCTTCAATTGATTCAATAAATCATGCCTCAATCGATTATAATCAAGCAGCAAGCAATCCAAAATGTCATTACAACTCAAATCCCTAACACATGGAACTAGGGTTCTTCATACCCAAGTGAGAGAGAGTTCTACTCCATAGAGAGAGAGGAAAACAGAATATAAAGCAATCATACTCATAATGAAGGGAAGAATCTGCTTTGGGATGATAATCTTTACTCCAGGGATGAAATCCAAGCTTGATTGATGAAACCCAGCTCCAAAATCACCTCTAGGGTTTGTTCTTCGCACTTTCTCTCTCTAGGACTCTGTTTTTGCTATGAAAAATCGTTCTCCTTCTCCAACACCCGAAATTGGGTTTTAATGCAGCTGCCCGCAATTGCATGGCTAGAGTGCACGACGTGCAATCCCATAGTCTGCCCATGCAACCCCAAAACGCGTCGTTTCATTTACTTAAAATAGAGGGGTGCACGGCCATTGCACGACCCGTGCAATCCGAGAGCCTGGTCGTGCATTGCTCTCGCAGAAATTAGCAAGGCCACAATTTCATCGTGCACGGCCGTGCGAAAAACAAGGTCAGGCCGTGCAGCTTCTCGGTAAATACTGCACGGTCACAAAGGCAACCATATACGGTCGTGTGCTTTCCCGTCCTGGCTGTGCAACTTGTCTGCTCTCCCTTCGCTCGTCCCGATTTCTCCCAATCGACCCCAAACTCGTACTCAAACTTTCATTCACGCATTCTTTCGTGTTATTATCATCTTTGCTCTATTTCTTAATACCTGAAATGTCATACACAAGAACAACCTAGCATAAAATCGACTTAAAACCCGAGATCCGAGCCTCAAACAATATAAGAATGATGGACAAAAACATGTGCAAATATCGAGTCGTCAAATTCCCCCACACTTAACTGTTTGCTTGTCCCCAAGCAAACCTGACTCAAACCCAATGCAGCTCTCCAGAACTTTACGGCAACAAGCAACCCCAATCGTCGGCAGAGGATTTCCTAGATCATTTAGCAACTTACGAGGTCAACTGGTCTTCTAAGACGTCTCCTATCTCTCTCAATGCGAGTACTACACTCAAGCCAGGATCATGAGTAGCAGTAGAACTAAGACAGTCAGTTCATGGATAAGGAGACTATCACAATTTAACGACTAAGGACTCTTTGTATCGGGTGCTCTTCCATTTCATCTCACTTGTTGGAACCCATTTCCTTTATTATTTGTTTCTTTTTCTTTTGTTTTCTTTTGTTAGGGTTCCAACTGTAGTTTTTATGCGCGGTCTGCCCGTATTAGGTGAGCAAGAGAAATTTATGTACATCTGTCGCTCGTCAGAGTACTTCTTTCAACTCCTATTCCTCACTTCGTGTAAAGAGTCAATGAAATTAAGGGGGGTCGGGAGCTCTATCCGTGCCCTTAAAAACACATCCTCGAGTAGGAAAATTGTTCAACGGGTGGAAATTTTACTTGTACTAAAGACAACTTAGCTTCACCTTGTAGGCCTACCCCACCAAGGATCACTAAAATCTCTTCCAAAACCCGATTTTGTGCAATGAACGATGACACACACATTGGGCTTACCCCATGTTTTAGAAATTTCAAATTTTTGACATGGAGGACCAAGTGCTTTTTTTCTTTTCACACTTGAACACCCTTTTTCGGTACACGAGTCCACAACAAAACATAAGGAGAGTCATCAATACCACATGAATCAACGGTACTAAGACAGGCAGTAGCGGGACATGAATTTGTTGAGAAGATCGTCCCATGAGGTGATTGACCGAGGTGGGCGGTTTTTTAACCACGGAGTGCTTTCCCCGCAAGTGAATAGGGAAAAAGCCTCAGTTGCAAAGCTTCACTCGTCATACCATTGATTTTCAAGCTCCCTGCGAGCTCCAAGAATCTCTGCACGTGCTCTCTTGGTGACTCGCTCTGAAGACCGTGGCACAAAGCATTGTTCTGTATCATAGTCACTAGAGCCGGCTTTATCTCGAAATTGTTTGCCGCCACGGGAGGGTGTAGGATTGGTGATTGAATGTCCGCCGGCCGTGGGGCCATATAGTATCCCATTGTCCTCAGGCTTCCTCTTCCGCCGCCTCATCCTTTAGGTTACGAGCTTGGGCGACTCCCTCTTGTCTTTGGTTCCCCGCCATTTCTACTCCAACGACGGGTTCAACTTCCACTTCCTCGACTTCTTCTCCACTAGCACTGGGACCAAATTGTTGTCCCCTTTCTTCACCTCTTCTCCTTGCCTCCACTAGCTCTCTCTCCCGTGCTAGGAGCCGGAGAGTTCGGTTTATGTCCTCGTCACGGGGTAGCAAAGGTGCTGGATTGCTCCGGGTCATGCACCTCCTTACACACAATAAGAAAACAATACCAAGTCTAGCACAAGCAAAGCACACACACTTTCAAAATTGAAAATGAAAAGCTAGATTAACACCAAATAACTTTTTCAAAATAACAAACCGTTGTCCCTGGCAATGGCGCCAAAAACTTGACTCGATCCGAATGTCACAATTAATTCCCGCCTAAGGTCCAAGTATAAACCTTAGTCGGGTGTAATACATGGCAAGTATGTTTAAATATCGACTCGGGCCAGTCTGTGTATCCCTACGTCAGTCATTTAAGTCATTATCTCGTGAATCGATTTTGGTTGAAAAGTTTGCTAATTAAAGTAAAGCAAGGCAAAAGTATATGGTTTTGAAATTGCTCTTTGTGAGAAGGATCACTCGGGTGTCGCTCCCCCCTAACTACTACCATGGTATGTGAATCGAAGTGATTGCTATGTGCAAGGTGACCGCGAACCGCTAGGGGACGCAAATATGCTCATAGTTTCATAGACCACACTCCTGATTGCCAAACCGAGGAATACATTATAGGATATTCAAGTGGCCCTCTCGGTAAAGGAAATCGATGGTTGACTTACTCCCTCACTCAACCCAATGGTTGGTCGGCTTAATCGCGCTTAACCAAATTTTTTAATTCAACATAGAGGTTTACCCTACACTAACCTAGATAGGTGGCTTAAGAAGTCCTAGGAATCCCAACTCAATTGAGCCTCCCTTTAAAGGGGGGTTTCCCCTCTAATCTAGGTTAGAATGGCCAATTAGATTGCTAAGCACGGACATGCACAATCAACATGAAAAATACCTCAATCCTTGAATCAAACAACACCCATAAACAATCATTCAATTCACATAACAACTACATGTCAAATAGTTAGGGTTTCACAACACCCAAGTGAAAAATGAAACTACTCCATGCTAGAAAGGGGAAGAACACAAGAGGAAGAGGTAGAAACCATCATGGTGATGCCTCCACTCTCCTTTGAGCTTGTGTTGATCTTCTCTTGGGGAGAATCTTCCCAATTCACCACTTGGAGCAAACCCTAGCCTTCTTTTTTCTTTGGTTCGTTCTTTCTCTCTCTAAAATCTGAAGAAGAAGACACTTTCTCACTCTTGGGCTCTCTCTTCCTTTCAGTTCTCCTTTTAAACAAGGATCGGGCTCAGTTCATGGCCTCAGTTCACGGCCGTGAACTCTTGAACGCGTTCGTGAACTCAAGGTTGGCGTCGAAACGCACCGCTTCGCTTGCACAGGTTCACGGGCAACAGCTCCAGTTCACGGTCCTAGTGACCATGAACTCACTCAGCTCAGTAACTTTAGAATTTGCCCTCGACGCCTAGATGTTCACAGGCAATAGCTCCTCTTCACGGTCTTAGCAAACCATGAACTTCCAAGAGAAACTGTGAACTGCCGGTTTTTCACCTCTTCTCCCGGTTTTCGCTCCTTTTCGTCCTACTTCCGACTCTGGGGCTTGTTTCACCTGTTAAATCATGAAACATTCTAAAACACAAGACACCTGGCGTAAAATCACCCTTTTAGGAGCACAATTGCCACAAACGCCTAAGGAAAACGGGGGTAAAATATGTACAATTAGGCCTGAATCAGTAGTTTTTGAAAGTGATGTGTATTCAAGATCCTTTCACAAATATTGTACTTGTAAGGTGTTATGGGGCAATCCAAGTACCACATCGGTAATACAAGGGAAGAGACCCTTGTATATAAGAGTCAACCTAGCCCAATTAGTACGAGGTCTTTTGGGGAGGACACCCAAAGGTAAATCCGTGCGGGCTTGGCCCAAAGCGGACAATATCGTACTAATTGAGCGGCCCGGTTTCGACATAAGGAATGAGAATGAGGTAGAGAGTCGATGCTTAAAGTGTTATAAAATTTGGATGGAAAGGGTGCATGTAGGAAAATTGTCAATATTAGGTTATGGTGATTTAAGGTTTAACTGATAACTACTACAGGGTCTTGTTTGACGGAAATTGTTATACATATGTAGGAAAATAGTCAATCGAACTTGGAAAGGATGCACTAGTCGTTTCTTGACTTGAGGATGGCTTGCTAAGTCGAGACATATTAATTTATTTAGCGACCTGTCGTTAACAAAATCTCAATTGTTAAGAATCGTTATGCCTTAAAGCTTTTATCAGCTTAACCCTAATAAACTTACTTGCAATCGCAGCTAGACCTTCCAATTTGTGTGCAATGATGGGAGAGGTTGCTTAACAATGAAAATGTTATTGTTATAAACGCGCTGCTACGGATCGGGAAATCGCAGGAATCGACAAAGCAAGAATACGAAAGCGAGAATCGAAAACACGACACACGATTTACGTGGTTCACTAACACGATGTGTGTTAGCTACGTCCACGGGCGAGCGAGACCCCCGATTACCAGTCGTAGCGGCTGATAGTCCGATTCAAGTCACATCAACAAATCTCCACCTTGACTTGAATCCTCTTCGTCTGAAATCTCTGATGTACTCTGCTCCTTCTATCTCTCTCCCGCCATCAATGCCCCGCAGGGCGGAGTCACCCACTCAAGACATTCAGCAAGTCCAAGCAGTGTTGGAACTTGCCATGTGGAACCGGCTTCGTGAACATATCAGCAGGATTATCCGCGGTGCCAACCTTCTTCACCTTAATCCTCTTCTCTGTCCTCAAGAAATGATACCTCACGTCGATGTGCTTAGTCCTCTCATGGTGGACTTGATCCTTGGCCAAGCATATTGCACTCAAACTGTCGCAATACACCAGTGCCTGATCATGATGTAGACCAAGATCACCAACCAGTCCCTTCAACCATATTCCCTCCTTAGCAGCTTCTGTCAACGCCATATACTCTGCCTCAGTAGTAGACAATGTCACCGCCGACTGCAAAGTTGCCTTCCAGCTCACTACAGAACTCCCAAGAGTGAATACATAACCGGTCATCGATCTCCTCGTGTCAACATCTCCAGCATAGTCCGAGTCAGAATACCCAGACACCAAGCACTCTGTATCACTTCCGAAGCTAATCCCCACATCAGGTGTACCCTTAAGGTACCGGAACATCCTCTTCACAGCCTGCCAATGCTCCTTCCCAGGTTGTATCATAAATCTACTGACAACACTAACAGCATGTGCAAGATCAGGTCTAGTGCATACCATAGCGTACATCAAGCTACCTACTGCACTAGCATATGGGACTCTCGACATGTATTCCTTCTCAGCCTCTGACTGCGGTGCATAAGCTGAGGATAGATGAACATTTGAAGCACTAGGAGTATTTAAGGGCTTTGCTGAAGACATGCCAAACCTCGACAGTATCTTCTGGATGTAGCTCTTCTGTGACAAGAAAAGCTTCTTCTTCGACCTGTCCCTGTAAATCTCCATACCCAAGATCTTCTGAGCAGCTCCCAAATCCTTCATCTCAAACTCAGCACTGAGAAGCCCCTTTAACTTCTGGATATCAGACTTCGACCTCGCAGCTATGAGCATATCATCCACATACAGAACAAGATAGATCATCGAACCATCCTCCACCTTGTTGTGATACACGCAACAATCATATGGACTTCTGCTATAGCCCAGCTCAAGCATGTAACTGTCAAATCTCTTGTACCACTGCCTCGGAGATTGCTTAAGTCCATACAAGGACTTCTTCAACTTACAAACATAGTCTTCTTTTCCCGGAACCTCGAATCCTTCTGGATGAGTCATGTAAATTTTTTCCTCCAACTCTCCATGTAGGAAAGCTGTCTTCACGTCTAGCTGCTCGAGCTCCAAGTCATAATGTGCCACTATTGCTAGTAGCACTCTGATCGAAGTATGTTTGACCACTGGTGAGAAAATCTCATTGTAGTCAACTCCTTCCCTCTGCGAGAAGCCTCGTGCAACCACCCGAGCTTTAAATTTCATGCCCTCTTTAGAAGTGATTCCTTCCTTCTTCTTGTAGATCCACTTGTTTGTAACAATCTTCCTTCCCTATGGTCGTTTGACTAGCTCCCAAGTCTGATTCCTGTCATGGGATTCCATCTCATCTCCCATTGCGGCAAGCCACTGATCAGCTTCACCGCCCAAAACTGCTTCTCTGTAGGACTGTGGCTCTCCTGCATCCACTTCTTCAGCAACCTGAAATGAATACGCCACCATGTCCTCGAAGCCATACCTCTGTGGAGGTATTCCTGCAGTCGCTCTCTTCGGTCTACCGGAAGCAATAGACTATTGAGCTCATGCACTGGACTCTGAAGTTTCTGGCTCTGCAGAGACATCCTCATCATGTTGATCTTCTCCACCTTGGTGCTCAAACTCACTCTCATTGAGAGTTTGCAGCTCCACCTGCTTATCAACATTCCTGCTACCTTCGACAACAGTAACCTTCAACATGGGGTTAAACATAGACTTCTCATCAAATATCACATTTCTACTGAGTATAACTCGATGCTCAGAAGGTGACCAGACTCGAAATCCCTTAACTCCATCTCCGTAACCCACAAAAACACCCTTCTTTGCCCTTGGGTTCAGTTTACCCTCATCCACATGATAATAAACAGGACACCCAAAAACTTTCAGTGAAGAGTAATCCGCAGTCTTACCATACCACACCTCATAAGGAGTCTTCAACTCGATACTTGTGTGAGGTCCACGGTTGATCAGGAAGCACGCCATGTTCACTGCTTCTGCCCAGAATCTTCTCTCTAGTCCAGCATTAGAGAGCATGCACCGTGCCCTCTCCAACAATGACTGGTTCATCCTTTCTGCAACGCCATTCTGCTGGGGTGTATCTCTCACAGTCCGATGACGGGCAATCCCTTCATCCTTGCAGAATTCGTTGAACTCAGAATTACAGAACTCTAGACCATTGTCCGTTCGCAGCTTCTTGATCTTCTTCCCGGTCTGGTTCTCCACCAATGTCTTCCACTGCTTGAACTTCGTGAAAGCTTCACTTTTCTGCTTCATCATGAAAATCCAAGTAAATCTCGAATAATCATCAATAATAGACAGAAAATACCTGTTGCCTCCAATGGATTCAACTCGTGAAGGACCCCAACAGTTGGAGTGGAGGTAATCCAGTATCCCTTTTGTCCGGTGGATACCCTTCTTGGGAAACTTGCTGCGATGTAGCTTCCCAAACACACAATGCTCGCAGAATTCCAAATTCTGCATCATGTGCCCGCAAAGAAGATCCCTCTTCGACAGAACTTGCATCCCCCGTTCACTCATATGCCACAGTCTCATGTGCCAGAGAGTGGTCATATCTTCCTGATGAACCTGAGACGATGCAACGGCAGCAGAACCAGACAACACAGACCCTTGTAATGCATACAAGGTCTCACGCTTCACGCCCTTCAGCACCATCCTTGAACCTTTGCAGACATACACAACTCCACCTTTTCCTTTGAAACTGAAACCCTTGCTGTCGAGTAGACTCAAGGAGATCAGGTTCTTTGTCATTCGTGGAACATGTCTGACATCATTCACGGTACAGAACGAACCATCATGTGTCCGAACCTTTATGGACCCGATTCCAACAACCTTGCAGACAGCTCCATTAGCCATGACCACGTTACCACCATCTATCTGCTCGTAGGTTGTGAAGCAATCCCTGTTCGGAGACATATGGTATGAGGCTGCAGTATCCAGAAACCACACATCCCCACGATGTGCCTTCTCATCTACAGCCAAGGCGAGATCGTCTTCTGAGCTGTTGTCCACTTCTGCCACGGCAACTGAACCTTGTTTCTTCTGTTGCCCTCTTCTCTTGGGACAATTGTACTTCCAATGCCCCACTTCCTTATAGTTATGGCAAGCATCACCTGGCTGTAGACCGGGACCCTTGGAATTCTTGTTTGAATTCCCTTTACCAGATTTCTTCTTTCCCTTTCCACCTGTAACAGCCAAACCCGATGCCTCACCACCTTTACCAGATCCGGACGCCTTATGTCTGATCTCTCTCGTATAAAGAGCAGACCTGACATCCTCCAACGACACGCTTTCTTTACCAGCAATAAAAGAATCAACGAAATTCTCATATGAACTCGGCAAAGAAACCAGTAGGATTAGGGCAGCATCCTCGTCATCAACTTGAACATCTATATTACGCAGATCCAGCAAAATAGAGTTAAGCTGTTCGAGATGTTCCCTCAAAGGCGTACCTTCTTGCATCCTCAAGCTGAACAACCGTTGCTTGAGATGCAGCTTGTTGGTTAGAGACTTAGTCATGTACAGACTCTCTAGTTTCAACCACAAGCCCGCGGCAGTCTTCTCAGCAGCGACTTCAATGATGACGTCATCAGACAACGATAGCATGATGGTCGAGTGGGCCTTCTCCTCCAGGGTATTCCACTCATCGTCATCGACCGCTGCCTTCTTCTGTTTCGCAGACAGCGGCCCCCACAGCCCTTGTTGTTTTAATAAAGCCTGCATCTTGATCTGCCATATAGCGAAGCTGTTCTTCCCCGTGAACTTTTCGATCTTCATGTTCACCGACGTCATTCTTCTGAATCGAAAAATCCTAGCCTGATTTCCAGCCGCGGCTCTGATACCACTTGTTATAAACGCGCTTCTACGGATCGGGAAATCGCAGGAATCGACAAAGCAAGAATACGAAAGCGAGAATCGAAAACACGACACACAATTTACGTGGTTCACTAACACGATGTGTGTTAGCTACGTCCACGGGCGAGAGAGAGCCAGTTTCACTATATCGAGGAGATTACAGATTACAGAGGAGTATGAGAAGTATATATAGTACTTCTCCATGTGGGTCTAAACCTAATCCAATATGGCAAAGGAAACGGTTACAGACTAGGCCCAGAACGCGAACCCAAATTACATTGAACCCAAATTACATTAAACCTAATCCATGTGGGTCTAAACCTAATCCAATCTGGCAAAGGAAACGGTTACAGACCAGGCCCAAAAGCGAGACCCCCGATTACCAGTCGTAGCGGCTGATAGTCCGATTCAAGTCATATCAACAGTTATGGTACAATCCACTATCACGTCGTAAATACAAGAGTATGTACTCTTATATATTAGTGTCCACCTAGCGCTATTAGTATGAGGTCTTAAGAGAGGATATTCAAAAGTAAATTCGTGTGAACTTGGTCCATAGCAGACAATATCGTAGCAATGGAGCTACCTAGATTGTTCTGAGACAATCCAAGTATCAAATCAATAAAAGGAAAAAGACCCTTGTATATTAGTGTCCACCAAACTCATTAGTACGAGACCCTTTAGGGATGATATCCAAAAGTAAATTCATGCAGATTGCCCAAAAGCTGACAATATCATACTAATGGAGCTGCCAGTTCAACAAGTGGTATCCGAGTCTGGCTGGAAATACAAAGGGATGCACCTTTGTATATTAGCATCCATATAACCCAATTAGTACGAGCATTTTGGAATGAACTCATAAGTAGACCGGACAACATCATACTAATGGGGCACCCGATGTTGAGAAGTGGTATTAGAGCCTCGTTCGGATCCAGGGCAGTGAACGATAGTTTGGTGGATCCTCATTGACCTCGTGATTTGAGATCTTTGTTTGTTTGGTGGATTAAAGGAGATTCATGTTTGTCTGGAAGACCTCTAGAAAACCGAGTGGATATTTGAGATATGTGTCTATTTGGCATATCAAAGGAAATTTGCATATATCTAGCAGATCTAATGGAGATATGTGTCTGTTTGGCGAATCAAGACAATCGCTGAGAGAGGACACAAAGTTCATGGTCCTTCTCTTGAGTTGAGGATTGTTATGCTACAACCCAAATGTCAAATTGGAGATACGAGGGAAAGAATATAAGTGTCCACATAGCCCAACTAATACGAGGAATTTTGGAAAGGAACCCAAAAGTAAATTCGTGCGGGTTTTGGTACTAAGCGACAATATCGTAGTAATGGAGCAATTCGATACCGATAAGTGGTATAAGATTTATTGTTTTCGTTGTCAGATTTATTAATTGGGCTATATGGACACTTTTTTTTTGTTACCCAGGAATCTCAGGTCCGTGTGCCACTTTGTGACAACGGGGCCTAGTAAAGCTGGAGGCCACCTGCAATCAATTCGACGCCAATGAGGTTTCGCTCTCAGCTCTCATACTTTTCGGAACACCAATGGGCCTTGCTTGGAGCGAACCTAGATTTGCAACTCCCAAACCTTAATTCTTACCGTTAGCCTAGGTATATGGACACTTATTATCGACCTATCATGTTGCATGCATGTATAACATGCATATCATTTCTAAAAATTGTACGAATTCATATTAAATTTACGCAAAAACTCTTTTATAAAGTGTTTTCATCACCCTTTGTAAAATTTTGTTAAACTAGTATTAAATCAGAACTAGCTGAAGACAGAAAGTGATCAGAAAACGTGTTGTGGGTGCTTCGTCGTCTTTCAAACTTTAATTACTTAGCTTGCCGGCAGCAGACATGAAGAAGAAGTTAACCTACTCCATCATTTTTATAGATCTGAATCCAATTCCATTACTAACCGTCCTCTTCACTTTCTCTTAAAAAAACAAGACAACTTTTTTTTGTATAATGGTTTTCCTTTGGCTTTTCCTAATGGCAAATGGATTTGCCATTATGATCGATAGACTGTGTTATTAAAGAAATGAATGGTCGGCGTGCCACTGCACCTTGACAAGTCTCGGTTACCTTCTCGCAAAAGGGGTATATTTTATTTATATATGTTGATCTCTACTTGATTATATTTTGAGATTATGTATTGATAAGAAGATTTGACTCTTCCTAGATTAGGTACTTGTACATCTGGTACACGTACGATAGGTGTGTAGTCACTAGTCGTATACACAATATCCCTTTGTTTTTTTTTTTAACAATTGTAGAAGATACAAACGAATTATTAGCTGGATAGTATTTGAATTTGTTAATATAAATATATGAGTCAGACGGCTATACTCATACAATGATTGTACGATAATTTATGTATTCTAAGATACCTTTATTTAGAACATGAACTAAACCGGTTTTGAAGTATAATATTATAATCTAACCTTTAATGGATAAATCTATGGTCTCGATTCTCGAAACCCAAACTCAAAGTTGATCATTCAGATTCTTGAAATTGGGATATGATACCACATGTAGTAAAACGATAAGACTTCAAAGGTTAGAGATATAATTAAGAGGGATTTCAGGTAGAATAATTTCGGGATTGGGATGAAGAAATTCGGAAAGAAACAAGGAAGTGGTCGACGCTTCTTTTGGGAGAAAAAGAGATGATCAATGTCTGAGAGAAAGAGGTCGAGTTAGATTTAGGTTTTAGAGAAATAACTTTGTTTTTGTTTGATTGATTTCTCCACGAGAAACTACAGAATACATAATAAACCGTATCCTCTTTTTTGCTTTGCTCCTATTCTCTCTAATTATCCCAACGAGATAATTGGCCCGCGCGTTGCGGTGGGTTGTCAACACATATATCAGTCATGTAAAATTTAGATGGATCTTTTCTTAAATTGAGTGAGATGCCTTTAGAGATTGAAACTAACATTTTAGATTGTTTAGCCTTTTGATAGAAAAATTATTTTGGATAATAATTGAGAATTTACCATTAATCCGCAGTATTGCGTCGACGGGGATAGTACCTAATTTTGATCCTTCTTTTGATATAGATAAATATATCAAGTAATGGATACTATACTTTAAAATCAATTAACATGTATTCTTATATTTAATTTATAGGAATGTCAAGGTAATTCACATTTGAACCCTAGACCATCGTTTTGTTCCAACTATTACTCATATAATGATAACAAAGTCAAACAATATTGAGCAAGCCTGATTGTGTGACTATTGTATTACGATAGAATGCTGACTCAATGTGTGATTATTGTATTCTATAATTGCTTCATCTAATTAATTTATTTCTTGCCATACAAATCTCCATTGTACGTTGAGTTCCCTTCTTCCCTTCTTCCCTTCCATATGTAATTGCTTCACCCTAAACCCCTGCCATCTCTTTACATACATGCAACGAAGATCGATCAATAACATGTGTCAATAAATAAAAACTTAATTCAGCTCCATGACTTCCATCTCCTTCCCTAGCTTGCATCATGTCTCTCTCACCGGGTTCCAACCCCAATCAAAATCGGGGAGAACATTCTTTTCTTGGACACCAGACTCTCACACATGACATGAGTGCTTCTCTCTGCGTCCCTCTTTAATTTGGGTTTACTTTCAGCAGCGCCATCTCCTGCAACCCTCATCCTCCTCGATCGCAAGTAAGATGGTCGGCTGCATGCAATGGATCTCATCAACGAATACAACTTACCCTCATTGTCTGGTTAAGCCAATTCCATAGTGATGTACAGAGTGGTTGAATCCATATCCTCAGTTTTAGCGGCGCTCAAACTCAATTAGCCGCCATCCTGGAAAAATGTGGGATCTGGGAGAAGGAGAAGGGGATTCCTTGATATGATTGGCGATAAGTGTGGCGGGAAAGGACCATCTCGGAACCCAGCTTGGCCAGCCGTCAAGGATCGTCGGAGGGGGTAAGTGGATTAAACGCCGCGCAGAGAATTTACTTCGGAATTGCACCTAATGGCTAATGGTAGAACTGTTGTAGTAAACCCCTAATACCATAAACTCCGGCAGAGATAGGGGGAAGCTTGGCGTTGGCTCTTCGATTCTCCAGCTAGCTCCATCTTGGCCAAAGTCCAGAGATTTGACGGATCGGAGGGGCAAAAGGAATGGAGACTGAACGACTCATGGGAACCGCACCACAATTGGAAGGGATGAGCTTGCCCAATCGCCAGGCGAAAAACCAAGGGAAAAGAAAAGGTAATTAATGGGGGCGCACCAAACTTGCGGTAGATCCGCCCGCATTTGCCGAGACCCCTTAAATCAAAACTTGCGAATTAATATATCTAATATACAAAAATTATAGAAATTGTTCTAAAATAACATCAAACATAACTAAATTAATTTGTTAACATAAAACGACAAATGTTTGAGAAAGCATGTTTTCATTGACTCTATATGACTATTCAATATCCATCCTAATAAAACAATAGTTTATTCTAGGCCATAGGCAACCTGTACACACTTGACACATGGATCCAATGAGAATGTCAAAATGGATAACAAAGAGCAAATGCTGGCAAATACCTTTAAAGAAAGAAAGAGGGATAGTGGACCAACCAAAAAAAAAAAGCCCACTCGCCCGGTCCACATATTTTCTGTAACCAGTCCATTTCTTGTATGAGTACACATGCATTTTATGTGTTTAAAATGTATATTTTTTTATTAATTTGAATTGATTTGTTTTTCATTTGATGGTTCTCATAACAAATAGTGTTGGTATTTAATGAATTAAATTTATAATTTTAAAATTATATATACATTTATTTATTTCTGTATGAATTAATTTCATATACTTTATGATAACTGACTTACTATTAAACGTATCATTAATTCAGAAATGAAATAAATTATTCATATAAAATACATACTCACTCATACCATATTTTACCAACTATGCAACCCAAGTATTATAACTGTCGTTATTAATGTTTGAATCAAAACATGATCGATGTCATCGTCCTATATTATTATGGAATCAAACTCTTGCAAAAAATTTTGTTTTTTTATCTAAAAACTCAAAATTTTAATGGAGACAAAATTTGGGTGGGGGGGGGGGGGATACATTACATGTAAAATTGACTTTGTTTGGAAAAAATTAGATAACCAGAGATATTGTGTGTGTAGACCACTCCAAAAGGAAGATTCACACACTTTAAACATTGTGGGTGCAAGTGTGTGTAGTAGAGCAGAGCAAAGTGCTCACTGCCTGTGGGGCTCAAGGGACCAAATTGAAGGCAACCCATCAAGCAACCAAAGCAAACGCTCTCTATAAATTTGGAACCAATCCCCCTCCACCTTCACCAAATTACAAACTCACCTCTCTCTCTCTCTCTCTCTATACCATTTTCTTGGAAACCAAGCAGCTATCTTTCTTTCCTTCTTCCTGCTCTTCTCTTCATTCCTCTCCCAACCAGAACAACATGGAAATAGAGGCAAGGAGAGATCAAAATTGCAGCAACAAGAGCAGCAAGACTACTAGCGATGGCATTAATGGTGCAGAAGACACAGGCTATGTAGATTGGAAGGGCAGACCTTCCAACCCTCACAAACATGGTGGAATGAGAGCTGCATCCTTTGTTCTTGGTACATCCTTCTTCTTTTTTTTCCACACTTTCTACTACCAGTTAGCTACTGCACAAAAGAAACAGACCCTACCGCATATGATTCTATATCAATAGACACAAACCACCACGTAGTCCGTGTTGGTATCTTGTCTTCTTCTGCATTTTGGCTTTTACATATGTTCAGATTTTGTTTGCTTCCTTCCTACAAGAGTACTGTTCCATAGAACTGTCATGGTATGCATAAGAGTTAATGTTAGTTTGGTTGTAATATTGTTACATTTGGGTTTGGGGTGGTGATGGATAAGTTGTATGTGCTGACGTTGTTGGATTTTTTTTTTTTACTGCGAAACTATTGTAGGGCTGCAAGCATTTGAGATCATGGCGATAGCGGCAGTAGGGAACAATCTGATAACATACGTGATGAATGAGATGCACTTCTCGTTGTCCGAGTCGGCCAACATCGTCACCAATTTCGTCGGGACGGTGTTCATCCTGGCACTCCTTGGTGGCTACCTCTCTGACTCTTATCTCGGCTGTTTCTGGACCATGCTCATCTTTGGCTTCGTTGAGCTTTCTGTAAGTTGTCTACGTCATTTTTTTATATGATATAGGGTAATTTCATAATTAAATGCAATTGAACGAATTCGATTCTAAAACCTCCAACAGGTTCAACAGTAATGGTATTACCACTGGACCAAATCCTTTTTCGCTCTTAATAGTCATTTATAATGCCCAGTTTTTTACATTATTCCCCTTTCCCCCTTGTTTCAAACCACCCATCATTGTAGCTTTAGTTTGGCCCAGCCCCTTCTTCTCCACTTTGATGTTCCTTTTTATTTATTCCAGTTTTCTATTCTCCAATAACTTCTCAAAGTCAAAGTCTTAACCTTCAAAATCCCACATCCACAATAGTGGCTTGCCTTCCTCTTCTCTCCCCCATTATCTTATTCATTCAACTATGTACATTATAAGTACTAATGGGTATTACCAAAAGACAAATGTCACATGTTTATGGCTTGAGATAAATGGTAATCATTGTTCAAAGATATAAATGAGGATTCTTTCATACTCACACACATTTAATTAATTTTTTGGGTGTAGGGATTCATCTTGCTGTCAGTCCAGGCTCATGTTCCACAACTGAAGCCACCCAAGTGCAACAGCACTAGTGGAGGAGGCATGGAGCACTATGATTGTAAGGAGGCAAAAGGGTTCAAGGCATTAATCTTCTTTGTGGCCCTCTACTTAGTGGCATTAGGGAGTGGATGTGTTAAACCAAACATGATTGCACATGGGGCAGACCAATTCCAGTACCATCATAATCACAATCATAATCAAGATCAAGATAATCACAATCATCATCAAGGCACCAAAAAGAAGCAGCAGCATGACCAGTCCAAGCAGCTCTCCACTTACTTCAACTCTGCCTACTTCGCCTTCTCAATGGGTGAACTTGTAGCTCTCACCCTCCTCGTTTGGGTCCAAACCCACTCTGGCATGGACGTTGGCTTTGGTGTCTCGGCTGCTGTCATGGCCATGGGCTTGATCTCCTTGGTCTCTGGCACCCTTTTCTACAGGAACAAGCCCCCTCAACGCACCATCTTAACACCCATTGCCCAAGTAAGCACACTCTACTACACCTCTATCTCAATCTCATCCAACTGCCATGCATGCACCATGTCGTAAACCAACTGGTACCAATAATTCGAGTCGTTGGAAAATATCTACGTATGGTACTTAACTACTTTCCTACACGTCGGATTTGTGTGCTTTAAAGATACCGATGAATATTGAGGGTCATGAGAATTTGAATTCGTTAACCAACTGGTATCAATAACTTGAGTTCGTTGGAATATGTCCATCTATAGCACTTAAATACTTCCCTACGTACACATCGGGTCTGTGTGCTTTAAAGATACCGATGAATATTTAGGGTTATAAGAACTTGAAAAACGTAAGACTCAAAGACAAACCAGCTCTTATACCACATCATAAATCAATTGGTACCAATAACTCGAATTATTGAAAAACATCCATATATAATACTTAACTACTTCCTTACCGATATCCATTACTTTCAGGTGTTTGTAGCTGCTTTCTTGAAGCGAAATCAGATCTCTCCATCCACCCCACAAAACACGACAACCACCAACAACGTTGTCCACACACAAAGATTCAGGTTCCTCGACAAGGCCTCCATGAGAAGCACCGACAACGGAACAACTGAGAGCCCATGGCGGCTATGCACCACGAGCCAAGTGCAACAAGTGAAGATCCTCATCTCCGTCATCCCAATCTTCGCGTGCACCATCGTCTTCAACACCATCCTCGCCCAGCTCCAGACCTTCTCCGTCCAACAAGGCCGCGCCATGGACACAAAGCTCACACCTTCCTTCGACATCCCGCCAGCTTCCCTCCAAGCCATCCCTTACGTCATCCTCATCGTCCTCGTCCCTCTCTACGACGCCGTATTCGTCCCCACGGCCAGAAAGCTCACCGGCCACGAGTCGGGCATCACCCCGTTGCAAAGAATCGGGTCGGGCCTCTTCCTCGCCACGTTCTCCATGGTGGCGGCAGCCGCCATGGAGAACAAGAGGAGGGAAGCAGCGGTTGAGGACAACGTCAGGATCTCGATATTTTGGATCACACCGCAGTTCCTCGTATTCGGTTTGTCCGAGATGTTGACCGCCGTAGGTCTCATCGAGTTTTTCTACAAGCAGTCGCTCAAAGGGATGCAGTCGTTCTTGACCGCGATTACCTACTGCTCGTACTCGTTCGGGTTTTACCTAAGCTCGGTTCTGGTCTCGTCGGTAAACAAGATCACCTCGAGGTATTCTTCTTTGGGTCATGGTTGGCTCGGTGACAATGATCTTAATAAGGATAGGTTGGATCTCTTCTACTGGATGCTGGCGGTGTTGAGCTTCGTCAACTTTCTCAACTATCTCTTTTGGGCGAATTGGTACTCTCCTTGTGATAACAAAGGTCATGAAGATCATATGGGTGGTGACGATGAAGCCATACCCTAGAAGGAGGGTTTGGAGGACTAATGAGAATGGGACAGCTAGCCCTAGCTGGCTTAATGATTGTTGCTATATTGAGTGGTTGTACTTTTTCTTGACACATGAAGTAGCTACGTGTATGGTATGTTTTTACTAGGGTTTGTAACATAATGTTATGGCTAGCTAATAGGGTGGTGACAATTATTGGTGGTGGAAGGGAAAATCTCGCTTCCATTATTAAGATTGTTTATATTATGGTCGATCGATGGATGGATGTATCTTTTCCTGTCTTGCTTTTGAGTGGCCATGTGGCTAGCTAGCTTTGCTGCTATATATCTCTCTGTGAATGTTTTACAGAGAAACTATGTGTAAGTGACTGAAGACAAAAAAAAGGGTCGATTGGCTTGGAAATAATGATGATTGTTCAGTGAACAGACTGACGAGCGACCAACATTATTTTTCTCTTCAACCGGCAATCTCAAGACATGGAATTATTAGCTCTAGTTATCTAGGTTGTTGAAACCTATAATAAGGCCTAAGGGTAAGGGGTATATATAACCTTTTAAAAAGGCTCCCGTTGGATTGGATGTGTGGAGAATTTGGAAGAAACAGCCCATTTGAGACTGTGGTTGGAGTGGAGTCATCACATTTTTAGAGACTTGGTAGATTGATGTATTGTTTAGAAGATTGGTCATGCATGGTGCGGAATTGGGCAAAGATCAGACTTTTGATAGGTGTACGTATAGGAGCCTTTCTACTATGCTTTAAAGTATTGGTATTTTAAAGTACAATTTTAAGTTGTACCACAACGGTAAAGGTACAAGTTAGAGTTGTACCATAAGGGAATTTGATGTTTATGTTGTGGTACAACTTCAACTCTTCAAGTTGTACCATAAGTTAAATGTACAACTTTAGTTTGTACCATAAAGGAATTTTACAAAAGAGTATAGGTACAACCTAAAGTTGTACCATAACGTTAAAGGTACAACTTCAAGTTGTACCATAAAGGCAAAAACTAAAGCACCAACGCTTTAAAGCATTGTAAAATTCCTCATACATATAGAGAAATTTAGCGATTTTGACGTGCTACTGAATAAGATTTTGTAGGGGGATATATACAAGTACAAATTTAGAATTCCTTAGACCTATTTGTACGATGAGGGGTGTTTTATTACTCTAGCATAAATTGACTATATGGTGGTTTTGTCGTTGTCGTCGTCTTTGATCTCACCGTATTTGTATTCTCATTCTTTTAACGAGAGTCACAAATTCTCTCTCTTGTTAATACACAATTGCATCCATAATAAAAAAAAAACAAACTTTTTACTATATAAAAACATGTGAACGGCTATTTGCCGCCAATCAAATTGCTATTTGCCGCCAACTAAAAAAAAAAAAAAAGGAATTCAAAATTTGAATATTCTCTTCCTTCCCAGTGCCTCCGTCGCCGGTAAAAAAAAAAAAATTTTAATTTTGAATTTTCCCTTCCTTCCCAGTGCCTCCGTCGCCGGCATCGTTCTTCCGTCGTTGGCTAACCTCCCGTCGCCCTCAATCGTCGGAAAACAAGTAAGTTTACTTTTTCCGGCCAGTTTTCCAGTTTTCCGGTAAGTTTTCCAGTTTTCCGGCGAAAAACATGGCGGGCCGAAAAAAAATTGCGGCCCGAACGTCGCTGAGCCGAAAAAAATTTGTGGCCGGGACGACGGCCGGCCGAAAATCTCTTTCGGCCCGGCGACGCCACGGCCGCAAATTTTTTTCGGCCGGTCGCCGAACACGCCGGCCAAAAAATTTCCGGCGGCGTGTTCGTCGGCCGGCCGAAAAAAATTTGCGGCCGGAGCGACGTCGGGCCGAAAGAATTTTTTTCGGCCGGTCGCCGAACACGCCGGCCAAAAATTTTCCGGCGGCGTGGTCGTCGGCCGGCCGAAAAAAAATTGCGGCCGTGGCGTCGCCGGGCCGAAAGAATTTTTCGGCCGGCCGTCGTCCCGGCCACAAATTTTTTTCTGCTCGGCGACGGTCGGGCCGCAATTTTTTTTCGGCCCGCCGTGTTTTTCGCCAGAAAACTGGAAAACTTACCGGAAAACTGGAAAACTTGCCGGAAAAAGTAAACTTACTTGTTTTCCGACGATTGAGGGCGACGGGAGGTTAGCCGACGACGGAAGAACGGTGCCGGCGACCGACGATTGACTTGCCTCGCGCCCGATCTTCGTCCAATCGACCCCGAACTCGCTAGAAATCCATAATGAAATTCATAAGTTCATAATGACACTAGGGTCATTAAAAATACAACTAGAAAAACAACAACATATAAATATAGCATTGCAACACGACACACGATTTACGTGGTTCACTAACACGAAGTATTTATAGTACTTCTCCATGTGGGTCTAAACCTAATCCAATATGACAAAGGAAACGGTTACAGATCAGGCCCAGAACCCGAACCCAAATAACATTGAGCCCATACACCGTGGGCCGGGGGCGTTGCCCCCGCACCCCCACCGGGGCGTTGCCCCTGGACCCCACTCGCTGACCGGGCAGCGAGACCCCCGATTACCAGTCGTAGCGGCTGATAGTCCGATTCAAGTCACATCAACAAAGGGTTTAGGGTTCAGGGTTCACTTAGGGTTTAGGGTTTAGGGTTTGAAACACATGGATCGTGTAGCACTTTGCCCACATTGTCTGATGGTTAGTGATGATTCATGGATGCGTGTACGCATTATATGTCGAGGATAGGCTTTCCCGATGATTTTCCGACGACTTTTCCGGCGAGCGTTGAATTTTTCTGATTCAATACGTTCTCTGAAAGTTGGATATGTTGTAGATTGTGAAACTCCTTAACCAAAGATGTATATATATACATTTTTTTTCATCGATGATTTTCCGGCGACTTTTCCGGCGAGCGTTGAATTTTTCTGATTAAATACGTTCTCTGAAAGTTGGATATTTTGTAGATTGTGAAACTCCTTAACCAAAGATGCATATATATACTTTTTTTTTTTTTGTTGACGGCAAATAGCAATTTGGTTGGCGGCAAATAGCAAGCCCAAAAACATAGATGAAATGAAAGATCCATTATCATAATAAAAGAATATTCCCTTCATAGTGGGGGACCTCATCACTTTCTCCTTTGAATGGTTCAAAAGGAGGGAATGTACTTACTCAAGTCAAGTGCTTGAGAGGGCCAGACTCAAATTTTCTGCAAATAATTGGTGCAAAATTTCGTACTAGTGTAATAGAACATCATGTTGAGACTCTTGGCTTAAGCAATTGATTTGAACTCATAGGAAATTCATGTGAGCTCATAAAAGCTCATAGTAGTTTCTATGTACAAGAGACTAATTCAGCCCAAGTAGGATCAAAGGGTCTCAAGGCAAGCACAAGAGAGCTTAGCTTGCACTGCACTACTTAAAATGGTCGAAAATGGATTTTGGCTAGCTAAAATCAACATAGAAAGGTTAAGTTTAGCTCACACTAGCTAGTACTACTTAAGCTTAATCCAACTCAATGAAACTATTCTAGTAGCTCAAGTCCCTTGGACTTAGCTAAGAAAGATTGAACCTTAGGGAGGCTAGCTAGTTGGAATAAGCTAAAATGGTAAGTCAAGAGTTCGGATTCTTTTTCAGCAATTATGTCGCATTGGGATTGTGCCTACTCAATAATGTGAGCAATTGAGTGAATTTGAATCATATAAAGACGGTGATGCTTGGAAAGACATTTAAATTGCGAGATATATGTGGAAGAGGGTGACTATTGAGTACCTTATTTAATTCTAATTGCCTCGGACATAATGTATATGTCAAAATGGACAAGGTTGGTTACTCTTTGCCGGTGTGTTGGAAACAAATTAAATCATCTTTCTCTCCTTCAAACGTCCAAATTCTCGCAACAAAATATATATGTCTCCTGACTTATTATAGTCACCATTTCCTAGAAGCAAGATAGGTGTTGAACGTTTACCAAATTTAATCCTTAGTCGACTTCAGGGCGAGAAAGAACCGAAATCATCTTTCTCACCTTCAATATTCAAACTCTCATGATAACACATACGTGTCTCTTTCTCTTGACTAGTACATGATCGAATTTCGAATATCAGTTTCTTAGATAAAAGTAGGACAACATATCCAACAAATGCGAGGTCACGAATAATGCAATCCACTTCGATGAAAATCCAGATCCCTCTATAGACAGTTGAACAAATTATATATCCTCCCTCATTTGGGCTGCTGATTCAGATGCAACAAATAAAAGCATACTTAGTCATGTCATAGCATTGTTCTCTTTTGAGTTTCTGTCTCTTTCCTTTGGTTCATGAACATGGAACACAACTATAGGTAATAAAGGCTAATATGTTCCTTCACCACAAAAAGCAGAGAGGATTGCACAGAAATAAGAGTCGGAGTAGTGGATGGAAAGCTAATAGTCAGTAACTTATGATTTTTAATCCATCAATTGTGACAAAGAGACATGTTTTTTCTCTTAATGTCGGAAGCCAGGCCCCTACCCCTCTCTTCTCCAATATCTGAAAACTCTCTCTCTAGCTAGCTCCAGTAACTCATTGATTGTGAAACTATCTCGAAAATTATACCGGAAAAAGGTAGTAATAAGGTATTTTGTAATAAAATCGTGGTTGAACTGCAATACAATAGTTTCATACTATTAAACCCACGTATCATATCATTTGTGATTTAGCATTCAATATTTCTGATCCGACCATATGATACGATAGGGTTTCTAAACATTGTGGAGTAACTTAAAATTCAACTGATGTGATCACTATACATATAAATCAAACGGACTGGCCGTGGATCTCGTGAGTTAACAATGGTCGGGTGAGAGGGGAGCATGTTCCACTACCACATAGTTAAAAGACAGACAGTGTTCTTTTTTCAAGTCGTTAATGGAATCATTCATGTACATGTCTTCCTTTTTGTTTTATGACGATTGAACAGTTGTTAACATTGTGTGGTAGATATACAGATGGATTCTCTCTTCTTCTTCTGCTCCCTCAGCCAACCAAACTGCCTTTTACCCCTCAACTCAGTTCCCAAAAGAAGCTAGCTGACCAAATATGATATCATTCCCTGTTGCCTCTCTAATTTTCTCCATTCGACAAAGTACTGGAAAGTTTGATGAGGAAGGAAGACTCCCCACCCAATGGAGCACTACAAAAGGTGTTGCAATGGAGCAAATAATCGATAGAGCAAGAGACGTAAATGACGCACTAACATGAAATGTGCTAGTTAGTTCACTTCATGGAGAACATATTTCCTATTTTAAATTAAGTTATTGCATACAGTAATAGGGTTGCAGATTTATGTACATATTCTTCTCGTAATCCAAAATGAAATAAATGACTTTTCTGGTTGAGCAGAATCATCACCTCACTCAACTGTCATTGAATATATTGCCTAATGGTTCTTCCTAACTCCATTTTTTTCGGTAAATCTTCCTAATACCCTTTGGATCGTCTTTAGTACTTGACTATGTCCGCCTTAATTAATTATTACAATCTATATATAAAAACAATGACCGAATTGTCTAAATAAAGTGACAAAATCACACTAATTTGATTTCATCCATAACTAGATTTAACACTTTCACACTTTTTCCATACCATGTTCATCTTAATTAATTATTAATTATTCCAAAATTCATAAGGAAAAAATATGAATTCTAATTTAGTTGGTTCAAATCTTGGCACTGATATTTTTTTCAAATAAGAAATAAACAATTGCAATGACAAATGTACCCTTTCTACTTTCACTCTCCTGACAAAGATGAGAATCACAACCAATCACGCTAAACTAATTTGTTAGATCTTTTTAAATAAAATTATACAAGAACCAAAAATCTGTTTACCATCATGATTAGCTAGCCCACTAAGTCTTCCTTAAGTATTTTTTTGTGTTTGATACTTTAATTTTATTTTTTATTATATTATTTCGAGTTCAATAATAATTGTTGTCTATCTTATAAATGGGGGATAATTTTAAAACCGCAAATCAAATATCATTGATCCGAATATTGCATATATCAAATTGCAATATTAAATATATAGAATGGATGTGAAATTCTTATCTTAATATCAATTTTTAGAACTATCACGAAGCAACGATGTTCCGTGCAAACAATAACTGACCAGTTTTATGAAAGTTTTTTTTGTCATTCTGGTTAGTGGCTAAACGCCTAAACCTCAAATGTCTTCCTAATATGGATGATTGTACTCAACAGTCATGAGACGAGATTGAGTTTAATGTATTGGTTCATTTCACAATGTTTGGATGTCTTAGTAAATTTATAAGGATAGGATAAGTGACTAAGTAAAAATCACTTGATCATTCATTTTGATTTTTAGATAAATAAAACTGTTTAAAGTTTGATGTAACTCTATACTTACTTGGTTGGTTGAATAAGTTTTAATTTATCAATATAATAATTAGTTTATCTATAATATTTGGAATGTTTGAACTATTTTATGTTTGGTTTAGAAATATACTTATTTTTTGTGGCATTAATGGCAATTGGTTGCAATGTAGTATTTCATTTGTTAGTCAAAGTCGGGTACTGCGTGCATTTATTTTGTGTCTTTTAGATTGATGTTAAGAACGGTATAAACTTGTTCATACAAATGGGTATAGTTATGAATTTAAAAAATTAACATGTTAAAATGTTTATATATTCTCTAACATTAATTAATCAGGCCCATTGGCACCAAATGTATCACAAAATTCATGACACAAAAACCAATTTTTATTTTAATATGCACGAGACTTTTTAACTTATATATATCTTTGAAATTTACATTGTTGTTGATTGTTAATGAACTTTCCATCAAAACTAGGGAATAACTAGGTTGTTTACAGTGCTTACTAATTTGAGACATGTAATTGACGGAACATATTTAGTTAGGTGACTATATTGTTCTTAGTTGTGACATGAGTTCAAACAAATAAACGTAAAGGATAACTATAGTATATGCGACAAATAAATAGTTAAATATGATAGAGTTCTACGTATAAATATAAGTGAGAGAGCTATGAATGAATTTAATAGCCATACTAGATAAAATTTGAGTTCCTTTAATTTTTTGCAAGAGTTAGAGTTGGCAATTTTTTCGTACCAATGTTTTATATAGCCATTTATTGAAAGCGTCAACAATAAGATTTTTCGACAAGCTGCCTGCAAATGCAACCCAGGTTCAACTTTGGAGCGATTCTCCAATTTAGCTTGCAATATTTGCACATTCATCCTATCTCGAATTCATCATTAGACAACTCTCCTTGCTTTTGAGATTTGTGTCGTTGCCATCCTCAAGTGCTGACGATACTACTCAAACCCTGAATTCGTCCATGCCAACTTCAGTAGCTCCAGTGATTCATGTGCTTAGAGTTTTATCATAACTGAATAGTTTTAGAAAACAAAGTTGGCCATAATTGCTTTCTGTAATGAACCCTTAAGCTTATGTTGTTAAATCTATATAGTTAAACTTACTAAAATTAGTTATTTGTCCACTACTATTTCAAATATCCATGCTAAACTAAAATTATACCAATGAATGCAAACTTTTGCTCAAATAAATAGTTAAATTCACATGCTCTATCACAAGCGTTGAATTTAAGGTGCTATTGAGGGACTATGGATTGCTTGGGAGAAAGGGTACAGGAAAGACTAGCTCAAATAGGACTCGACTGCTGCAATCGATATTGCCAAAACCTATTTTGATGATCATCATCGTCACGGGATCCTTGCAAGACAGTCTACGTCCTACTTATCTGGAGTGGGAGGTATGAATAGATAATGTGTATAGAGAAGCTAATTTGCAGCTGATTTCTTAGCTAATAGGAGTCACTTTGTTAATTTTGGCACACATCGCTTCATATGTGTGTGATCCTGGTCTTGGATGATGGTTGTTACACGATATCATGGACATTGCTCATGATCGTTCTATTCTTAATATGAATTAGACGCTATTACGTCAATCTTTCAACAAAAGAAAATATTTAAATTCATTTCCCTCATTCACATTGAAAATGGTAAAAAAAATTAAAAAATACATGTCAATGTTCTTATATTATATGTAATTATATAATTCGTGTCATGATAAACAAAAAAAATATACAAATTGAAAAAAGGAATTCATGTATACATTGAATTCCATCAAAGTACGATCATTTTCTTTTATGGTGAAGATTGATTATGTATGTATTATAGGAAGCAACTCACACATTATATATAGCCTGTTTATATGTGCTATTTTGTTTGAAAACATACCTGTTACTATTGGATGCATTCCTTTGTTGGTCATTTTGACTTTCTCATGTTTTCAATACGTTCCAAGTATACTCAAAGTAATTTAAGTGTTTGACTATAAAGTTCATAGCCAAATGCCAAACAAAACACACATCATTAGTATAAATGACACATATAAATGACACATACAAATTACATAACCATCGAACTTTACCGGCCAACAGACCGGGCCCTACGCTAGTTACAATCAAAGCCTTTCCCCAGTATGGCAGTATCCAAACTCGACCCAGTGGTCTACAATCTACAAGGCCCAAACTTGTCAATATCAAAAGTCAAAGAACAACATGGACTCCTGAATCCTGGTCCAATAGTATAATGCGTGGCCTTCTCCCTTTTACCTCATGTCACTTCGATGACTCAAGTCCTTGTGTGTATTTTTTTTTTTAACGTAATAGCCTCCCTTCCATGACGTTACAGTAACTACCCTTTCATCCCACACGAACTAGGTATTGATAGTGTATTGTTAATTATCACTAGCTTATAACCGGCCCTTTGGCCGGAATACTCATATTTGATTATTTTTATTTTTATGTTACTTTTAAGTCTATTAACCCGTTTAATCTTATTGATAATCATTCGATCGAGATGATACATAAAGAAATAATATATAGGTCGAACATTCGGAGAAATATCATAATCATTTAAGAATATAAAATATAAAAATGTATCATTGACTCCATTTTCATAATGCTAATTAAGTCCCTGTTAAAATGCTATTGGTTAGTATTTTTTTACAGTCAAGAAACATAGAGTATAAAAGCTCACTGAAATTCTCACACACCCCATAAGATAGTTTGAAACTAAATCTTAAACCTCACAATCCTATATAAAGGGTTCAATGCTCTCCTTTTAGAAACAATATGTCACTAATAAAAAAAATGGAGAGTTGTTGATTCAAGTCATCTATATACTAAAAATTCAGCTAAGAGGGGAGCATCACAACTTGAGAGCAAACGGAAAAAATCAGGGTTATCTCCAATATGCGAATAGACTCGATCAAAGTAATAAGGCGCAAAATTTGACACTCCTTATCTATTAGTTCCAGTAGGTTGAATAAAGAAGCGACCTATTTCAAACAATCAATCAATGATTCCTCGTTTTAAGATAGAAATAGGTTGTGACAGTTGCAAAAACCATAAACCTAAAGATCCAATAGCCACCACTCTCTGTTGTACAACCAAATTTCTATCTCAAGAGGCATATATTCAACCAAAAATTCAATTTCTAATCTTCCTTCTACAACTTCAGTTATTGATGAACTCCATTCTATTCGCCATGAATTGATATCGGAGTTGAAATCTTCTACTCGCCCAGCTTAAAATCCCAACAATAAAACCGTAGTGCCAAGAGATATCTGAAGATTGATTTTCAATGACAGTCTTGTACTGGGAAGTGAAAGGCGCAAACTATTGCACGATGGATGAAATTTCGGAGGAAGTTAGAAAGAGAAAAGAACAAAGATAAAAAAAAAACAATAAATTTAAATTTAATTTGAAAAATGCAAGGATACAACACGTAGTTACATAATTAGTTTCTTCCATGTTAGCCAATTACTCATTTACCTTTAGCAAAAATTAAGGAGAGAGCGGGAATTTAAAATTGAGAAAATTACATGAAACTCTACTATGAAAATAGAAGTATCAAGCTCCATAAAAATACATACGGTAGACTTAGTGAGCTTGCTAATTATGATTAAAAAGTCCTCTGATTTTCAGAGATTAACTTTGTCTATTTTTGGTATAAAAAATGATGCCATAAATTTGTTTAGTGTAACTGGTTGTTATTGTTATCTTTGTTTGAAGAGACCCGGGTTCAAATCTTGATATTGCTATTTTTATATGAAATAAATGTGTAAAGACAAAAATGACCTTCCTACTTTCACTCTCGTTGCAGGAAATTTGAAATGGAGAAAAGTATACAAAACTCTATCATATATTAATGGGGGATCTTCTCGTATGAAACTCGCAGGCTTCAATTTCTTACCCGCTAAGAGAAACTAATTCAGTTGTCGATCATCTAGCTAAACCCGGACACCGGTTACAACACTTGTGAGCATTAGATAAATTGGGAGAGAGAACTGTCACAAACTAGAGAACCAGAGGGCACTGTAATAATGCGCTCAACTACCTCAATGTTTTGCCACTTTCAATGGCTACCCGAGCACCCGTGACCATGATGAGAGAGGTCTTTTCTTTGCTTTTAAACAGTTACCGTCACAACGAGGGACTCATATGGACCCTTTAACAACCACACAGCAATAAGATCACAGGTTTTGAAGCACGAGAAAAACCCCAACATTGAAAATGTCGGCAACAAGGACAATGGCTGATCTTGCTGAAAAAACAAAAAAAAACAACATAGCTTTCTAAAGTTCAGTGGGGAAGCACGCATATGGCCATCCAAATTCACATCAGACAAGAATCTCAGTTAAGTACAAAGCCTCCCACCACCAGTTTACTCATACGCAGAGAATATTAAGGAGTATTGACTCAAGAGTAATAGACAACATGTAAGCAGAACAGCTGAAGACAGCAACCACTCTCTATTCGTCGGTTTCTGCAGATCCACCCTTGAGATGTAAATGCTTCTCCCTCCTCTGGAAATCTGTCAAACCTTTCCCACTCCCGGTCACACCAACCTTACCCTGTGGATCATCTGGAGACTTGAATATGCTTTCTCGTTTCCTGCCCGAGAAGAAACCAATCTGGAAAATAACAAAGAGTTCAATAATCCAGAAGACCTTCATTCTCAGCCAGCCACATTTCGTTAATCCAAAAGGCCTCCAGGTTTTAGCAAACAGTGAACAGTACAAGTACTCAAAATTGGTTGTTGAACAATGCATGTGAGAGATTTGGTTGGCTCCGAACAATCTTATCTCAAGGACTATCAACTTCAAAGTAGCAGGACATTCAACAAGGTTTGCTATGATAAACAAAGGAGAATGGTTGCTAGCACATGGAAGAGTTAGGAAGGAGGAGACAAGCTCGTGGTATGTGGGGATGTCAGTGCAACAAAGACCATGTCCCTAATAGTCTATTTAGTTAGCTGGTTTTGGAATCTGTTTGCTGATGTGCTGTCATTGATTGTTGGTTGCTAATTTGATTTTCAGCACATTGGATCCCTGTTGGGATGGTAGTATGGACTCTTGTATTCTACAGGTTGTGCCTGGTTTTTCTCTTGATCATTTGGGATGTCCATGCATAGTTGTTAGGCTGGCCGGTCCACTCCTAGCGGATCTATATCATTTTTTTTTAATCTGTAGCTTGTTTCTTTTTTCTAATAAAAATTTTCATCATTTATCAAAAGAAAAACAATGCATGTGAATAAATTACCTTCTTAGTCTTCCCTTTAGTAGTCTGGAACTGCTGCCATGCATTTTGGCGTTTATTCTGTGCAACTTCAAGTTGCTCGACCCTCACCTTGGACTTGAATGCATGTATCTTCTTCCGCTTTGTCACTTTCACATCCTCTGGATCCTCAGGTTGTATCCGAAGCTTTGCTGGTAAAGTGCGTGACTGATAATCAGATGAAGCAGCCTGTGCAATCTTCCTTTTGATGGCCTGTTTTGTAGCTTCCGCTAGTCTTTCAGCCTCAACCAGAGCATTGGTTTCAACTGGTCTAACATTGTCAGGATCCACCTGGCAATCACCCCAAAAAATAATAATGATCTCACTCGGTTAGTTCCCAATGACAGCTTAACTGTAAATTCAGATGCACAGAGAAACAGCAAAAACACACCTCTTCCTTATTTCCCCATTCATCATAGGCGACATAGTAGCCGTTCGGGGTGATTGCCTCAACTGTCGCATCATACCTGAACAATTAACTAATCAAACACAAAGAAAAAGAAGGTAAAGCAAATGCAACAAAACAAGACGCTTGAAGGGTCAAATATAATCTGCTCATGGCCTTATACATACCATTCTCCATCCTCACTCCACACAGCCTGAACTCTAGAGCCCAAAGGAAATTTCCCGATTTGATCAGAGCTGTCTGCTAATTCCTGATAGAGGAAAGAAGCAAATTATGTATGTACATTTCGAAGAACAATGCTTACAGCAGCTTATTTGAGGTCCTCGATGTAATCATTCTAAGATTCTTGGCTTAGGAAAACAACATCTACCGGGAACTAAGAACACAAACGTTTTAAACAGTTAACAAAAAGAGAGAATAGGAGTGCTACATAATCGATACCAACCTTAGATTGACCAAATGTCGGAGACACACTACTTCCAGCACCAATGTCTGATCCAACGACCTCACTCTGCTTTGCAGTTTCAAGGAGTTCTTCGGTTAAAGCAATGACCTGCAACGCCCAGAATGTTAGCTAATCCCCTGAGATACAAAAACAGGAACACCACCACTGTTAATCATTATTTGTAGTTTCTGTTAACAGAAACAGAATCCCAAGATCTTTAACACGTGGCGTAGAGAAGCAGGCCTGCCCTTCACAAGACATCTAGCAAACCTGCAAATTGGATCAAGATAGGAGTGATGGGCATTTTGTCGAAGTTCTCGGTCTCTAATATAGGGTTCATGTTTTAAATATCTCTTTTCTACATAAGAAACCACCCTCACCTTTACTCAAATACGATACGATATCAGAACTCCATTGAGATATTAGCAGCTAATTAATGTTGCTTGATGAACAACATTTTCATTCCTTCAAGAGAGACATGGAAGAGATACAAAGGAAAATAAATTTCATGAAAGAACTTATCGACTAAAAAGTTGCACCAACTAGCCAAGTACAGTTATAATTCCTAATACTAATCATATAGGGGATCTTCACACCATGAAAGTAACCAGTATGCGGTCAGGAAAACTTATCAAACACTGAATAGAAGCCATAGTCAAACACCACCATCTTAGTCCCTTGAACTTAACCAACACTACGAAGAAGAAAAAACCAATTGAATCACATTTATGTCAGCAGATCACCTCGCCAAGTTCCTTCTCCATGTCTGCATATTCAGCATTGTCAGGATCATCAGCCAAAAGTTGCCGAACCTAACACACAAGCACAAAAACAATACAAGAGTCAATCACTCAATCTACATATACACAACAATGAAAGATCTTACTCCAGAAGCAAAGAGACGGCTTTTATACTTGAATACACATTACTTGCACTTCCTAGTAGCATCTTATCATAGAACGCCCCACTATCTAGAATGATCACTAGCTATCCGCTGAAAAGAGTGATCTTTATACATACCAACAGCATAATTAATCAATACAAGAAACACACTTAGATGAGGTTATAATGTTGACAGTGAAGTTAGTTAAGTCGACGCAGCTATGCAGCTGCAAGAGGCGTTAAGCATACCCAGGATGCAAAAGAGCTAGCATTCTGAAACGATGAAAGACTGGTAACTACAGCCCCCACGAAAGTTTAGGGAAAAGACAAAACCAGATGACCCAATACAAATATCCCGAAATTCAGCGTTACCCTATTGCCAATTAACTCTCGAAAATCACAAACAAACCCGACTAGAAACCCTAATTCGGCGAACCCAATACACAAAATTCGAATAGGCAATTCAAAGACGCTAATTTGAAGGCAAACTTAAAGAGAAACGGAAAGGGAGTGGGTTTACGCTATCAAGCTGTTCTCTGTATGTAGAGAGATTGGAAGCGAGCTCCTCCATGCTGAGTTCTTCGCTCTCACCCTCCATCTTGCCCCTCTGTGTAATCTTCTGTTCCTTTCACCAAGCTAATCCTAATCGAGGGTTTTCAAATTCTAGGGTTTTGAATTAAGATTCCCCCCTTTTTCTTTCCTTCGATAGATTCTGATATTTGAAGGAGACACGCACCGCCAATAGAGAAGAAGATGATGACGAAGAACGCAAAGAGCATAAATATCCGAAATTGGCATTCATACGCCTAGTGATGGCAATGGGTCGGGTATCTCAATACCCATGTCTCGCCCCACGCTACTATGGGTGGGGGCGGGTAATACTCGTGTGGGTATGGGGCGGGTCGACCCACTCTTATATGCTATTTGAAAAAAATATAAGCAAAATTTTACTTTTTAAAATAAAACGAAGAGAAAAGACTTCATGAATGAATAATAGTGATAATATAATGGGTAATTGGGTCTATTTAATTGAAAGATCAAGTCTAATTAGTTGAAAAAAACCCAAAATAGGAGATATATGAATAAATGGTGTAAGAAATTGACCTAAAACGGGCCAAGAATGGGGCGGGGTGGGGCAGGGCGGGTCAGAAGTTGATAACCATGCCCCTCCCCATACTACTGCAGGTCGGGTAATACCCACCCCATCGCGGGTCAGGTCGGATAATACCCGGCGGGGCGGGTTCAAATTGCCACCCCTACATACACCCCAAGCCCCCAACTTCCTCCTTGAACTTTCGGAAAAGGAAAAGGGTTAAATTCCTATTTGGCACCAAATGTTTATATACTTTAACAAATTGGTACAACATCTTTTTAAGTTTTTAGTTCCAAATGTTTATATCAAGGTTTAAGAAAGTGTTGGGCGTAAAGCGAGCGTTGAGGCTCTGCCTTGCACCTAGCATGCTTAGGCATTGCCTAGGCGTGTTTACGCGTTAGATGCAAATGTATCAAAGTATCTCACATTTGTCTATGATCACAAGTTTATGAACCAATATCATCTCATCCACCTCTCATTTCTAAACTTTCACTAACAACACATGGTAAAACAAATAAAACATAGTTGGAGAAATGAGCAAGAAAGAAGAAACTGGAAAATAGTGAAGCAGATTGAGAGCGAAGAAGCACAAAAATGAAAGAAGAAACTACTCTAAAAATGGTAGTCTCTAACTATATCCTAGCCTAACTATAGAGAAATCAATACAATACTCCATTCTAGTATATCAAAAGGTAGAAAAAATACATCATGATATCATTTTGAGGCGCAACTTAATGCTCATTGGGCGCCCTCCGAGGCCACAACGTAATTGTGATGCCTTCTTCACTGCTTTTTGCCAAGGCAAGGCGTTGTCCTTCTGACTTGCACATAATCGAGTTTAGGATTGTGTCTAGGCACGTTTTTTAAATACCATGGTTTGTATACTTTGGCTGGTGTGATATGAATTGGATCTCATGTGAAATATTGTGAGTTGTGAATTGCGAACAAAGTTGAAAGTTGCAACATGGGTCTTAATCAAGGTGGATAGGACGGAATTAATAAATGTAACAGAAATGAATTATGAAGAAATATTTAAAGAAATGACAATTCTGATAGAGATGTGAAGAGTTCGAGTTGGGTCAATAAATATACAGGTCCATCACATTAATTCGAGAGCAGTGCAACTTATCAATGTGACCCAAATATTCTAGCTTGAGGTCGTTTGGAAGTTGCGATTGTTAAATAGATATATTGTTGAGAATGCATGTATAATATTGTACATGTATTGTCGAATTTGATGCATTGTAGAATACAACGTTTGGTATGTGTGATTGTGTATGTCGCATCAACTAAAAACTGAGACAAAACAATCTCAACTCAACTATCTCAACAATCACAACTAAAAGTTGAGATATAATAATCACTCAAAATGAGTGATAGTTTCTGTCACATCACAGAAACAATCCATGTATTGTTTCTGCTAAAAAAACAAAACAAAAAAAACGATGCATTGTAAACAATACATGCATAATGACAATCTCAACAAAACAATCGCAACTTCCAAACGTCCACTAGATAAACTTCTCACTAATCTAATGACTGTATAGTTGGTACTTACTAATCTAATGACTAATCGTAACCGGCTTTGTGGGCTTGGGATACAGTTAGTAACCACTGGTTACTGATCCATTTTTTAATTTTTGATATTTTTAAATTTATCCAGCATTTAATAATTGGATTTTCAATGAAAGAGAGAGAAATAGTCTTTTCTCTGCAACTCTTCTTTCTCCTTCTCTCTTCCTTTTTCTATCCCAGTCTTCTTATACTTATCTAGATTTGCTCCCTTCTCTTCTTCTTCATTTTTTTCCCCCGCAATCGAGGAAGAAAAATTACAACCTCCCTATTTCATTGCATTTCTTCTCTTCGTCAAATCGTTGGCCTCAATTCTGATCTTTCTCCTTTTTTTGGCATTTTGATGTTCTTGATTGCAGAGGAGGAAATAAGAGGAGATAGAAGATGAGTTTTTTTCCTCCCTCTTTCTGTTTTTTGTCGTTTAGGTAATATATATTGATATACCACACTATACCATATGGTATTGAGTGGTAACGAAATATATATTGGTATTACCACACTATACCATATGGTATTGGGTGGTAACGAAATATATATTGGTATTACCACACTATACCATATGGTATTGGGTGGTAATGAAATATATATTGATATTACCACACTATACCATATGGTATTGGGTGGTAACGAAATATATATTGATGTGGCAAATTCATACCATATGGTATACTCTTAGGGTCGTTTGGATTTGGAAATGTAATGCAGTAATTGGACCCAATTACCACATAATACAGTAATTGGGTTAAAAACCCATGTTTGGGAGAGCAAAAATGGTATGGAAATTGGACCATGGAAATTGGCTTCAATTACCACATTCATGGTAATTGAGAATACTACACCTCCCCCTAGTAATTTGACATTACCACGTTTTCTTACTTCTTTTTCCAAATTCCACACCATCAATTCCAACAAAACTAAATCCTATCCAAACGTGAATTTTTTTTTTCAATTTCCACAAGTCAATTCCTTGGTTTTGTACAACATGGAAATTGAGACAAATTTCAACGTTTTAAAATTTTCACATCCAAACGACCCCTTAGTTAATATCAGTCAATACCATATGGTATAGACTAGTAATAGCTGGAAATTTTTTTTGTGTCAAAAAATATCAAAATGGATATCATTTTGAAGAGCACAATTAATCTGATCCAGCTGTGCAAAAAAATTAAATTCCGACTTAAAACGAGTGAGAAATGATTCGGTTAAAATCTGCGTCATAAATAGGGATAAATGCAATTTTACCTTACTGTCCTTTCGCATTTAATTTAAATAAAAAATTGACTAACACGTGGGGATGAGAAGGAGTTTATTGATGAGTTATTGTGAGTGCGTGCTACTTTTTTATATTATCTCCATTAGTTACTTACCATCCTTAATATATTTTATTTTTGTAAACATATCTAATTAATTGATTTCTGAAAGCTGTAGCGTATCTATCCGTTGCCCAAACAAACGCGAGAGGCATCATTCAGGCGTTAACCATCCATACCCGATAGACTAATCAACTTCCTCTCGTCAAATCAAAATACAAATATTTGGAAAGCTGATTCCATGGCCTCAATTTGATGCCAGAAAGCAAGGGACGGGAAGAAGGAGAGGGAAGGAACAAAGAAAGGGAAAGAGAGAGAGAGAGAGAGAGAGAGACACCACAGCTGGAGAGAGTTGCGTCACGAACTCACCTTTCTCTTTCCTTTTATTGGTGGGAATACTCACCGTTCTTTGGTTTGACATTGTACACGTCTAAAGCCCGCGGCCTCCAGGCTTCTTTTTATTAAGATCTGTGAATGCCTCAATGCTAACTCTCGAGAATCAGGAGAGGGAAAGATATTTTTGACAGAAGGGTTGAGTGTTGGATGGGTGAGTTGATGGTTCGAGGTAGAACCCACTGTCTGTTTTCTAGGAAAGTTTCCATTTTTATGTACAAAATTTTCGCTGTCGGATTGATTGTTCTGTCTGGGGGGTTCAGTCGATAAGCACGGCAAAATGGAATGAATTATTTTGGGGAGGGAAGGGTTGGATTATATAGAGGGAGAGGGAGAAATTGGTGGTGGACATCACAGTTGAGTGTTTTTCCTTTTGTAGAGAGAAAGGGTTGAAGAAGATGGAAGATCATGCAGAGGACCATGATATAGAGATAGAGGGATATGGAGGGATCGGAGAAGAGAAGGAGTTCGGGTCAATGAAAGAGCCACTCCTTCTCAGGAACAGGCAGAACAATACTTCACAGATTGCCATTGTTGGTGCCAATGTTTGCCCCATTGAAAGCCTTGACTATGAGTAAGCCAATTCCATTCCCCACCCAACATTCTTTAATTATGGAGTTTCTTTGTGATTAGATTTCAGTTGCTCAGTGATTGTGTGTGCATTACGGGTTGGTTTTTAGCCATTCTTTTCGAGGGCTGTTTTGTTTTCACTTTGTGGATTTCATGGGGTTGATCACATAAGTTAAGTGAGATGCACTTTTGCCTTTTTTAATCCATTTCTGTTATAAAGTCAGCTGCATCACTTATTACAAGTTGTACTTGATTTGGCTGTGCCCAGGAGTTGAAAGTGGCCACCTTTTGGTGTGTTCTTTTCTGTTATATACTTGGATGGGGAGATTCATCCAGATTTTCTTGGGATTGATCTTGGTTTTCTGACTTGGCAGGATTGTTGAGAATGAGCTGTTTAAGCAAGATTGGAGGGCTAGAAAGAAGAATGAGATAGTTCAATATGTTGTCCTTAAGTGGACACTGGCCCTTCTGATTGGATTTAGCACTGGGGTTGTTGCCTTTTTCAGCAACCTTGCAGTCGAGAACATCGCTGGTTTTAAGCTTTTGTTGACGAACAGTCTTATGCTTCGGGCCAAGTAAGCCCTTGTTATCTCCTGTGCCTGCATTGCCTAAGTTAATGTTGCAATCACACATTAGATATTACCTTTTCGAGACTACGATAATTTTCATGTAACTGTGAAGTAATTGTTATTCCAGTACAGTTATTACCAGGCATTCGGAGCATTTGCTGGTTGCAATGCCGTTTTGGCTGTCGCAGCTGCTACCCTCTGTGCTTACGGAGCCCCTGCTGCAGCAGGCTCTGGCATACCTGAAGTTAAAGCATACCTTAATGGTGTAGATGCTCCTTCTATTTTAGCTCCAAGCACTCTCTTCGTGAAGGTTAGACTTCTGTCTTTCTAAATCGGTCCTCAATTTTTTATCTTCCACACTCTTGTTTTTGCTCGACTCATGGTTGAATTTTTTTTTTTTTTGTCGCTTGTCGTTACTTCGAATTTGGCAGATTTTTGGGTCCATCTTTGGAGTTGCTGCTGGATTGGTTGTGGGGAAGGAGGGACCTATGGTCCACACTGGAGCGTGCATAGCTGCCTTTCTTGGACAGGGTGGTTCTAGGAGGTATCATCTAACATGGAGATGGCTGAGGCACTTCAAGAATGATAGGGATCGACGAGATCTTGTGACTTGTGGTGCTGCAGCTGGTGTAGCAGCTGCTTTCCGAGCTCCTGTTGGTGGTGTCCTATTTGCCCTTGAAGAAGCTGCTTCATGGTATCTCTCTCATTCTCTTTTGCCACTTTTGAGGTTAAATTATTGATAGTACTATCGATATTCGTAGGTAGGAACTTTGAACGAAATGCTAGGTAAGATGGAACAAAATAACTAAAAATGTGAATTTTGCAGAACCAATGCAGAAGATTTTAGGACAGGTGCTGTGCTACTTAATGGCTCACAATTTTGTTTGTCGTGTATGGCATGTGTTTTAGTTAGAAAGTAGTAGTAAATGTATTGCTGCAAGCAGATGGCAAGACTTTCCTTGATTAATCCATTTTTTTATCTCTTATTTCAATGGTTAATCCATTGTTTTTAAAATATTTTGATTATGTTGGGGTTCTTCAGGTGGAGGAGTGCTCTACTTTGGAGAACTTTCTTTACAACTGCTGTCGTTGCAGTGGTGTTGAGAGGTTTCATGGACTTCTGTAAGTCTGGAAACTGTGGGTTATTCGGGGAAGGAGGACTTATCATGTTTGATGTCAACTCGTCAACTGCCAATTATGGCACCCCAGATCTATTGGCAATCATCTTCCTTGGTGTGCTTGGAGGCCTTCTGGGAAGCTTTTACAATTATCTTGTAGACAAGGTCCTTCGTACTTATAGTATCATTAATGAGTATGTCTAAAAGATCCTTTATTTTTTTCTCCTCGTAATCCTTTTGTAAAATGTTTAGTTATCACAATATGCCAATTGCTTTCTCACAATGGGGTTATGTGTGTGCCATTACAGGAAGGGACCAATATTCAAGGTCATACTTGTGCTGTGCATCTCCCTTCTCACTTCGTGTTGCTCGTATGGTCTCCCATGGCTCTCAGCATGCACTCCCTGTCCTCCCCACCTTATGGAGCAGTGTCCCACTGCAGGTCGGTCCGGTAATTACAAGAATTTCCAGTGTCCGCCACACCAGTACAACGACCTTGCCTCTCTTTTCTTTAACACCAACGATGACGCCATAAAAAATTTACTCAGCCCGGGGATCACAAAACAGTTCCATATCCCAACCCTCCTTGTTTTCTTTAGCGCCATATTCTTCCTCGGCATAGTTACATATGGCATTGCAGTCCCTTCCGGTCTCTTCATTCCTGTCATTCTTGCTGGGGCGTCTTATGGCCGCCTCGTTGGTCGCTTGCTCGGTTCTATCTCTCAACTTGATGCAGGTCTTTTTGCTCTCCTTGGTGCTGCATCCTTCCTTGGTGGCACGATGAGAATGACGGTCTCACTCTGTGTCATACTTCTCGAACTCACCAATGACCTGTTGATGCTTCCATTGATGATGCTGGTTCTCCTCATTTCCAAAACCGTGGCTGATTGTTTCAACAAGGGTGTGTATGACCAAATCGTGAAGATGAAAGGACTTCCGTACATGGAAGCTCATGCAGAGCCATACATGAGGCAGTTGGTAGCAGGGGACGTTGTTTCGGGCCCATTGTTCACTTTCTCCGGGGTTGAAAAAGTGGGGAACATCTGGCATGCCTTGAAGATAACCAGGCACAATGCATTTCCGGTGATCGACGAGCCACCTTACACGGATGCACCAGAGCTGTGTGGGCTTGTGCTCAGGTCTCATCTCCTTGTGTTGCTCAAGGGGAAGAAGTTCACGAAACATAAGGTGATGACCGGTTCAGAAATCATGAGGAGATTCAAGGCACATGATTTTGCTAAAGCCGGGTCTGGGAAAGGAGTGAGGTTGGAGGAGTTGGAAATCTCAGAAGAGGAGATGGAGATGTATGTTGACCTTCATCCTATCACCAATACTTCCCCTTATACTGTCGTCGAAACAATGTCACTGGCGAAAGCAGCTGTTCTGTTCCGAGAGCTTGGTCTTCGGCACTTGTTGGTTGTGCCAAAGACCCCAGGGGTAAGCCTCTAATTCTCTCTAAATGTCGGCAATCACCTTGTGTGTGGCTCTAATGTTGAGTCGTTGACTGTTTATGTTGCAGAGGCCTCCGATTGTTGGGATACTTACGAGGCACGATTTCGTGCCAGAGCACATCTTGGGGCTCTACCCCCATATCAATCCTCACAAGTAGGAGCCAGGGGGCAGACGAGAAAGAATGAAAAGTAGGCAAGCAGAACTTCTTAGCTATACCCAATATACCTTTTGCAGTCTTCGTCAGGCAATGTACAAGATTTTGTTTGTAAAAGCCGAGGGGTTGCATTGTGAATTTTCAGATGCTATGATATAGTTTTGAGGTTTGAATAAGAGATTGGTAAATGGGAGAGACAACATTGGATACATATTATAGAGAGGAGGCCAATGTGACCCCCTCTTATACGAGAGGTGTGCAGATTATTGCAAACATTGCTTCTGAGATGAACGTTATTTTATTTTGATATTTTCTTGTTTCCTTCCGTTCCTTGTGTATAGGTGTATTATGTTGGGAAACCATCATCTTTATGTTATTTTTTTTTTTGGGGTGTGAAACGTTTACAGATGGTGTGCTTGTTTAGTTCTTTCCAAGTTTCAAAGGAAGAGAAAGTGTGGTTCTGTTTCAGTAAGGTTCGATGGCAAGGACGACGAGCAATGATACTCGATGAATGGTGAAATTGATGGTGATTTTGGAAGGAACCTTGCAGCAGGGCTCCTACAGCATCGATATTGGGAGTTCACGAGCTTTGTCCAAGGGAAAGGAAAAAGAGAATGGCTCGAGTTGATGAAGATCATGGGATCTCGAGACAGCAGCCATGGTTGATCATAGTCTTCAGTGATAATTTGTGTTCAGTGCAGCCATGGTTTATCTATATTCTTACTAGGAATGACTTCTGCAGAGGAGAAACAGTACTGATGGAGTTTTAGGAATGGTTGCAAAGTCAAGGGGATTAACCGATTAGGAAAAAAAACGAAACAATGCACAAGGACAAAACAATAAGGCTATATTGACCCAAAAGATCAGAAGGGGATTAGGCAAAAACACTACAGTTTCAAGTTTCAACAAGGCACAGAGAGGAAATCAATCCTCAGGAAAACCAACTTCAAAGGGGAGCTGGTAACAAAAGAATTCCAAGGAAAGCAAAATCACTGCGAACAAAATGAAATCAAATCTGTCTAGGAAGTACTGCAACAAGATTTCTTTGTGTTCCCTTCAGATCCTCCTCCCACATCAATTGTCTTCCCTTCCTTCACACTAACTGGCGCTGCCCCTTCCTCCGACGACAGTGACTTCTTGCTTATGATACGGTAGATCTCCGACAGTATCGTCTGGAAAGCCTTCTCCACATTCACTGCCTCAAGAGCAGATGTCTCGATGAAAGACAATCCTTCTTTCTCTGAATAGCCTTGTGCATCCTCGGCCGCAACTGCTCTCAGGTGCTTGAGATCTGTCTTGTTCCCGATAAGCATGATCACGATGTTGGCATCTGCGTGGTCCCTCAACTCCTTGAGCCACCGGCTGACATTTTCAAACGTGGTTGGTTTCGTGACATCATATACAAGTAGAGCTCCGAGGGCACCCCTGTAGTAGGCACTGGTTATGGCTCTGTACCTTTCCTGCCCTGCTGTGTCCCATATCTGCGCTTTCACCACCCTTCCCTCCACCTAATAGAGGAAAAGTCCACAACTTTATGTCATACTATAGTGGCAAAAGGAAAAGGAATAACCTGGAAACAGAGTGACTATCTAAACTTGCACAAATGAAGTTAAACCTGTAAAAGTAGAAAGGCTACACAAAATCACTAGTTCGTTCGATGTACATACTATACAATTCCAAGGCAAATATAAGACCATGAACCTGTTTCTCTAGAATCATGGAAAGTCACACTGCATCATTTCGACGAAGTACGAACATTCCAATGCCATGAAATCTACTGAATGATGGGAATTATGATGAAATGTAAATCCATGTGTGGAAGGTGGGATTGTTTAATTTCATGGTTATTCTCACCCAAATCCCCTTAACCAAACATCATATTCACATCAATACCAAAATTGAAAGTTTGAATTTAACATTCCATCTTAATATATGTGCATCCAAATGATAGAATGTCCACATTCCTCTCTCATCACACTCAACACAGTACCCATTCCATAGATTACCGAAGCTTTCGGGTTCCAGTCGATTCTTTCAAACTGTTATTGGACACAAAATTAGGATCTCACATTAGCAAGTTTCATACTTTCAGTATAATAGTCCACCATTCTTCATCAAATGATACCAAACAGCTCCCACAGAACAAACACATTTAAGACCATTTCATCAGGCAAGTGATACAAGTTCTTCTATAGATAAAACCCCACTTCCAACATCAAGGTCCAAACTTTAGCAAGAGATTATAATATATGACCAAGTTTTGAACCTCTTCATGCAGCAACTCAAGAGGAATTGTAAGGATGAGTTCGTTTTGAACACATTTGCCAATCGAGCACTTCAATGAGCGATGGATCACTGCCTACCAAGTAAACCACTACACTTAGTCGTCTAACATTGATTCAACTAAAGGAATCAGATCCAGGTCATGCTCAGTGGATTCCGGCTGGTGGGTGTAATTCAAATTTCAAAATTCAGACTCAAAACCGAATAGATCCTCTCCGGTCAACAGAATTCAACTCCTAGTCAAACACCGAACTAGAACAAACACATCTCCAGACAAGAGCATAAAAAAACTCGAACTTCTCTACGGCAGTGGCCCAGATCAAAACAGGTAAGTCAGAATTGGAAGCGAAGCAAGGGATCGATCAAGCGGCAAAACGAAATAGCAGAGCAAGAAAGGGGTTTTTGCAGAGAGGAGGGGAGAAACAGAGAGAGAGGTGGGAAAAGTAAGTTACTTGGAGTGTGCGAGTGGCGAATTCGACGCCAATGGTGGACTTGGACTCCAAGCAGAACTCGTTGCGAGTGAAGCGGGAGAGAAGGTTGGATTTGCCGACGCCGGAATCCCCGATTAGGACAACTTTGAAGAGGTAATCGTATTCCTCGTCCGGCCGCCTTGCCATTTATTCCCTTTTCAGCTCTGGTATACGGGTCTCCGGTGTCGTTGCTGCTTTTGCACAAGGAAAAGTTAAAAAAAACTGAAGACCTGGGGAGGAGGAGGAGCAGCAGAAGAACAAAAAAAGGGAGATTTGACCAAGCAAGAACAGAACAATAATAAAGAATATTTGACTACAGTAAAGGTAAGTTGGGGGTTACAAGAAGAGGCGTGTTAGAGCATCTTCATCGGTTTGACTCTCCCCACTTTCATTCCTACGTGGCCCAAATTTGCAATTTCATTTGCCCATTGCACCCATATGAGTGGCAATTGCAAAAATGGAAACTTTCATCTAGTGAAAGTGGGATTGCAAGCCACGGTGGAATTTGTGCTATAATTTTTTCTTCTTGTTTTGATTTCAATGACCACTTTTGGCTGCATGTGCCATAGATTTAATTCTTATTGGAATTTTTTTGTATAATTTCCATGGACCATGTGTTAAATTAGTATTATTTTAATTTTTGTATCAATGGGAGTAAATAGCATCATATACTAATTTTATTAATTATAATAAAATATAAATAATAATATAAATGTAAAATTAAATTTTTATTACTTTAATTTCATATCTACAAATATCAAAATTATTATTTTATTTACTTGCAATGTGGATAAATAGGTATTTAATTTTTTTTTAATGCATTAAAAAAATTTAGGCCTCATATGCAATTGCAAGTTAATTGCACCAATGTAGGTACAGTGAAAGTAAAGTGAGTTGGCTTGCAAAAATTGTGTTGTGTCAAAAAATCACAAATGCAATTGCAAATGCAATTGCACCAATGGAGATGCTCTTATTTACCTCCCAATATTTACTATTTGCCGTTCATCATTTTAGTAAAAATGTCATTTTTACTGCTTGTTTATTTTTTATAACACAAATATGCAATCACCACCAGCAGACCACCACCGTCGTCGCCACACCACCACCGTCGTTGCCAGATCTCATCACGGCGAGCGGACCCTGTCCGATCTCGGCGGGCGGACCATACAAATTAATTCATACTTATTTTTTAATTATGTAAATAGAGCTAAAATAAATAAATTAAGTATAATAGCAATTAAATAATTATAGTATGTTAAATCATTACAAATTATCTGAAGTAGGGTAAAAGAGAATGGATATATAATGATAAATTATCATAAATATTGTATAAACTTATGAATAATTCATTTTAATTATGTAGAATAGTTATAAAATATTTATAAATTTTGATTAAACCTTTTTAATTGTATCTATTTCATATTTAAAACTTCCAAGGAATCGACGCACGAAGAGGACTCTTTGCGACTCGGGGAAGGTCGGGCAAAAACATCTTTTAGCAATTAGATCATCGTTCCCTAAACTATGTTTTATAAAACTTCCAAGGAATCGAGGCACGAAGAGGACTCTTTGCGACTCGGGGAAGGTCGGGCAAAAACATCTTTTAGCAATTACTAGAGTCACCGACATGAAAAATTATTGAAACTTTCATCGATCTCTTAAAATGTGGATATAAATGTGTTGGAATCGATTGTTTATCAATCGGACATACCCGACAAAAATAGATGAATAGTGCCAAAACTTCCATCAAGGTGTTTTTAGGGCTCTAGGGGTGGTAACTAGGAGTTTCTTGAGACTATCACGTATGTTTCCACGAGGCGAAATGTTATTGTTAGTGGAGTTGGAGATGATTTTGCCTCTAAAATTATTTCATAATAGGATTGAATGGATCGAGGTTGAAGGTAGCTATTTAATTACCACATAAATAAATAAAAATTCAAAAACGATTTTCGAAAAAAAAAAAAGTAATCGCCAGGTCTCGGAACCGGTCTACCGCCGGATTTCGGACCCGGTCCGCCACCGGATTTCGAACCCCGTCCGCCGCCTGTTCTCGGACCCCGTCCGCCGCTTGTTATCGAACCTCGTCCGCCGCCAAAATTCGGACCCCTTCCGCGCAGGGCGAGCAGACCCCGTTTGTCCACGACGTTTAGCTTCTCGACAAGCTCCTTCCTCTACGTCGTCGACGACAACACCCGCGGCAAACTCCTTCCTCTTCAACGCCCTCGATTTTGTGCGGGGAGCGAGTGAGGTCGAACGAATGGAGGGGTCAGCGGACCAGGTCGGAGAAATGGAGGGGTCGGCGGTGGGAGCAGCGGTGAAGGGGTCGGAGGAATGAAGTGGTCGACATCGGCTATTGTGGGAGGAGGGAGGAGGTTGTGAGGGGATGGGTTTGATAGGATTTAGGATTAGTTGGAAGAAGGGGCAAATTCGTCATATTTTTTGTAACTATGGGCGGCAAATAGTAAAACTACGGGTGGCAAATAGCAATATTTACAAAGAATATCAAACATGCCCCTTCCCCTTTTGTTCGCTCGCCCGGCTGTCGCTTAATTGTGATAGCACGGCAACTATCGTAGCGCCTGTTTATTTCTTCGATTTTTATTAGACATTTGGAAAATATTTTGTGTCATTCCAAAAAAAAGGTTATTTATTTATTTCATGAATTCATGGGGTAAAATAAAATTTGTATAGTGTTGAAATATAGCAAGTCAGAATTGACTCCTCCCTTGACCAAGACCGTTTCTGATTTGAAGTTGTCCATAAATACAAAAGGAAAGCGCTTAATTGAAGGAATCAAAGGGGTTGTCCCATTTGCTTTCAACGGCTAGTCTCTGCTAGCTATTTATAATCAGAGGAGGTTGCTGATTGATTGTAATTTTGTGGAAAATAAGCTTTGTGGTATAAGACTAAACTTATCAAAAGGGGTGACACAAGAGAGGTAGAGGGTCTATTGTGTCGTGGCTGGAACAGATCAGACTGTGATCTGGGTTGTTCAATTTTTCCTTTCGTGTTTCTATTTTTTTTGTAGTATAGAATGTAATCATGTTAATTGAGTCAAAACAGAAAATCAACAAAGGGTCTCACAGACTGTATTCTTGGACATGGAAGCACACCATTGCACTAGGGCGAACCACGTTAAAAACTTCTTGTGTTCTTATTTTCTGCACTTTTCTTTCTGCTCTGTTTCTTCCCCTGTTTCTTCTCTGTTCTTCGACAATCTTCTGCTAGAATGGCTACTTCTAAGTGAGAAGCAAAGAAGCGAGGCTGAGCTCAAAGAACTGTCTATTCCTTTAGCCTTTAGTCTCTGCAAATCGTTTGTATTTTATTTGCTTGGGCCCGTTATATTGTTATGCCCATTTCTTTTCTCCTTGGCTGACTAAAATAGCAAATAGAAGAAAGCTTTTGGCTTCCCTTCTCTCGATTCATTCTTCTATTTCATCAGTCTTTCTCTTCTCTCTGATTTGAAATCAAAACTCTGGAGAATGGCTAGAGAGAGAGAGAGAGGCCAGAGAGAGGGGGCTTGACAGGCTGAGTGGAGCAAAAGTAAGTAGCAAGAGTGGAGATTTGGGTAGGGTTGAGAGGGTTGCTTTTCTTTTGTCTTGCAGGTCACAACTTTTGGATGGCCAGCGTGGAAGCAGCATTACGAAACAAGTTCGGCGGCAGACTCGAATGGGATCCAGACTGGTGTCTCTTTTCAGAATTAAAGTGGGTGAATCATGGTTGTATAAGCTCCAAGTCAACGAAGGTCAGAGAAGATGGAGCATCGCGATGGATATGGAATAGATATCATGGCTCCAAGGCGTGTTACAAATGGCGGGGATGAAGTGTAGGTCTTTCCCTAGCAGGTGCATCAAGACAAGCAACTCGCGCTCGATCCATGTCGGAAAGGGCACCAATCGAAAGGGGACGTACCTTCAAATATCCGAACAGGCTGGAAATGGGAAGGTTTACAAGATTGTTATCCCGCAGGCATATATGGCGCTAGGTTGGGCCAGGCTTAATAATCCGATTTGAGAAGTTTACTCGGCAGAGCTTCAATCTCGAGTTGCATCTCCGCCTGAACGTGTTCAGCCTCATCTGGTTACTCCGGAGATCTCATTTGCCGATGAAGTCAGATACAGGGGGTTTCTACGGCGGAGGGAAGTGCTCTATCAGGTCACAAGGGGAAGAGCGCTTTATTGATGTTGAGGATGATGGAGTGAAGGAAAGGCATAAGCTTCTTGGCAGAAGCCTAGTTATTAGGTTCTCTTCAGATTCGAAAATCTTCACCCGCAATCAGCTTCATGAGTTCAGGTGTTGGGCGAGTAAGGCTTGAAATATTAATGAAAATTTCGGGATGGAAAAACTTTCTGATGGGGACTGAATACTAATTTTCCCCGGTCCATCCGAAGCTGCTCGCATTAAGGAACTCGACCATTCACGATTCTGCAATTTTAAATTTCTCTCTCACTATGGAACCTGGAAAATGGTCGCAACATCATCTCTTTGCAGGATGTGACATGGATCCTGGCCTGTGGAATCCCCCTCCATTTAAAGAGTGCTCAACTCTTCAAGTCCATCGGTGATTTTTGTGGCGTGTTCGTCGATATCGACTGGAATTCGTGGAGTACTGCCTTCATTAAGATCAGAATCCGGGCGGTAAGGTAGATTCCAGATGAAGTACCAGTCTGTTACAATGGTCGAATCTTTCCAGTCAAGATCTTGGTACCGACGGCGAGCATCCCCTCGTTGAAAAGCAGTAAGCGCATCCTGTATCTAAGTGGAAGGGGAAGGGTCGTTTCAATCTTCCATGCAATTCATTGAAAGTGGCCACAATGGCTTCCTCAAGTTCTGGGATGTGTGTTGGGAAAGTCTCCTCGGGTTCCGCTACAGATAGCATGCAAAGATCTACGTCCGCTCCTAGGGTTGCTAGTCCCAAGCAATGGATACGTAAAGAAGGGCCAATATGGATCAATAAGGCTCTTGACTATGTTGGGCCGAGTGGATTAAAAAAGAGACAAGGAAGGGAGGATGGGCTTATTCTTTATGATAAGGCTCGGTCTAGTTGGGACGGGCAACCTATTTGGGCTAATGTCTGGTTGGAGTTAATTTTAAGACTTTGAGCTGCATCGTTGAAGATCTTCTAGCCTAGCCCTTACTCCGAGCAGCCTGGTTTGACCTTGGTCTGGGAAACCAGCTATGTACCCTCAACCTCACTCGTATCTATGTTCCTTCCCATCTCTTGATCTTTACCATTTCTTCAACCCTCACTCATCTTCCAATAACCAATACAAACCCAAACTTCATTGAAACCTCAACTTCCCAGAATCATCAAGCCCCCATCAATTCCCCAACAGAATCACAAGAACCCTCTACCTCCTCCCTTTCTCCGGTACCAGCCCGGATTTGGTCCCATGCACCCCCTTGATTCTACCTACTCTCCCTCGATGTCCCCACAGTCATCCTCACAAAATACCTTTGGCCTTTTCTCCTCTCCCCAGACCATTGTTCAATCGACCTTGTCCAATGAACTGCCCTCCCCTTCCTGTGCCCTGATCCCCGAGAGTGAGTGGAATCTGAATTCATTCTCCTTTGATATTGATAGTCTCGCGTCAAGAAGCTTGGCCCTTGATCGAATATATGATCTAATTCCGGAAGGGAATGAGAAGACTGAATCGCTAATCGTGGAAGTCGCTAAAACCACCCATAGTAGAAAGATCTGCCCTTCTCGCTCTAAGCTTGAAATGGAGCTTCATCGTCTCGGACTCTGCGCCTCCTCTCCTACTGGATCGCGAAGGGGTAGAAGTGCTCATAGTGGGTTGGGTAACAACTCTTCTGCTGCTTAATGGGTACCTCTCTATTTGTGTGGAATTTAGAGGTTTGGGTGATTCTGATAAGAGGAATCGTGTAAAAGGCATTGCCAGGAGAAGGAACCCCCAAATTGTGGCGCTTATTGAAACTAAATGGAGCAAGTGTAGTATGGATTTAGTTACTAGTTTTAGCGGTGCTAGTGATGTTGGTTGGATCGCTAATGACGCTAATGGGAGTTCTGGAGGTATTCTAATCTACTGGGATAAGTTGTTATTTAAGGAAATTTACAATTATACTGGGTCCCATATTCTATGTGTTAAACTCGAAGATGCTATCTCTACTAAAGTTTGGCTGCTCATTGTTGTCTATGGTCAGCAAGAAAGAATCGACAAACTTGGCTTCCTCTCTGATCTTTAGGATTATTGCTCTCTTATCTCAATTCCTTATTGTGTGGTTGGGGATTTTAACTTGATAAGAAGCCATGAGGATTACAGTGGTGCTAGAAGAAGTTCCGACCTGATATATGAATTTAAGGAGATGATAGATGAGTTGGCTCTGCTTGAATTACCTCTGGGGGGTAGCCGTTTCACTTGGAGCAATGACTGGGAGAGGGCTTCTCTCTCTCTCTCTCTCTCTCTCTCTCTCTCTCTCTCTCTCGTATTGATAGGGCTTTTGTCTCTGCTGATTTTGATAATTTATTTTCTGATTGTTGTCTCGCTGTTTTGGAACAAATTGAGTCAGATCACAATCCTCTACTAATCTCGTGGGGAAGACAGGACAATATTCGTCGCCCATGGAGGTTTGAAAACATGTGGTTGCAAGATGATAGATTTATTATTAGTGCTGCAGAATGGTTCAAAGTTCCTATCTTTGGTAGAGGTACTGTTTTTCTATGGTCAAGAAGGCTCTCCTTTCTGAAATGCAATATCAAGATTTGGAACAAAGAGGTGTTTGGGGACATTAAGGTCCGTATTGATAACCTCATCTCGAATATCAAAAAGCTAGATGATCTAGAAGAAAGAAGGGATATGCTGGAAGCTGAGTTATTAGAAAGAGAGGGATGGAAATTGGAGTTGAAGAATACTCTCAACCTTCAGGAAATTTCCTGGAAACAAAAATCTAGGGAAGCTTGGAATCTAAAAGGGGAAAGGAACACTAGATACTTCCATAAGATTGCTAATTATCGGAGGAAGATTAACAGTTTCAACCGGATTCAGATTAATGGGCTATTTGTTGAGGGAAGACAAGCGCTGGGCGCTGGTATCGCAGCATATATGCTTCCTCTAGGCTGACTCCGCAAGAAAGCAGTCACTTGATTTGGGCCTTTAGCGAGAAAGAAATCTGGGATGCATTGGTATCGAGTGATGGATCTAAGGCCCCCGGGCCGGACGGTTTTACCTTTGACTTCTACAAGAAATGTTGGATGCTTTGCAAGAATGAGGTGTTGCAGGCTTTTGGAGATTTTCATGAAACAGGATATTTGCCGGATAGCATTACTCATGCCTTCATTTATTTGACTCCGAAAGTGGATGTAGTGGAATGTGTCAAAGATCTCCGACCGATTTGCTTAATGAATAGTTTTAATAAACTGGTGAGTAAGGTGTTGATGAAGCGGCTGAGCTATGTTCTTCCTAAGCTGGTCACTCAAAACCAGCATGCTTCTGTTCGTGGGAGGCATATCTCTGAGGCTACTCCCATTGCGAACGAGCTTGTTGATAGCAGAAGAAAGAGTAAGAAGCCGGGACTCATGTTCAAACTCGATATCGAAAAAGCTTTTGATAACGTCAGTTGGGAATGTATGTTCAGCGTGATGGATAATTTGGGTTTCCCGAGAAAATGGTAGCAGTGGATTAAAGGTGATATATGTTCTCCAATGACGTCCATCCTTGTTAATGGGGAAACTTATGGCTACTTTCGTGCTAGCAAAGGGGTTCGGCAAAGCGATCCCCTCTCCCCTGCGTTTTTCGTGTTGGTGATGGATTTACTGTCATATATGATCTCGAGGCTTCGGGGGGTGAATGGTCTTTCTGGTTTCTTCATGGATGAGAGCAGGGTAAAGGCGAGGTTATGCATCTTCTCGTCGCTGATGATTCCCTTATATTCTGTGATGCTTCTGCCAATCAAGTTCTTAATCTCCTTGCTACTTTGGTCTTCTTTTAGGCGGTTACAGGGCTTAAAATCAATCTCGACAAGTCTTTGATGTTTACTGTTGGGGATGTTCCCGAGCCTAGTTTTCTTGCTGCAATTTTTGGTTGCAACTGGAGTAGTGAACCTACGAAATACCTTGGGCTTCCTTTGGGGGATCGACCAAACTCTATATCTATTTGGAATCGGGTTATTGGTAAATATCAAAATCGGCTACAAGGGTGGAGGAGTAGATTTCTATCCTTGGGCGCTAGGCTGGTTCTGAATCAATCCATCCTCAACAGTTTGTCTGTCTACCACTTCTCTTTGATGAAAGCTCCTAAAACAGTTCTTAACACAATGGAGAATATCCAAAAAAGGTTCATTTGGTGCGGAGGGAACCAGGAAAACAAGTTTCATCTCATTAGGTGGAACCTTTGCAAAGCATCAAAACATAAGGGTGGTTTAGGTGTTGTTGATCTCGAAAGCTTTAACAATGATTTGCTTGGGAAGTGGCTGTGGAAATATGCCACTGAGAGAGAAAGTTGGTGGAGGCAACTCATTGGTGTAAAATACTCTAGTTCTGTTTCGGAATGGAAAACCAAAAAGATTGATGAAGGGTTTAGCAGTTATGTGTGGGCTAACATTTGTAAGGTGGGTGACCTGTTTTGGAAAGGTGCGTCTATTGAGCCGGGTTCGGGTTCTGCTGTCTCTCTGTGGCATGATGTGTGGATCCATGGAGTCTTGCTGGCCAACTCCTTTTCGTGGGCTGCTGATGCTGCTCGTCCGAACCCTAGTCTGCTTGACTCCATGTCTCGGTCAGGTGAGGAATGTGTGTGGGATATTTCTTTTTCTTTTTCTTTAAGGGGTGGGGCTGAAATTGAGAGAGTTGGCTGTTTAGATAAAGTTATGGCCAATTCCTTCAGAATCACTAATAGCCCTAGTCGTACGGTGTGGAACCCAAACGCAAATTCTTTGTTCTCTGTTAGCTCTTTCTACAGGTTTCAAGTGGATGGAAAATTTGTAGGGGATGAGAACTTCAAGTACAAATCCGTTTGGAATAGTGTGATCCCAACAAAAGTTTGCGGTTTCTGTGTCTTGTTTAGCACAAGAAGATTCTCACTCTGGCCAATCGGTGTGTTCTCTGCTACACGAAAGAAGAATCAACCAATCATATCATGGTGGAGTGCTGCTTCACCAGGAGAGTGTGGGAAGAGGTGTTTAGAAACATTATTCGTTCGGACTTGTCTTCGAGAGATATCTCCAGCATTATCAATCACAATGAACCTAATCTGGAAGGTGTTGACGCCTGGTTCATCTCCTGTGCCACTCATGCGATCTGTTGGTATGTGTGGAAAGAAAGAAACCAGCGGATATTCTAGGAGTCTTGCTGTCCTCATCTGGTTGTCGCCAAGAAGATCACCAGATCTATTGTTGACTGGATCTCTACGCACAAGAAGATCGACAAGCAGCAGGAGGTGCGCTTTCTTTAGGATCGCCTCACCCACTGGAATTCTTCTGTTGGGTGATTTGCTCCCTGACCTGCTTTCTTTCCCTTTCTTTTATCCCTATTCTCTTTTCACCTCCTCTTTTTACTCTCGTTAGACAGGATACTTTGGCTTTTGTTGTCTTTTTGTCTTTCTTTTCCTCTCGTCCCACTCCTCGTGGGTCTCTGTACATGTACTTTCGTTCCGTTCCGTTCATTTAATTTGAAGTTCATCATCATTATAAAAAAAAAATTCTAATTCCATCTTCAAGTTGTATCAGACCACTGCCTTGACGAAGCTCATTGCTGCCAAGGTAATCGATTCAATGGCGTCTGGCTCATTCGGGCAAGTCACTCTGAATCATCCGCCTATTTTCATCGGATCAAATTATACTGCCTAGAAAAAGCGGATGAAGCAATTCATGTGGGGAGTGGAGAAGAGCTATGGCTAATTGTCCAAAGCGGACCCGTTCTGATGGATATTAATGAAAAAAGATAATTGGTCAGCAGCTCTAGAAGAAAAGCGCCCAGCTGAATCAAAGAGTGATGCATATCCTACAGTCTGCGATGAATCCAGATGAAGCAGATCAAGTTGAGAACTGTGAGACAACGAAAGAGATCTGGGTTACTCTGGAAAGCACCTATGAAGGTACTTCTAATATTAAAGAATCTTGTGTTGAACTTTTAATGCACAATTACGAGACTTTCAATATGCTAGATGGTGAAGGAATACATGAAACGTACTCTCGATTTACTGTTCTCATCAATAAACTAAAGGGATTAGGGAGAATTTTTCAAGCAAAAGATTTAAATCGCAAAGTTCTTAGATCATTGCCTAAAGAATGGCTGCCAAAACGTACTGCTATTGAGGTGTCGCAACCGTCCCGTAACACCAGTGGGTCCGAATGTCGTCGCGTCGGCATTTTTGGGAGTCGCCATCGATCTTACTTGGAGTGGATCGAACACTCTTAGGATCGGCTCTAACCTTAGGGTCAGAATTGAGATATGGTCTGCGAAAATGAAGTTCTGGGTTCGGGAGTACGGTTACGTGTGGGGAAGTTAAGCAACACCCCCACAACGCCCTAAATCGGTACTACTTAAGTTGATAAGTTTAAATGTGTTGGGTGTGTTTTTAAGTAATAATTTTGTAATTTTAGGGTCCCACTGGACCATTTAATGATTTTATCGTATTAGTTGTAACTTAATTACACGCCCACTGACGTACAAATTTAAAGATAAAGTTAGTGGATTAGTTGGACTCGAACCTTATCGGTTGCCTACGTACCCGTTAGACGGGATCAAAGTCCATGTAGTTCGTTGGAATTTTGATAATTTTAATAATAACTTTTACCACGTTCCACTGAACGTAATTTTCAAATTAAAGATTTGTTGATAAAATTTAAGTTTATTATGATGAAATTATGAAAAAGAAGAATATAAGAATTTAAGTAATTAGGAAGTGTTTTGACGTATTAGAAAAAAAACGAGATAAACTTAATCCGCATTAAACATTTCGTATTAAGGATTTTAAAGCGAATAAATATAAATGAGATGATTGTATTGACCGATGAGAGGCCAGCAGCCCCACTTGTTGAAGCGCCAGACACATATCCACGAAGACCCGAGTTCGAATCTCAGTGGACACAAAATTGATATTTTCGTTTTTTAATTCAGGAATGGGGGAAGGGCATTTTGGTAAATGACCAAAAACTCGGTGGCAGGGGCGTGTAGTATTTGCGAAACCCTAAGGGCATAATAGTCATTTTGCACAACCAGGTATAGATTCTACTCTAGAAACCCTAAGAGGCCACTGTGGCCGCCTCTCGCCTCTCTTCTTCTCCTCTCACTCTCTCGTCTCTCCCAGAGACCCAAACCCTAGCCGCCATCGCTTCTCGCCTCTCTCTTCTAGAGCAAAGACACCTAAACCACTGCCTGCCGCCGCCGTTCTCCCTCGCCTCTCTTTCTCCTCCTCTTCCCTTCTGGAAGAACAAATCGAACCAAATAGAAAGGAAAAAAAAAACTAAAGAAAAAAATCATCATCTCTCCCTTCCTAGTCATCTCTCATCCTCCTCTGAGACGAGGACAACAAACCCCAAGCGAGACTGCTCTTCCTCTCGATCCGCCGTCGGTCATCCAGATATGACCCGAAACCCCAAATCGGCCATCACAAGAGAAACGACCTAGGTAAATCCCGACATGCACATTTCCTTTCTTAGGATTTTTGGTTTTTTAATAGAATTCTAACCTTTTTCGTTTTGTTTGAATCAATGGTTTCTAGGTTTTGGTTTGGGCGAAGGGGAATAGCAACCGGCCGAAGATGGAGAACGGCTCCCCTTTTTATTCAGGCAAGAGAATGACTCTAGCCTCCCTAAATCGATCGGGAATCGACGATCTAGGTAAGATTCTCGACATGCAAGGTCTCTTCAATCCGTTTTAGGTGATTTTATTTGGGATTCAGCTAATATTTATTTCTTTTTCTCGTATTTTGGATTTGGTCGGCGGCGATACCCTGCCGACGACGATCTACGGTTCCAAACAAAAGAAAGGTAGGACTTCAACTCCTAAATTTATGTCAATCTATCGTTTTTATTTATTAACAAAAAAAAAACTTAATCTAATTCGTTCTTTTTTATAGGTTTGAAAGAGAGGCCAGATCTGGGTAAGGCTCTTCTAACCTCGGTCTGGTATAATTAAGGATAATTAAATTGAATAAACGGATTATTATTGTTGATTTGGGATTGATTAGCAGATATGTGGTTTGGAAACATGATGTATGTGGGTTTGATGACCATCTATGAGTTCGATGATTTTGGTGTTTGGTGGATAGTTTTAGATGCAAATCTTGATATATTGGAATTTGCTAGAAAGAAGAAAAAAAGTTTTTGTAAAGGGTAAGTAATTAAATTGTCCTAAAATAGCTAATTTTGGTAATTATAAATCATTGCCTCTGCCCGTGATGTTGCTAAATTATGGACTTTGCTGTTAGTTTTTTTTTAATCTGAAAATTATTGTGATTGGGCGATTTTGTTTGGATCTTGATTTAGGTTCATCCATGAACTTCTAAAAAGTGGTTTTTGCTTCTAAAAAAAATGTATGCTATCCAGTTGTACTTTAACTTGCCCATGTATGACTACGAATGAGGGAATCTAAGTATGGCAGAAAATTAACTCAAAACATCCACCTCTACTCATAGTTAAGTCAATCAGCATAGTAGTAATAGCATAGACGAAGCTAATAATACAAGAGGAAAATGAAACTTTAATGGTAGAGCTTAGTGAAGCTTATACGAGCAGATCTTGGTAAATGGAGTGCTTGAATGTAAAGAAGCTTGAAAGTAAAACGCTAGATTGACGATTTTGACATTAAGGTGGCTGACTATAAACTTGACAAAATGAAATGAGATCTTATTAAGAAGGTAGCTGGGTATAAACACCAACCTGGTTGAAGCTTCTGGCCTAAGAATGAGCTCCTTTTGCTTCTCTTCAAATCTCTGGATCGAAAATAAAATTAGGATGATAGTGTTTCTATCGAATATTTGTATCTTTCTCCTTGTTCCAATCGTCCTCCCCCAACGAAGAGCTCAAGGAGCTCATTTAAAGCAAAATGAACTGTCACGTGTCTTCTCTTCATTGGCCAATTGTGAGGCAAATTGTGAGAACTCCACACAGTTGGTCGGTTCTGCCTGGTCAGGATAGGGTTGGCACACAATTCAGTGCTGGTTGGGCCGATGGATAAGGTTGGGCCGACTCAGGTTTGCAGACTTGTGGGCTTGTCTGGAATCACCTGGGTTCAAAACGGGTCGAGTTGGGCTGGATGTTTGTTGGGCCGAGCTCTGGGCTTGAACTGGTTTCAATTTGGTTCTTTTGCAGGTCTGTGGCTGGTTTGAGCGCCAAGGGGAAGGGCTTCAAGCCTAGTTTGGGTTTTCATTTGGTTGGAGTTGTATTTCATTTTATTTGTGCATATGTTAATAATTGTATTTAAGAGCTCATGGGATATTAATCAAGGTCATCTAGATGTAATCCTTTATGATGATTTATAATTGACAAACAAAACATCTATTTCCTTTATTCAATTGAGTTCGTCTCTAATGTCCTATCCAAATCCAAACGCAAACCTTGAGTAGTCTTTTAACCGGTAGACCAACAAACCATAAGATTAAAGTTACTGTTGGGGAAGTATAAACAGGCTCAAGCCCATGAGGATAGGATAGTGAAAACAGGCCCAAAAAGTAGGTTAGGCTTCAACGGGCCCAAACAGTAGGTTAGGCTTCTCAGTGTAGGGTAGGCGCATGACGACAAAGGAAGCATGAGGACAAGGGGTACGGAAGTGCGACGGGGAAAGGAGCCACATGGCAGCTGTGGTCCCTGCTGGGCGCCCCCTTTGCGGCGTTCTGGAGCGGCCACGTATAGGCGCCTGACTGCTGTACCGTACCATGCATTAAATGAAGAGGTGACGTGGGTCGAAGTGCCAAGAAGACCGTTGGGACCTCGGCGAGTATAAATAGTACCCGGTAGGTAGCATTTACGAAGGTTGGCTTCTCTCACTAAAATCCTCAGCTTACTTCTCTCTCTAGAAGCAGACTCTGACTTAAGCTTCAGAGTGCTAACGGGCCGACCAAGCCCACTAGGCGTTCATTTGTGCAGAATCTGTGCGCCTGGTGGCTCTCTCCATCCGCAAGGAAAGGGAATCTAGAGACGGAGCGTAGTACGGAGTGTTGTGGCTTAAACAATTGGCGCGCCAGATAGGGGCCCGGAGCTAGGCGCATGGAAAATCTTGATGAGGAGAATGGAGGAGAGGGTGTCGTCCGATCAGAGAGTTCCAATTTTGGGAGGTGATGAGAACCAGTCAAGTCCGGAGACGCCTATGGATGTAGAAGGAGAAGCTAGCCATGGGCGCCTGTCACCGCATGAGGATGAGTCGTTGACAAAAAGAGAGTTGTTCCGAATCATCGCTGATCAGGATAGGGCCATTGCAGCGCTTAGGAGGGAAATAGAAGGGGGGAGGAGTGAAGACATGATGACGTACAGTCCGGGTATCAGGAAGAGGGAGAGGGCGAAGGAAGAATCTGAGTCAATGCAGTACGGGGTTCCTAACCATGCTGACTTGGGCGCTGGGCATCAAGGGCGCCAACGTACTTGGAGGCAGCAAGCTGAACCGCAGGCGAATGGCCTTGAGGAACCTAATATGTGGGCGCCTAGGCGTCTTGAAAAACGCTTTGGTGTTCGACAACCGCTTGCGCGAAACATTTTGATGGAGCCAGCTGGAACAACGATACCACCATTTCCAAGCTATGATGGGGTGGCCGACCCAGAGGACCACTTGAATAGCTACTTCACCAAAATGCAATTGTACAATAGCTCAGATGCAACGTTATGCAAGGTATTCCCGTCCACGTTCGCGGGAGTTGTTTTGGACTGGTACCATCAGATTGATGAAGGGCGCATCGAATGCTTCGAACAATTCGCTGAGTTGTTCTTGTCTAAGTTCGCTAGCCGGAAGCGCCGAACCCTAACCATAGGCGCCTTATTCAAAGTAAGACAGAGGGAAGGGGAAGCGCTGAGGGAATTCTATGATCGATGGATTTCAGTCGCCATGGCGGTCAAGGATGTGGAGCCGGCGGTTTTAGGAGTATGTCTAGACGCCTGCACGACCAGTGAAGAGTTGTGTCGAGCCCTCTCGAAGCGAGATGTAGTATCCACAGAAGACTTGGATCGAAGGGTGCAAAAAGTAATTATGTTGGAAGAAACGTTGGCGGCGCGCAGAGCCGAAAAGAGGCGCATGAGAGGCGAAGAGATGGAAGGCAGGCAGGCGCCAAGGCCAGCGGTGGGGAGTGGCATGCCTCAAAGGAGACCGGATGTGCAACGCCAGACACCGAGGTCATCGGGAAGTTTCACGGAGTACAATGATACACTGAAGAATGTCTTGCAATACGTCAAGGAGAGAGGGTATCACATACGATGGCCAGGACCAATGCGTGGACAACCAAACGAGAAAAATCTTGATCGGTACTGTGATTTCCATCGAGACAAGGGCCACTACACGGCTGATTGCTATCAGCTGAAGGCCGAGCTCCAAACGTTGGCGGATAAGGGAATGCTCAATGATTTTGTCAGGAGGGGGGAGGACAGGACCCATCGCACTTACACGGAAAGAGTGGCAGAACGGGCGCCTATCACGCGCATCGAATCAGAGGTACCCGGGCCACTCGCGGCGCCCAAGGCGCAAGAAACACAGAAGGAGGCGAGGATGCAGCAAGCGCCCGAGATACCCCCACCACCCTTTGAGGTTGATCAAAATGGTGACCCCAGCCGCGTGAGGCTCACGGTGGAATCAATTACCGGAACCCTTGATTTAAGGGATAAGCTGGAGAGAACAAGGCGCCTACGAGCGGCATTAGTTGAAGTAAAGGCGGCGGTGCACATACATTTCAATCAGGAAGCTGAGGAGGCATGTCAGGTTCCATCAGAAGAGGCGTTGGAGATACAAGGCGTGATAGCGGGATGCAAGGTGAAGAGAATGTTGGTGGATACGGGTAGTTCAATGGATGTCCTATTCAAGAGCACGTTTGAGCGGATGCAACTGGCGCCAGAGCTAGTAAGACCTTCAAGTTCGGTGTTGGTTGGGTTTTCAGGGGCGCCCGCCCAAGTCATCGGGAGAGTGCGGCTTCCAGTGACTCTGGGAGATGAAGTGCATTGTGTAACTCACTCAATAGAGTTTGGAATTGTGGATTGCCCCTCACCATACAATGTTATACTAGGGCGCCCCTTGTTGGCACAATTCAATGGGGTGGCTTCTACGTGTCACCAGTCATTGAAGTTCGTGGCACCACAGGGAATAGGCATTTCGAGAGGAAGGGGCGCCCCACGTTATGCACGGGAGGTGGAGCCAGGCGCCCGACAACATAGGCTGAATGTCATTGACATCCGACCTGAGGAGGCGCCTAGAGCTGAATCAGTGGACGGGGAATTGGTTGTGGCAATTGATGAAGGGCGTCCAAAATGACAAGTGAGAATATCGGAGCAAGCGCCCGCAGACATGAGGGCTCCATTGATCGAATTGTTGCGCGAATTTGGAGAGTTATTCGCTTGGAGTGCGCAAGACATGCCCGGCGTGTCGCCCGAGATAGCGGTGCACCGGCTGGCTGTGGAGGAGGGCAAGAGGCCCGTTCAACAAAAAGGTAGGAACTTGACCCAAGAAAAGGAAGAAGCGCTCCGTCGGGAGGTAGATAGATTGCTCGAGGCGGGATATGTGGAAGAAGCAAGATACATCACTTGGCTTTCGAACGTAGTGTTTGTCCCAAAGCCATCTGGAGATTGGAGAATGTGTGGATTTTACGAACCTTAACCGTGCATGCCCCACAGATGCTTATCCCATGCCACGTATTGACCTGCTGGTGGATGCGACGGCTTATCATGAGGCGCTTAGCTTCCTCGACATGTTCTCGGGTTACCACCAAATCCCCATGGCAGAGGAGGACAAGGCGAAGACAGCTTTCATGACACCTTTTGGTAATTTCTGCTACAGAGTGATGGCGTTCGGTCTAAAGAACGCGGGGGCAACTTACCAGCGAATGGTCAACCAAGTCTTCCGAAAGCAGCTAGGGAGAAATGTGGAGGCATATGTGGACGATCTAATTGTAAAAAGCAAGAGGCGCCTAGACCACATTGAGGACCTACGAGAAACCTTTGAGACAATGCGACTCTACAAGCTGAGGCTCAATCCTAAGAAATGTGTGTTTTTGGCAGAAGCGGGGAAGTTCTTAGGGTTCATGATAACAAAGAGAGGGATTGAAGCAAATCCCAAACAAGTGGAGGCGATATTGTGTCTGGCGCCCCCTCGAACTCCGAAAGAAGTGCAAGGATTGACGGGCAGATTGGCCGCGCTTGGGCGCTTTATTCCCCGAGCTTCTGACCGGGGCGCCCCATTTTTTAAGGTGTTGAAAAAGGCCTCCAAATTCAAGTGGACTGAGGAATGTAGCAAAGCGTTCGACGACTTGAAGAAAGTGCTCACGGCCCCTACGGTGATGACGGCGCCCAAGGCCAAGGAAGTGTTGTATTTGTATATAGCAGTATCCCACATTGCTGTGAGCGCAGTTCTCATATCAAGGGACACATATACAAATGAAGAGAGACCAGTGTATTATGTTAGTCGTACCATGGTAGGCCACGAAACAAGATATGCGCCTATAGAAAAGGCTGCACTGGCAGTGGTGATGGCGGCAAACAAGCTCCGGCCGTATTTCCAAGCTCACAGCATTGTGGTTCTCACAAACCTTCCTCTTCGAACCGTCCTTGGATCCATGGATGTATCTGGGCGCCTGGTAAAGTGGGCGGTACAATTGAGCGAATTTGATATAAGCTATGCGCCTCGCCCCGCAATCAAGGCGCAGGTTTTAGCTGATTTCATTGCTGAGGGCGTCTCTGATGGAGGAGCAGAAGCCGAAAAATGTTGGCAGGTGCATGTGGTTGGTGCAGCAAGCCGAGTAGGAGTGGGGGCAGGAATTGTCCTTTTGAGTCCCTTAGGCGCCTTGCATGAAATAGCCTTGCGCTTTGCAACGCTCAAAACAAACAATGCAGCAGAATATGAGGCTGTTTTGGCAGGGCTCCACATGGCTAGGGAATTGGGCGCTCAGAAGGTGAACATCAAATCTGACTCGGTACTAGTTGTCAACCAACTGAATGAGGTCTACGAGGTAAAGGAGGAAACGTTGGGCGCCTATGTGGACTTTGTACGCAAAAAATGCGCTTGGTTTCGTGAAGTCACATTCACGCATGTCCCACGGGAGGAGAATGCGCCAGACACATATCCACGAAGACCGAGTTCGAATCTCAGTGGACACAAAATTGATATTTTCGTTTTTTAATTCAGGAATGGGGGAAGGGCATTTTGGTAAATGACCAAAAACTCGGTGGCAGGGGCGTGTAGTATTTGCGAAACCCTAAGGGGATAATAGTCATTTTGCACAACCAGGTATAAATTCTTCTCTAGAAACCCTAAGAGGCCACTGTGGCCGCCTCTCGCCTCTCTTCTTCTCCTCTCACTCTCTCGTCTCTCCCAGAGACCCAAACCCTAGCCGCCATCCCTTCTCGCCTCTCTCTTCTAGAGAAAAGACACCTAAACCACTGCCTGCCGCCGCCGTTCTCCCTCGCCTCTCGCATCTCGCCTCATATCTCCTCTCTTTCTCCTCCTCTTCCCTTCTGGAAGAACAAATCGAACCAAATAGAAAGGAAAAAAAAAACGAAAGAACAAAATCATCATCTCTCCCTTCCTAGTCATCTCTCATCCTCCTCTGAGACGAGGACAACAAACCCCAAGCGAGACTGCTCTTCCTCTCGATCCGCCGTCGGTCATCCAGATACGACCCGAAACCCCAAATCGGCCATCAGAAGAGAAACGACCTAGGTAAATCCCGACATGCACATTTCCTTTCTTAGGATTTTTGGTTTTTTAATAGAATTCTAACCTTTTTCGTTTTGTTTGGTTTCTAGGTTTTGGTTTGGGCGAAGGGGAATAGCAACCGGCAGAAGATGGAGAACGACTCCCCTTTTTATTCAGGAAAGAGAATGACTCTAGCCTCCCTAAATCGATCGGGAATCAACGATCTAGGTAAGATTCTCGACATGCAAGGTCTCTTCAATCCGTTTTAGGTGATTTTATTTGGGATTCAGCTAATATTTATTTCTTTTTTCTCGTATTTTGGATTTGGTCGGCGGCGATACCCTGCCGACGACGATCTACGGTTCCAAACAAAAGAAAGGTAGGACTTCAACTCCTAAATTTATGTCAATCTATCGTTTTTATTTATTAACAAAAAAAAACATAATCTAATTCGTTCTTTTTTATAGGTTTGAAAGAGAGGCCAGATCTGGGTAAGGCTCTTCTAACCTCGGTCTGGTATAATTAAGGATAATTAAATTGAATAAACGGATTATTATTGTTGATTTGGGATTGATTAGCAGATATGTGGTTTGGAAACATGATGTATGTGGGTTTGATGACCATCTATGAGTTCGATGATTTTGGTTTTTGGTGGATAGTTTTAGATGCAAATCTTGATATATTGGAATTTGCTAGAAAGAAGAAATTTTTTTTTTGTAATGGGTAAGTAATTAAATTGTCCTAAAATAGCTAATTTTGGTAATTATAAATCATTGCCTCTGCCCGTGATGTCTCTAAATTATGGACTTTGCTGTTAGTTTTTTTTTTAATCTGAAAATTATTGTGATTGGGCGATTTTGTTTGGATCTTGATTTAGGTTCATCCATGAACTTCTAAAAAGTGGTTTTTGCTTCTAAAAAAAATGTATGCTATCCAGTTGTACTTTAACTTGCCCATGTATGACTACGAATGAGGGAATCTAAGTATGGCAGAAAATTAACTCAAAACATCCACCTCTACTCATAGTTAAGTCAATCAGCATAGTAGTAATAGCATAGACGAAGCTAATAATACAAGAGGAAAATGAAACTTTAATGGTAGAGCTTAGTGAAGCTTATACGAGCAGATCTTGGTAAATGGAGTGCTTGAATGTAAAGAAGCTTGAAAGTAAAACGCTAGATTGACGATTTTGACATTAAGGTGGCTGACTATAAACTTGACAAAATGAAATGAGATCTTATTAAGAAGGTAGCTGGGTATAAACACCAGCCTGGTTGAAGCTTCTGGCCTAAGAATGAGCTCCTTTTGCTTCTCTTCAAATCTTTGGACTGAACTTCGTTCAAAAGAAGGATCGATAATAAAATTAGGATGATAGTGTTTCTATCGAATATTTGTATCTTTCTCCTTGTTCCAATCGTCCTCCCCCAACGAAGAGATCAAGGAGCTCATTTAAAGCAAAATGAACTGTCACGTGTCTTCTCTTCATTGGCCAATTGTGAGGCAAATTGTGAGAACTCCACACAGTTGGTCGGTTCTGCCTGGTCAGGATAGGGTTGGCACACAATTCAGTGCTGGTTGGGCCGATGGATAAGGTTGGGCCGACTCAGGTTTGCAGACTTGTGGGCTTGTCTGGAATCACCTGGGTTCAAAACGGGCCGAATTGGGCTGGATGTTTGTTGGGCCGAGCTCTGGGCTTGAACTGGTTTCAATTTGGTTCTTTTGCAGGTCTGTGGCTGGTTCGTCTCTAATGTCCTATCCAAATCCAAACGCAAACCTTGAGTAGTCTTTTACCCGGTAGACCAACAAACCATAAGATTAAAGTTACCATTGCTTTCATCCAATTGAGTCAATCTCAAAACTAGACATGGGTAGCTTTGGTCATTGAAGCTTTAGATTTGCCACTGCAAATCTTAAATAATTTATCTAGAATTGTATAGGAATGATCATGGTAATCATTAGCGTCACTAGCAATCCTGATCAATTTGATATTAGGACTAAATAAGACTGAAGCTTGGAGTCAATGGTACTTATTGACTAGCCACTGCTAATCTCAACCAAAATATTTCAACTTTCTTTCTAAAAATTATTTGATGCACAATTAGTTTTTTTTTATTAATATAATTAGCATGATTGCTCCGTGGTGTCTACATGAGGAATCAAAAAATTTGGCAACTTTACCTATTAATGTACTAATATGATCCTTACTCAGCCATGAACATGTTATTAGGAAAGTTGGGCAAGAAGATGAAAAACGTAAAAAGAACTTAGCTTTTAAATCTAAAGCTGTTAGTTATGATTCTGATAGTGAAAATGATTTTGACAAGGAGTTTGCTTTGGTTAGAAAAAAATTTCATCGGCTGTTAAAGTATAAAAATGAATAGAAGCAATACTCTGATGATTTGAAACCTTTCTTTTATTATCGTAACAAACATGGTTATCAAGATAGGTTGGGTTGCTGCAACAGCAAACCAGATTTCCTGAGACAGATCAGCAGGAAAGAGAACCCCAGACATGCTACAAATGTGGAAAATTTGTACATATTAGGGCACACTGTCCATAGACATTGAAAGCTAAAGAAAAGGCGATGAAAGCATCATGGAGTGACTACGATTCAGAACCAGAAGCATCTAAATCTGACGAAGAAGCCTACATGGCTACAGAAATCACTAAGTCACAAGAAAAGTTTGCCCTTCATTCACAACAGCCTGATCTAGATGATAGAAAATGGTACACAGATAGTGGGTGCTCCCATCACATATCTGGTAAGAAATCCCTTTTCACTTCATTAAAACCAATGAACGGTGGTAAAGTTTTATTTGTGGATAATGTTCATGGAAAGATCATTGGACGTGTCACTATAGGTCAACAACCCTTATCGTCTTTTCGAATGTTTTACTGGTTGATGGGTTGAAGCATAATATGTTGTCTATTAGTCAACACTGTAGCAATGGTAATCAAGTTGCCTTTAAAGCTGATCATTGCACTACCGAGAGAATAAAAGATGGAAAGATCCTATTTGTTGGTAATAGAATCAACAACATATATGTTACTCATCTAAATGATTTGAGTGCCTTTAATTAAACCTGCTTTGTTGCTTCAAGTTAGCGGGAGCTGCTGTGGCACATGAAAATGGGTCATATCACTTTGTCTAAACTTGTTGTGTTATCTAAGTCAAACTGTGTGCGTGGAGTTCTTGTTTTGAAAGAAAAAACTGGTTTTTTTTTGTGAAACTTACATTTTTGGCAAACACAGCAGGAAAACGTTTAAACCTAAACCTGATATAGTTACTAAAGGTGTCTTTGAATTGATTCACGTGGACTTTTTGGTCCTTGCAATGTGACCAGTTTAGGTGGAAAGAATTTTGTGTTTGTGCTAGTAAATGACTACTCTCGTTATTCCTGGGTATATTTCTTATCCCATAAGGATGAAGCCCTAAGTAAATTCAAAATCTTTGTCAACCTCTATGCTGATCAAATTAAGACCATTAAGAGTGACAATGGAGGTGAATTTATTTCAGACGAGTTTGAGATTCTTTGCAATGAATCTGGGATAACTCAAGTATTTTTGGGTTGAAGCAGTTAGCACGGCTTGCTATGTTCTTAACAGGGTTCTAATTCGAAAAGGTATAGGAAAAACTCCATATGAGTTAATGAAAAATAAAACCCTGAATTTGTCATACTTCCATCCTTTTGGTTGTCCTTATTTTACTCTCAATACCAAAGATCATTTAGGAAAATTTGATGCCAAGTCTGATAAGGGTATATTCCTTAGATATTCCATTAAGGGTCAAGCATATCGTGTGTATAATAAACAGACCAGGAAGGTCGAGGAATCTGTCATATTGTTTTTAATGGGGCTAGGATCAGGTGACTAACAGGGGGGCCTTAGTCACATGACTAAGTCAATCTCAGCCCTTCCACCTCATTAAAATCCAATGGTTCAGATTAATCCATTTTAATAAAGGACATTGTAGTAATTATACAAGTTATTTATTTAATCATTAAAATAAAAATAAAAATATGTTGGGCTCACCGTTGGAATCGCCGTCTTCTCCCTTGGCCCCGTCGGCTGCGTTCCGGCCAAGGCCCTGCTTAATTCATTCATACATGTTGTGCATCCATTTTGCCCATTCCCCTTGCGTTGCAGAGAGAGAGAGAGAGATAGAGAGAGAGAGTGAGAGAGAGAGAGGGGGGGAAGCCAGGGCCCTGCTTAATTCATTCATACATGTTGCACATCCATTTTGCCCATTCCCCTTGCGTTGCAGAGAGAGAGAGAGAGAGAGAGATTTTGTATTGTTAGTATGCTTTATATTGTTTGTCGGTTTATTTTGTAATGTTTGTATGCTTTGTTATTTTGTAATGTTTGTCGGGTTTTTTTGTAATTTTTGTACGCTTTGTTATTTTGTAATGTTTGTCGGTTTTTTTTTGTAATGTTTGTAAATTTTTTTATTTTTGTGTATCGTGTTTATCATTTTTGTCAACCATGTTTGTAATGTTTTTTATGTCTAAAAAACACCCGGGTTGACTTTGGGAAGGAGTCCCTCTATATAGGGATGGAGCCTCCAAAGTCAACCCGGGTGTTTTTTCAGTTCGTATGGATTGTCGGTATAGTTTGTCATTTTTGTCCACCATGTTCGTACTGTTTGTATGTCTAAAAAACACCCGGGTTGACTTTGGGAAGGAGCCCCTCTATATAGGGATGGAGCCTCCAAAGTCAACCCGGGTGTTTTTTCAGTTCGTATGGATTGTCGGTATAGTTTGTCATTTTTGTCCACCATGTTCGTACTGTTTGTATGTCTAAAAAACACCCGGGTTGACTTTGGGAAGGAGCCCCTCTATATAGGGATGGAGCCTCCAAAGTCAACCCGGTTGTTTTTTCTTTTTGTATGGTTTGTATTGTTTGTCGGTCTAGTTTGTATTGTTTGTACAGTTCATACGTTTGTAATGTTTGTAAATCTGTTTGTATGTTTTGTCACTCTAGTTTGTACTGTTCGTATGTTTGTATGGTTTGTACTGATTCTAAGTCCGGTTTGTATACTTCGTAATTTTCCATAATACCCAAACTACCCCTGTCATTAATTAAATAGCCCTTCCCACTTTTTAACCATCAGATTGATGTGTCCAGATCTAAGGGCTGGGAGGGGCTTAGTCAAGTGACTAAGCACCCCCCTTAGTCACCGGATCCGCTCTCGTTTTTAATGAGTCTAATGGCTATCTTGAGAACTCTGAGCAGGATCCATTAATAAATGACATGCTTGAGCTTACACGAAGTATAGACAACAAAAGTCACGAGGAAGAATCTAGTAATGTCATCACAGAAGTGCTTCCTGAAGCAAGAGCTAGTGAAATCCAAAATTCCATCGAACTTCATTCTACTACACCTCCTCACATACAAAAAAGACATCCTATTGATCGAGTTATAGGAGACATGAATAACAAAGTGCAAACTCGAGGTAAGTACATTCTGGCCAATACGCTTTTGTATCTCAGTTTGAACCTAAAATGTATAAAGAAGCGTTAAAGGATGAGGAATGCCTATTTGCTATGCAAGAAGAACTAACTCAGTTTGAGTATCTTCATGTGTGGGATCTAGTGCCTCGACCCTTGAACCAAACTGTCATAGGAACTAAATGGGTTTTTAGTAATAAAACTGACGAGGAAGGTTTTATTACTAGAAATAAGGCTCGTTTAGTAGCTCCAGGATACTACCAAGAAAAAGGTATAGACTATGATGAAACATTTGCTCCTGTAGCACGTTTGGAGTCTTGATAGACCATTGATTGCACGTATTTTACCACCATTCTTGAGCCGTTTGAGATGTTGATTCTCGTGTTTTAAGCCGATTTCACGCTAGGTTGTGTGTTTATGTCATATTTCAGGGCTTGGCGTTGACATTGAGGCGAAGAAACGAGTTTCGGGTCGAAAGGAGGACGTTTGAGTTGAAGGGTGTTGGAGGAGCAAAAATACCCGACCATGAGCAATAATACCTGGCCGGGTAAAATTCTGAGAAGGCCGGGGAAAAGCACTTTTGGACGCCAAGAAGGCAGAAGGGGTCCCGGGCAAAGAGCAAAAATACCCGATCGGGTATTCTTGACCTCGATCGGGTATTATCCCCTGTAACTATGCGTTGCGTTTCGAAATCCCCGGCCGGGCACCTGAAATACGCGATGGGGGATTATGATCGGGGATCGCGAGCAACTGAATTTTAAGGGAAAGAAGGCCAATTTTGAGAGGGTTCCGAGTTTTAGAGAAAGAAAGTGATCCCTAGAGAGAGAAAGCGACGAACCAGAGTTCCCAAGCGCCTTAGATCGATCTTCATCATCAGTGGAGCCCGGATAACGCTTGGAGAAGTGTCGATTGCCGACCAGAAGCATAACCTCATTCCTCACAGTATGTTTTCTGCTTCTGAGCTAGAGTTTTGCTTCTCTCTCCATGGAGTAACTTCCACATTCACCTGGGTATGAAGAACCCTAGATTTGTATGTTATGTCTGATTGTATGAACCCAAGTATGAATCCATTGATTTGATTATATTCAATTGAGGCCTGATTTGTTGAATGGCATGAATCCTGATCAAATTCCTGTTGTTTCTGCTTTGACCTAGAAAGAGAATATCTGCCTAGGTTGATAGAGCACCCTTGATTGAAGGTAGTGAATTGATGACTTTAGTCGAGGAATCAATTCACTACTCTGTACCGGATTTACTTCGGTAGAGGAGGTTTGGTTCGTTAGGGCCTCAATCTGTTTACTCCAGTGGAGGTTAGTCGCCCGTTGGGGACTCAATTGAGAGGGTCTGGAAACCTTTAGTCGAGACTGCAGACTATTTAAGAACCTTCCGCAGTATAACTATCTTTGAATTCGAACTTGGTAAATTACAATCTGGCTTAACTGCAGTCTAGGGGGAACCATATCCGAATGACCTCTCTCAACTTGAAAACAACCTTTTACTGCTTTGCTTGTTTGTTTACTTGGACCTTCACTACATTTTCACTGCTAAATAATAACAATTCACGGAGTAGTCAGCACATTTAGGACCCGGGTTGACATTAAAACCCAAACCCGCTATACTACGCTCTAGTAGGTGGTTAACTTGGCCATTTTCTAGTGTGACGGTAAAGGCGAGTCAAGTCTATTATATTGTTATGTGCTTATGCTTGCTACATGAACTTCCCTTTGTTTCAAATGGACGTCAAAAATGCATTTTTGAATGGGGACATTCATGAAGAAGTTTTTATCTCTCAAACCCCTGGTTTTATCAATATTTAATATCTTGATCATGCTTTTAAGCTGCAAAAAGCCCTATATGGGCTAAAGCAGGCACCACGTGCCTGGTATGAGCGCTTAACCTCATTTCTTCATGAGCAAGGTTTTAAACAAGGATCGGTTGATAAAAATCTTTTTACTAAACAAGAGTCATATGATCTTCTTCTAGTTCATATATATGTTGATGACTTTGTTTTTGGTTCTACTAATCAAGATTTGTGTGCTTCGTTTTGCAATTCCATGAAACAAGTCTTTGAAATGAGCATGATGAGGGAGTTACAGTACTTCCTTGGATTTCAAATCAAACAGACAAATTATGGAACATTTATATCTCAGTCCAAGTATGTTTCTAATATGTTATCAAAATTTGATTTCATTCTCTAAACCCTGCTCCTTCTCCCATGACAGCTACTGTTAAATTAGACAAAGACGAGGTTGGTGTTCCAGTTGATGAATCAAAATACAGAGGGATGATTGGGTCACTAATATATCTTACTGCTAGTAGACCTGACATTCAAGTTAGTGTATGCATGTGCGCTAGGTTTCAGAGTAATCCTAAAGAGAGTCATTTAAGTGTTGTGAAACGCATTGATATCTTAAAGGAACTTTCGATGTAGGTCTCTGGTATCCCAAGCATGATAATTTGATCTCATAGGTTACAGTGACTCAGGCTATGCGGGAAGTCTCACTGACAGTCGTAGTACTACAGGAAGTTGCCAATTTGTAGGCAAATCTCTTGTTTCCTGGTCCTGTAAAAAACAGGGAGTTGTTGCCTTACCTACTGCAAAAGCTGAATACATTGCTGCTGGTAGCACGTGTACTCAACTTCTATGGCTAAAAAATCAACTCTCTGACTATGGTGTCAATGTATCATATGTTCCTCTTTTTTGCGATAACACCAGTGTTATTTGCATGTCCAAAAATCTTGTGCAACATTCACGTACCAAACACATAGGCATTAAATACCATTTTATACGTGAATTAGTGCAATCAGGAAGCATTAATCTCCAATATATTAGCACTGAGTATCAACTTGCTGATCTGTTTACTAAACCTCTAGCTACAGATCGGTTTACTTTCCTATGCTGTGATATTGGATTGAGATCTGCTCAATTTATTCCCGATTGATCGTCTTTCTCTATTTTATCTTTTTCTTTCCTTTGTTTGTCGTTTTAGTTTCCTTTCTTTTAATTTCCTGTTCTATTTTTCTTGGGTGTTTATTGCTCCTTCCTTCTTTCGGTTCTTACCTTGTTTTCTTTTCTCTATTTAAGTGTGTTTTAGACCTTCGTTTAGACTCACCATTGTGAGTGTTTTTATAGTGGTTTGTGTGTTTAGAATCTCTGTGTTTTCTTGCAATGGCCTACACCTTTGCTCTCACTTTTCTGGAACCCTCTTCCATGATCCCATCTCTTTGAACTTTTCATCGCCATACCCAATCCTTTGCTCATCGTCCTATTTCTCCTACTCTCCAAATACCTTTTCCTGGATTAGATGCTCATGGTCTAGAAGTCCGTCACTGGGTGCTTAATCTTGGGTAGGGTTTCCTTCTTGAAAATCATCCAGCCCTTATCTGCCTGAAGCAGTGCGACTTTTCTTCTCAAATCTCCGGTATTTTGTTCTCCAGTCTTGTACCCTCTCGTCCTTAGTGTTTGGTCGTCTGGTAACCCTTCTTGTCAACGATATTGGTCGTCTTCTCGATATTCCTGCTGTTAGTGAGAACCTCGCCCACAAGTCCGAGCTGCAACTTTTCAACTTCAACATTGCAAAGGAGGCTGTTCAGTTGACTGGTCACTACCCTGATGAAGACTTCACTTTAACAGTGGCGATTCTCCTTCCATCCATGAGGGTCTTGCACTACTGCATTACAAGGTTGTTCCTTCCGCGCTCTACCCAGCTCGATCGAGTTACTCCGCCGGACCTTTGGATCATGGCACACGTTGTTGCAGAAGTACCCCTGGACTATTCTCCTATTCTTTTTCGGGCTCTTATTTCGTTCATTGATCATAATCACTCTGCACCCCTACCGTTTGGTGCTATGATCACTCCTTTGTTGCTGGCCCTTCCCATTGATCTCAATTCCTTTCGGTTCGAGTCTCCTCCTTTGGCCAACTGTGGACCACATTCTTGACGATCTGGATATTGCGATTGAGGGAGAGGTGAACCTGATCTGGATCAATGACTCTGACTCTGACTCAAATGATTCTTACCATGGCGATGATCCTTCCCCTGCTCCCCTTGAACCATTTGTTGTTGCCCTCCTGGAGCTCTATGAATCGGATTCTGAGTCAGCACCAAGCCATCATACTAGATCAGACTTTGATGCTGCACTCAAAGATTTGCTGTTTGGAGAAGGAATAGATGATTGATTTTGTTGTCGTGAGCTGAGAGTGGTTTGAAACCCCTTGTCCTTT